AACTTGAAAATAATCAAAGAATAAAATGACACACAACGGATGTCATGCATTTAAACCCCCCTATGTTGAGAAACCAAAGGTTGTATTTATTATAACTTGTCTAACTTTGTTGTTGATCTAATGCAAGTAAATTCTGTTTCAAATAAATCCTGTACATTTACACCCAAAAATAGGTAAAGCGTACCAAAGTAAACCATAGTGTATGACAGTTTATAATGGACAAGCTTATGAACACCCCAAGTTTTTGTATTATATTTTTTTTAATTTGACTTCCTTTGGGATTGTGAAAGTTTTCCATATTCAGCAATTTTATACGAATTAAATTAATTATTTGATCGATGTGATTCTGTCATCTGCCCAATTTCATTTATAATGATTTGTGGTCATCAAAATACAACTGTCAGCCGCATTTATGAAGATGTCAATTATATCAATTTCAATGAAATCCTATTTTTAAACTTGAAAATAGTCAAAGAATAAAATAACACCACAACAGATGCCATGCATTTACCCCCCCCCCCCAAATGTTAAGAAACCAAAGGTTGTATTCATTATAACTTGTCTAACTTTGTTGCCTAAATGATTCAAGTCAATTCTGTTTCAAACAAATCCTATACATTTACACCCAAATAGGGAACGCGTATCACGTTAAACCATAATGTATGACAGATTATAATGCAAAAGCTTATGGACAAACTCCAAGTTTTTAGTGTGGTTCTATTTTTACGAAATTGATTTCCCCTGAAACGATGAGTGTTTCATATTCAGCAATTTAAAAGAATTAAATTGATGAATTGATCGATTTGATTCTATAGCAGGCCTGATGTCATAAAGATGTCAACATTATATATTATTTATTTCATACGAAAAAGGCCAATAATAACAATGAATTTCATATTACAATTCATTCTTGTTTGCTAAAATAATCCACCAATTTTAAACCAATATTGACAAACAATAATTTTTTGTTTATTAAAACCTGTCTTCTGAATTTGTCATCACAATCAACCGTCTGCCTTCATTTATGAAGATGTCAACTGAATATATTTCAATGAAAAACCAATTACTAAACTGGAAAATAGTCAAAGGAAAAAAATAACACTACAACAGATGCCATGCGTTTAAACCCCTCCACGTCTTTTGTGAAAAATATACCAAGCATCTTCTGAATTTACAGTTCTCACAATTCAACTGTTCACACTCATTGATGAAGATGTCAATTATATCTATTTCAATGGAAACTTCATCCATTTCATCCTTCCAATGAAATAGTCAAAGAATAAAATGACATGTAATAGATACCATGCTTTTAAGCCATGCTATGTTGAGAAACCAAATGTTTCATTGATTAAATCTTGTCTAACATTGTTGCCATTATAATTCATGTCAATTCTGTTACAAAGAAGTCCTATAACATTTACACCCAAAATTAGGCAAAACATATCACCACATCATAACATAATGTACCAGACTGTTCAGAAACCAAATGCTTCATTTATTAAATCTTGTCTAACATTGTTGTCTTTATGATTCATGTCAATTCTGCTACAAAGAAGTCCTATAACATTTACACCCAAAATTAGGCAAAACATACCACCACATCATAACATAATGTACCAGACTGTTCAGAAACCAAAAATATTATTTTATTAAAACTTTTCTCACTTCCATGTCGATATGATTCAATTCAAGTTTGTCTTTAAATGAAATCCTATACATTTACACTTGTAATCAATGTAAAAGGATATTCCATGAAGTATGCCAGATTATAATTCATAAACATATGAAAGTTACGAGTTAAGAGTTAAGACAAACCCAAAATTTTTGTTTATGATTCTATTTTTCTGAAACGATTTCTTCACTGATGATGAAATGATTTCACATTCAGCAATAATTAGATTAATTTTGTTGTCAATATAAATTAAATTGTCTGGCTTCATTCATAAAGATGTCAACTATCTATTTTAATCACAAGCCCAAAAATGAGCAATCAGACTTATTAAGAAAGTACACATCGGTCTTTCAAGCAGAAATACATGCCACCAATGCTTGTGCCCTAGAAAATCTTAAAACAGGTTAGACTCAACGCAAAAAATCCTCATATGTCGAATAGCCAAGCAGCTATTAAAACATTAGGAGGTAAAAAAATCATATCAAAATTAGTCAGCGAATGCATCAAAAATATCCAAAACCTAGTGAAACACAACTTGATGATATCCTGGGTGTCAGGACACAAAGGAATTTTAGGTAACGAATAAGCAGACACACTGGCCAGAAGAGGATCTGCAAGACCATACATAGGACCCAAACCTACACTTGGTATAACAAAAATATACAGAATCCTCCATCAAAGAATAGATCCAAATAAAACAAAAGGAGAAGAGGATAAACTCTAGTGGTGCTAGACACAGTAAACTTAAGCTAAAAAAACCCCAAGACTGGCAAACTCACTGCACCAGTCAGAGAGGGCAAGAGGAGTGGTATGACAACCAATCACTGGCATCTGGCATGCCCATAATATGGGCATATATGATGATTCCATTTGCTATCCCACTGAAATGAGGAGGAAGAAACAGCCACCCATATCAACTTTGAATGTGAATCTCAATGGAGATCTAACCCAGCACACGGAAAAAATGGAATGAAATTGTAGCAGCAACTGTCAATGACAAAACTTCTGAGAAAATGGATTGAGTGCAATGAACTAGACAGCTAAAAAGGAAGCCATGCCATTTACTAATTTATACAAAAATAACAAATCTAGATACATTTTCTGTTTTCAAGTGACATCAGACCCATTTTCATTCGAATTGGGGTGTATTCGTGCAGTTTTCGAACAAATGATTTTATAAGCTGTATAGCGAAGGAATTTATTTTGCACAATTTCTTGACTGTGTAAATATTTATCATAGCTTGGTGACCATACAACACTGTTATATTCTAATATTGGTCGGTCAAAGCTACAGTAAAGAGATTTAAACATTTCTTTATTATTGAAATCTGCACTTTTACCATCCCCAGAAATCCCAGAGTTCTCAGACTTTCTTTTGCACGATAGACAAATATTTATTAAAAGTCATTTCATTATCTAATTATACTTAAATCTCTGAACACATTTGACTTTCTGATTGCAACATCATTTATCAAATAGTATAACTAATATTAAAGTTCCTTTTTTTGAAAAGGTAACAAATTTACATTTCGTAATGTTCAAGTACATATTATTTAGCTTACACCAACAAATAGAATTCAGTTAGCAATTGTACTGGCCTATATATTTTTCCATCATCTGCAAACATTTTTACATCCTATAATTTATTATAAAAGGTAAATCATTTATAAATAATTTAAATAAAAAAGGGGACAAATGCCCACCATGGGGAACACGTGAAGTTACTAATATTTCAGAGGGCAAGAAATTCCTACGTTAAAAACTTGTCTGATTCCGGATAATAAAGGAATACAACCAGGCTAATATATCCATTTCAAAATTGAATTTCTGAAGCTTACTTATTAACATGTAATCATCATCAACTATTTTAAAAAAATCCGATCAAATCACATACATACTTTTTTACAAGATTTTTCTTGTTCACTAATTTTTTTTACAAATTTTATGTTTAGTATTTGTACGAAAATGAAATTAACTTTGTTATCGATACGATTCAATTGTCATTTTCATTTATTAAGATGTCAACAGTATCAATATCTTTAGCCCTTCTGTGGCATAGGAACCCACACTATCAATGAGTACCTCAGAAAGAAGGACAAAAAGAAAATGAAGGAACAACGGAATTCTCCCATTGGGCACAGACAATGCAAGAATCTCCTAACGCATTTACTCCTGTGTCAAAGGAAGCAGGAATAAACTGAATCCTAGCAGGATTCTTAACAGGTCTTTGTGAGCTAAATGGTCGTTTAAAGAAGATTGGAATAATCCAAGACGGCACTGCAGATTCTGCAAAGCGGCTGAGGAGACACCATCACACCTACTAACAAACTGTGATGGTACACTTGCCCGCAGGAGGAAATGCTTTTGGATGTACAATGTGACCATAGAACAGATTCAACCGTTCAAATCAGGCCCACTAATCAAGTTCCGTGATGAAAAAGGACTCACCGGGTGCTTTAGGCAGAGAACGGAGGATATATTGATTTTAAAGAGCGCAGTATATACCCTGACCAAAAAATCTACATCAATTTGTTTGAAGTGCTATTCTTGAACTGGAAATAGGCAAAGGATAAAAATATACCGTGAAAATTTCGGAATACAATTCTTTCTGTATTGATACACCACAATTCTTTATTTATGAATCCATTCTTCAAGAATTGATTTTGTCCTGTGGCAGAAGTTTTTCTTTTGTTAAGTAAATTAATGAAACATAAATTAATGGGCTGTGTTAGATGGAAAAGGATCGCGGTTGATATTTCATGAATTCAAATAGAATTCCAACTTTTTTCGGGATGTCAACGGTTATAAACATTTATCTGGTATGATATAAGACAATTAAAAATAGGTACGACGTTTTTTATAAGGAATGTGTCAGTTTTAATCTTATCCTATTTATGAAATCCGTTCTTTTCTTGTCTCGGTTGTATTACACAGAAAGTTACGGCCTTTTTAGTTCAATGTCTGTAATGTTCTGACCAGTCGTGCGGTCTTTGTAATTGACTCGAAAGAATAGGCGTATGATTGTTCAAAAGGATGCGGTCGCTTTCACTCAAAAGCGGTTTACCTTAAAATAAACTGTATGATTTGTTCATAATACGGGCAAACAACATCAAGAGTTCGGTTTGAATTTCTAAAACCAGAAAATTTTGTCAAATTGAATAGAAATAAAAGACCTTAAGTTTGAAGTGAATGACGGCTGTTGAATTGGCAGCTGGCCATCTGTTTATTTCACCTTCTAAATTAGACTATTTTTCTGTCGGCGATGTCGGAAATATTGAGAATAAGTGTAAATAATTGCTTAGAAATTAAAAAAAAGGAAAAAGCTTACCTTTATCAGTCCGAATCGTCTTATGAGAGGAGTTTAGTGTCGAAACGTAACCATCAAAACATAACCTGATATCGACTACGGTAGATTCATTAAATTCAGTGATCGATTGAAAAGGGCGTAAAAAAGTAAAAGCGTGCTTTTTCCACAGAGCTGGCCGTGTCGTCGAAACGCCTGTGACCGGGATTGGCAATGTTTGGATGAGGAATTTTCCAAAAAGAAACGTGTAGAAAAGGCCGAAAGACTTAAAACTAAAACTGACCGCCGAGCTCAAAATTTGAAACGATTGTTTTTATCAGCGAGGCGGAGGTTCTTCGAGGGTTACCGCCCGCGAAACAAAACCGACGAGCTTTCGGCTTACGGGCTTACTGTGGAGGAATGACTTTGAATGTGAACGTCGGCCTCATGGGGCACGTCGACTCGGGGAAAACGAGCCTCGCAAAAGCTCTGAGCTCCGTCGCGAGCACGGCTTCCTTCGACAAAAGCCCGCAATCTCAGGAAAGGGGCATCACCATCGACCTAGGATTCAGCTCGTTTTACGTCGATGCTCGCGACTACCTCGCCGATTCTGATTTCCAACTATTACAATTCACCCTAGTCGACTGTCCTGGACACGCGTCATTGATCAAAACCGTCATCGGAGGTAGGATTAAATTTCAAAAAAGTCGTGTTTTGATTCACATAAAATTTCCGATTTTATAGTTTCAAAAATTCAGAGGATATAGAAGTTTTCTGTTGTTTACTTCCAATCTTATACTTATCATACACTGACAGGCAAAAATTCCGCCCACTTGTAATATAACTTGATTTGTATATACTTTTATATATTAATCAGTTTCAAATTTTTTAACGTTTAATAATTGAGTCTTTGTCTAAAAAAGTAAAATTAAAAAATGTAAATTGCTAAGAAAAATGAAAAATTGAAAAAAGACGGACAGATAGAATTTGTTTTCATTTTGTTTTAGATTTTTAATTAACATTTCAATATCGCGTATTTTCTCCTCTTAATTACACCACGGTGAAGACGCCTTGGCATACTTTCTACCAGCCTGGAAATGTCTGTTTGCTGGAGGTTAGCCCATTCGTCAGAGTCTTTTTAAGATCATGGAGTATCAGGCAGTGCTCTTATTCGTCCTTTGAATTTATCCCGTAAATGTTTGATGGGGTTCAAGTCTGGAGAACAGGTTGGCCAGGCTAAGAACCTGATGTTATACCGTCAAAAGTACGTTTGTACTATGCGAGCGACACGTGGGCGGGCATTGTCGTGCATTAGAATAGGATTGTCGCTGATTTCATCAAGGATAGGCAACATACGATATTTCAATATTTCACCCTCATAGCGAGTGGCCGTCAAAGACCTTCCACGAACAACAACCGACTCTGTGCGACTCTCCATTGAAATTCCCGTCCACTCCATCACTGAGCTAAGTTGAAAAGGTTGGCTCTGGAAAAAATTACAGGCTTAGTACCTTTCATTTCGCCTTTTCTACACTCTTTCTTGCCCATCTGGAGATCGTCAAATCTACACTCATCTGTAAAAAATACAGCAGACCAATCGTCCAAAGACCAATGGCTGTATTCTGGTCGATTCTGGTCTATATCAGTGGTTACTTTATGATAGATATGGCGACTTCTAGAGGCCTACAATACACATTTATGATATATACACAAATCTGCTTTCTAAAATTCCTTCAATCTCGACACTTCTTCTGCCAGCCATAATCACAAGTCTATTAATATTAAATCTTGTCTAAATTATATTCTTTGCTCTTTTGCTCCTCAGCTTTAAAATATTCATCCAAAAAATGATAACTTTCTGCTGCAGCATGTTTTAGAAGCAATTTGAAATTATAAGCAATATTCTCAGCATTTAAATTCACTGGCTGCTCAGTGGGATTGAGGTCTGGATACAATGGGGGAAGGGGCGGATGGGAAATTCCCAGGTTTCCTAAACATTGATGAACAACTCTGCTTCTATCAGGTCGGGCATTGTCATCCAGAAATCAAAAATCCCTGGTTTGAGGGATGTATTCATCGATAATTTCTTGGTCATAACGGTGAGGTTGCCTTCATCGATATGGAGCCAAGTTCATCCCCAGTGTAAATCCCAGCCCAGACCGTTACACCGCCTCCTCTAAACTGCACCGAAGGGAGTACAAACTGGGGCATTGTACGCATCCCCTGTCTCAGTGGACTTTTCAGCGCCTATTATCGCTATGCAGTCAGAAATGCAATTCACCAGTAAACATAACAGTATTCCAGTTGGTTTTCTCTTTTAGGTGCTTGCTACACCATATTTTCCTGAACTTCTCGGTTGCTGGTGGTGGGTTGTTGCTGCAGGTTGTCTTCAAGGGACATACAATGTGAAGCCAACGTCTCATAAACAATTATGTGTTGTTTGTGGTGATAAAGATCTTGCCAAAATATCATTATTTAGGATCTAACAGGCACTATGGAAAGGGCTCTGTCTTACAGCAATGTCCTCCCATACGGTAATAATGCAATCGGATCCAGTACCAGGCCTCCTATTGGCCAGTCTCTCGAAATCGGGCTAAAGCCCGAGAGACGCCAACTACCTTTGCGATATCCCCTTGGCTGATGACTTATTCTCACAATAATATTTTGAACTGCTGGTTCAAGATGGTCTTTCCATGGTTAAAGAGAATTAATTCACTACTTTCGTGATCCGCTTGACCAATTAATACATCACAATTAATTAAGGTTTTTAGTTGAGATGAAAAAAAGTTAATGGCACGAGAGGGATTCGAACCCACAACCTTCGGCTAGATACGCCGCTGCTCTACCACCTGAGCTATCGTGACCTTAAAAACCTTAATTAATTGTTAAAGAGAATACAACTGGATTAAAATTGAGACGACAAGAAAAGATGTTTGTTTATAAAATGAGTAATCTTCATGTTTACTATTCTTAAGTAAATCTGTTATTAGAAATGAGGATTAGCATTTGTTTGTATTTTCTATTTTCTTTTATCCAACTTATAAGAATATATTACTTTAATAAAACTTTAATACAAAAAATAATATAATAAGAATAAATTACAAATATCCCTGTTCATTTTCGAGCAGTTTATAATAAAAATGAAACCAGTCGTTAAACTATTCCACATTAATTATTTTATGGGTAGTTAGTCGTCTCTCCATGCAAACTGATTTAGCCCAACTCATATTCCTGCAAGCTTACAACTTATGAAATTAAAAAGTCTACATCTTGAAAAGGATTGTTTAAACTGGTTTCCAACTGTGCTCAAGGGTGTAACTGCAGCTTATATTTATGTGTCAGATTCAACAGATATGAGTACTGTTAAAAATTATTCAGCAGCTCTCCTCATGTCTGTAACCAAAGCTTACATTTCTGTATCAGGTCCAACAGATCAACAGGCAGAATACACAAGAATTACGTTGGTTTTGTTTGGCCTATATACACTGATATACAAAATAAATTCACCACTCTTAAATTTTAATATATTTAGGTTTATTCATATTTTGCATGCCAAAATTAGGTTTGATTGTAAGAACATTTAAAAAAAAAATGTTTATTACCTAATTCTAACAAACAATTATTGAGTAAAGAACAAAAAAAAATGTAAAAATTTTTTGACCCCTTTAATACTGAATAAGTGGTTCCACCTCTGGCATGAATTATATCCATTGCCTTTACATTCCTTGGAAAAGATTTCTTGTAAAATCCTGATGAATGTCTCAACTGATTTGACTTTTTTTAGGTGCCCAGATAATAGATATCATCATACTTGTGATCGATATCACAAAAGGAGTTCAAACGCAGACAGCAGAATGTCTTGTTATATCAGAAATCATAAACAAACCGATGTTAATAGTTTTGAACAAGATAGATCTGCTTCCAAGCGAAAAGCAGCAAAGTGGTATTGATAAGGTAATTGATTTACTTTAAAATAAATTTCTTCTCGTGTTTTCCATCCTACATTAAGTTTTAATTTTACTGTTACATAAAGTATTCAGTAATGTTATATGTTTCATACCACAGTCAAATTGTTCAACTCAGATTTTTTCAGGTTGTAAAAAAATTGCAAATAACATTAAAAAGCACACCATTTAGTAATGCTTCCATAGTACCAACCTCAGCAATAAGGGGACAAGACGATCCTAAGAAAGAAGGTTCATTCTAGAAATTTATCATTAATAATTATAATATATGTAATTTAACTTTTAGGCTTCAGTGAGTTGATAAACAAATTATGTAGAATGGTAAAAGACGTAGAAAGGCCTGTGAACAAGCCTATGTTATTATCTGTTGATCATTGTTTTATCATTAAAGGTAAAGGTACAATCATGACAGGTACCATGATCCAAGGCCAGCTCGAATTAGGCAATGTATATGATTTGTGTTAAATTTTAAATTGAAATGTTTTCTTTTAATGTATCGTTTATTTTTCAGAATATAGAGATTCCAGCCTTGAAGGAAATCAAAAAGGTCAAATCAATGCAGACTTTCAAGAAGGATGTGAAGAAAGTTCAAGCAGGGGACAGGGTTGGCATTTGTGTCACCCAATTTGACCCCAAGTCTCTGGAGAGAGGACTGATCTGTGCTCCTGGTTACATCAGTCCTTTGTTCGCAGTCGTAATCAAAATGAAGAAAGTAACGTACTATCGCAATACGATATCAAGCGGTTCTAAATACCACGTGAGCATCGGTCATGAAACTGTTATAGCGAAATTGACACTGTTTTTAGAATTAAGCGAAAAAGCTGAGTTTAATTTAGATAAAGACTACCTTTTCTTGGACGAATATAATGATTCAGAACAAAGAGTATGTTACGCCTTATTGCAATTTGAGCATAGTGTATTATCCCCTAGTAATAGTTTAATAATTGGTTCAAAATTAGACATGGATGTGAACGCGCCGAGCTGTCGTTTGGTTTTTCACGGCATATCTCTTTTTGACGTATCAGACAGAAATTACGAAACATCCCTTCTGCCCAAATTGAAACTTTTCAAGTACAAACAGAAAACAGGCGTCGTCTACAAAATGAATAATTCCACTGACATAATTGCAAAATCTCTTTTTAAAAAAGAAACAAAAATGTACAATTTTACAAATTTAAAAATTACACTTTCAACTGGTGAAAATGGTTACATTGAAAGTACTTTTGGCCAGGGTGGAAAAGTCAGGATAACAATTCCAGAAGGCCTCAGACAAGAGACAGAACATATTTTGAAAAAAATGTCAAAATGTAGTGACACTACTTTGAATAATGAAAGTGTCAAAGTTTTCTTAAGATTTAAAAGATACATTTATGACAGAGATAAAAAAATTATTCAAAATGAGTAATTGTTTAGTACAGCTTTAATTATTAATAACAAATATATATATTTTGTTTTAAAAAATTATCCTCATGTATTATTTGTTTATTCCTTATCTGCTGTTCACCTGGTCACATAACTGGCACTATGGTCAGCACTGCTCTCGGAGGACTTATGTTTTACCAGCCTAGGCACTATCACTGGCTGTGGGATCTGGACCAACATCGTTTAAGGCAGTGTAGGAGGATTATGAGGATATATGTTATACATAAGGCATTAACAGTCCATACAGAAGGAATTTAACAACTGCCAAACAGCAGCTGTTCCAAAAATATAAACGACAGCACTATAGAAAAATGGAGCACCAATTTAAGACATTAATACTTAGGTTATAAGGACTCGCATCACTAACAAACATCAGAAAGATTAAATGGGTACAAAACTTATGCATTAGTTTGATAGTTAGCACATTGACTCAGAAAGAGCCAAAAGTGTCACTGGCTCAACAGGAAATAATTTTTTTTATTTGCTTTTCTGATTACTGATTTATATCATGCATTTACATGTATATGGAGAACCGATGGGGTACTCAATATTCCACCATCAAACCTTTCACACTACACATTTATGCTAATAAATACATTCACTTTCAACATACAAAACTATTAACACTGTAAACAATAAAAGAACTTGGGTTTCCTCTAGAAACAGGGGAGCCTGCAATGCTCAAGCACAATTCTCATATTTGGTGGCATTCCTACATGCTTTATGAATGGAGCCAAGGAATTACATTCTTCAATTAGGTGGGACACATCGAGCAACCTTTCTCTACTAGCCATATGCGGGCTTTGGCCCAAAAGTAAGTGTCTCTGTGTCAACCTCATATGGGGGTCTATTCTTAGTCTGGTGAGGATGATCTTTCTTCTTTGAGTCTGATCATCTGAGGGTCACCTATTGACAGTGCTCTTGACACGTGAGAACTTTGCCAATCCGGCCCACCGACGCTGCCATTATCTTTTCATCATGTTTTTATTGCAGTTTTAGTGTCGGAGGGTCGGATTGTGTGATAAAGTTTGGAGGTTAGGATGTACCGGCCTAGCTGCCTCATCTACCTTTCCATTGCCCTCCAGACCTACGCATCTGGGTACCCAGATAACTACCATTTTGCAGACGATCCAGTTCATGCACAATTAAGTCCTACTGAGGTGTGATTATTGCTAGTAGAAATTTTCTTTCCTGTGTATGTGTTTTGTTATTTAATTATTTACCTATTTTGTATGATTATGCAATATAAAGGAAAAATTGTAGGAAATAGAAATGACCGTTCAAAAAGCCAGAAGACCTGGGGAGATAAAACCTGCTTCCTAGTATCCTTACTACAACTATACACACCCAAACTGAAATGTTCTACGGGTTTCCGACTTCATTTACTTAGTGCTGCAGGAGCACAACTCTTGCATCATCAATTTATATCACTTAGAAAATATAATTAAAAAATCACTATTATTTTTAAGTACCAGAGAGCTGTTTTTACATATGGGTTCTGCTGTGGGCAACCAAAATGGCCAAGCGTAGAACACAGCCAACACAAGACCGTAAAGTAAAATAATTTAATCATACCTCCACCAATACCTCAATTACATCACCATTGAATGTATGGACCAAAAATCCATAAATACGCATGTACTGAACAATTACATACTTTTTTACTGTATATATTTCCAATTTGAAATACTAAAAGAATAAGTAACAACACAAAAAGATGTGATTCATGAATATATTTACAAAAATTATTTACAAAGAGATATAATACAAATTGTGCAGTCTAACATATAAATCAGGAGTCTAAAGTACTCGACTTTTAAGCTTTAGGCTAAGACTTAAGTATTAAAGTACAGATTTTTGAGTTTTCCTAAAAATAAGCCAAGCCTTGCAGTATCAGTAGGCAAAAGTAACTCCTGTCTACACATATATAGTCCGAAATTGACAATAGGAATAAGAAAATAATTTTAAATTATAATTTTATCTTTTTCAAGGTAAAGTGTCTATAACCCCTATTTATTTTATTTTTCTCTCTAAATTCACAGCTACATATTTGGCCTCATTTTTCAACACTCAATAAAAAGACCTCTATAAACCCGTGTCCAAAAATATGCTTTAAAAAAACAATACTCTCTTTTAATACAATCTTATTATGTATGCTTCTAAACGATGCATACACATAACACGTACACATTTATTTGGTTTATTTTTTTATTTTTACTGACTAGACCAACTTTCGTCGGAAAGAAATCAACCCTTCATATGTTAAAAATATTACAACCTCCTAATTCCTAATTTTTTTTTTTTATATAATTCTGAATACATGTAAGGAATGTAGAGTATTTTATATTGGCTACTTGTAATAGAAATTTATTTACAATAAAGGAATATTAAGATCTTTTTTCAACAAAGATGATAAATATAGCTATGTAATACACTTTTCTTTCATTATGTAGTTTACTTATTAATTTTACTTTTTCTTATTTAACATACAATTTTTTTTTTAAATTTTAAAGATATAAAAGCAAAAGTTTAACAGCTTATGTTCCATTCTATTTTTATTTACAAAAGTCCTTGTTTGCTCGATATATAAAAAAAATATTTCATAAGAATGAATTTTAAAAAATTTATAACCCTCACATATATATATTTTTTTTTAAATTGTAAAATATTAATATAAAATGTGCTAATCACAAAACAGTGGCAAATTAAACTGACTCTGTTTTGAACAACTTGTTTTATCAAATTAGCCATAACAACAGCATGAATTTGTATGTAATTGCATATTTTTATCCGAATCATACATCCGTGGTAAACCAGTTAAAATTTTATTCTGCATATTGAAGGATAGTGCCAATTTGAAACATTTTTGATTATTTAAAAAAATAACAATAAATTAAGAGATTAGGTTAACTTTAACATGTGAACAGGTAACTTTCCTGGAAAAACACAAATATACTGACACATATAATTATCTTGAAATAATCAGTACTGAATTTGAGGCATCTACATCCCAAACTTCTACATGCTAGTTTTTGTTCTTTCATGAAAAATTTCTTTTTCTAAGAGTCAGGTTGCAGGAATATATGTTTTATTTGAAAGACCAAAAGACTCATTCCTCGTTTATATATTCAACCTAGTAAACCCAAAAAATGCCGAAACTGGGAAATTAACCTTCCCTTAAAATAGCGGGTTGGATATTTTCTTTCATCTCTGGCAAACAGGAATTATAATCAGAAATTAAAAAAAAAAAATCCTTCAAAAAAATAAAGTTGTTATAGAGGAAACCAACGATTCAGTTATTTTAAATTACTCCAACCAAGTATGCTTCCAACACGTATGTTTATGTTGAAAAATATTTTTCGTGGTACAAAAATATTTGTTGCGTAATAAATGCTGCAGTTTTACAGAAGCTAACTTTGAAAAGTATTTCATTGTCAGGTGTTTAATTCATATCCTGAACTTCATAATATCAATCACAAAAATGGTGTAATTTAAAATATTATACAAACTAAATAATTAAATTCACTAATTTCGTGGTCCGCTTGATCAATTAATATATTATAATTAATTAATGAATATGGCCATAAAAATGGCAAAAAGGAGGGAAAATTCAAAAGATGCGGTTGAGATGGGAAGTTGGTGTCCGAGTGGATCGAGGTCACGATAGCTCAAGTGGTAGAGCAGCGGCGTATCAAGCCGAAGATCATGGGTTCGAATCCCGCTCGTACCATTGACTTTTTTATCGCAACTAAAAACCTTAATTAATTCTAAATAATTAAGTTAATTAAACTTTGTTTATTTTAAATTATACGATTTTTCTGACTGATTTCCTTTCAAAATAATATAAAATAAATATGTACTAGACTAAAGAGAAAAAATATGCCTAGGTTAAAAAAAAAAAAATTGTTACGTCTCTGACATTTATGCTGCTGTTTTAATATTTTTAGTGCAAATTATATTGCATATTTGAAGGATTTTTTAGTGCTTATAATAGTGCATATTTGTGTTTTTATTAGTGCATATTTGAGGATTTTTATTGCTTATAAATCCAGGGTTTACTTATAACTATTGTATTAGTTTCTGAGATACAAAAACCAGGAAAAAACTATTATTTTCAACAGTGAATCCCTATTTCATAACAATAACTTAGAAAATAGCTGTTTAACAAAATAAAACTTCATAAATATTATGAGCAACAAAAAAATTTCTTGTCTTGTGAAATATTTTTTCACTCAAAGATTTTAAATTTAGAAACGTATGTATTGGACAATCAATTAATTTTACTTTCAGTTTACAATATGCTTTGCTATTTGAGTCATTATGTGCAGAATAACTGTTAAACTGAATTTTTTGAACTTTTATTGTTATAAAGAATGTTTGATCAAGACAATGTGCCTGAAAAGAAATGTCAATGTACACATATAGAAACGGCATTGTTTACGGTTAAACACATTCGTGAAACAAAAATGTTTTCCTTCTGTGACCGTCATTTTTTAAAAAAGAATTTAATTATACAAATGTGAGAGCTTATAGCCACAATTTTTCTAATACATTTACTTAACAATAATGCTAACAAATACATTACTAACCCAAACTACATACTTGATATTCTCTTACTCTTAAAAAAATTTCAAACGCACAAAAATACTCAAACACACTAGGCAAGCCGCATTGCAATAATTACAATTCATAATAGATCAGTAAGACTTTTAGAGCTTTTTTTTTTAAGGAACACCACTTGACTAGCTTGTTTTTTTGTCATATATACACACACACAAACATATATGGATATTGCACAAAACCCAATCCTTTTTTTAATATTCGAGAAAGCAAGGACATCAACCATATAATACTGGTCATAATTAAAAGGACAATTTATCATTCAAGATTAAAATTTTAGTACATCTATTACGATATAAGATTTGTGACTTTTTTTCAATTTACCAAAATTTATAGCAGGTTGAACAGTACGATCACCAAGATAAGAAGACAAGTAAGTACACCGATCGCAATCCACTGTCTCCTATCTGAAATATACTTGCCAATTATTTACAATTCTATATAATAATAACAATAATTCTATTTTACCATTGGATATATGTAAAACTTTGGCCACTTTTTTCATCGTAGAATCAAGTTTGGAATCAGTGTTATCAAGCTCTGAACCAAATTCATCTAACATCCTGAAAATCATAAATCTGATTGATTTAATTCTTTAAACATTTTTAAAATAAAAATCACTACTAAAGATTAATTTCAATTTAAAAAAAATTAACTGCTTAACTAACACAGCCTGTTCATCAAGCTCGCTTCCAATCTGCCTTGAAACTGTCTTAAGGGAGCCAAGCGAATGTGAGATCATGTCTAGCTGGTCGTCCTGTGTCTGGAGCAAGTGATTCTGCTGAGACACGGCTGAATCCAAAAAGTGCCTGTTGGGCGAATCGATCTCATTCTCAAGTTTTGAATATTTGGTCGTGCCATGACTCGTGGCTGCACGCACAGGACTGTTGTCCAAAAGGGGCTATGAAGAGCAAGAGCAGACGTAAGTTACTAATGTTAAACATGTTAATAACGAAGAGCACCTGTCTTGCAGTTCTGTCCCGATCCCTTCCTCGGCTGTAATTCATCTTGTCTTTCATATGCTGAAAATTAGCAAACATTAACATTAATTAATCAAAACAGTGAAAATTTTTTTTAGTAAGTATTTGAATTTAACAAAAAAAAATTATAACAAACATAAAAAACAAACAAAAATTTTTATTAATTAGAAATGAGCATGTTTAAGGGTCCGATTTAGGGTTAGTCAACACCAGCAAAACATATTTAATTTTTTTAGATTTATTGCTTTATAAATTGTTAATAAAAATACTACTTTAAAACAAGATATTAAATACCAAAATTAATCTACCCTTCATAATAAAAACATTAAAGAATAAAACGAGGCTTTCTTTCATAACACATGTGACTCAATAGCTTTGTTCCAGGAACATTATGAAATAAAACTCTTAATTAAGCTGACATAACAAAAAAACTGATGATTGAAGTAAAATTCTAATGTAAATAACGCATGATAATATTTTTAAATGGCGTTACCTTGACTTCATCCCTAGTGAGTTCGATAAAATTCCTTCGACTTGTCAGTTCTTTATTGTCGATCTTAAACTTGGAGGGGTTTTTCTCAACAATACGTATTCATTAAGTCAAGGGTTCAATTAGAATCAATAGAGCATACAAATAAAATTAAACTTTTCATGTAAGAGAAAAGGATATTGATGGTGTCATCGAGATCTTCTAAATCCCAATCAATACTCCTCAGTGCGTTTCTTAGTTCTGTTGTCGTCCACTCTAACTCGTCTTTTGATATATTACTCCGAATATCCTCCTGCAATTCAAGCCAACGCCTGAACAGTCCTCTTGTTTTGTTTAATGCTTTTGCAACTTCCCTACAAATATAATTTATTAGCTTAAATGTACATACAATCTGAGTGCGATTTTATTTCTTATACTATAGTGAGTAAAAGATGACTGATTAAAGAGTTAAAATTAAATTGTACATTTACAACAAATTACTTCCATTGTGGAAATAGCCCATTGTATATAGAGTCCAGCTCATTCCCGTTTCACTGCTCAAAAAAAAAATTTGTTGATTGTTTAAAATTTTATCTGCCTAAGTCATCAGGAATAATGTTTACAAGAGAATAAACAAGAAATGTAGCTCAGGGGAATAGATTGAAGGAGCACGGAAAGGGCTGAAGGGTGGAGGTAATTGAACTCTTTACCATTAATTTTTTTTAAAGCATACGAGCAGAGGTTTTCTTGGTGATTGTGAACTATTCTGAAACCTCATACACAATTTGTATAGCCGTTCTGTATAAGAAGAGTGTATTTTATAAGTAGTTAAAGTTCCAAAAAACTTGCATTCAAATGGACCTTGCAGCCTGCTGATTACACTGAGGAATCCCTCCCTTGATATCCTTTTACAATTATATCTTATGTGTCAAACAAAATACAGTTTAATTTCCTTTTGATGTTTGCACGGTGAAGAATTGTAGTTTAATCATTTCCAACAATTTGGCAAACTGTTTTTGTGTTTTGGTCTATTACAACGCGTTTTGGTATTTAACCTGACATTTCACTTGTAGTGGGTTTATTAATTTTATTTTCCTTATTAATTTTCTTCTATACATACATTGAATTTGCTATTTTAAAAAAATGGAAACTCCTGTCAGCCTACAACATCAAGGATAAGCATTAGGCAAAGCAAAATCATAAGAAATGTCCAAGCTAAAATACTTTTTTGTTCTTATTTCACCTCAGATGAGGCCTGTCTGTTAAGCACAGCTTGGCTTTTTTTCACCTTTTAAAATACTTTGTACAGAGTTGAATTGTTATAGTTTCTTCCCGGATTGGCAGTTTATGCCTTACTATCAATACCAGCCTAGAATTGTTTGGTTTTGATTGAAGGTGTCTTTATAACAAATACGGATCTTTACCCTGTTCTTTTTGTACTATAATTTAGTATCTCTTTGTAAGGTGCACATGGTGGTCATGCTTCTCTTCTTCCCTTGCCAGGCAACAGCTTGTCCTTGCTTCAGCCATGTGCAATTGCTCTTGCTTCTCCCAGGATCAAAATATGTAGCGGTAAGTAAAGTCATTCTTGTCAAACAAGAGCTTAACACCTAACTACCCATTGGGTGTCATGGTCAAGGGGTTGGAACCAGTTAACCAAGAAATTCAACCGCTGAAACCAGGCCTATTAATCAAATTTCTTGATAACCAGAACTCACCCATACAAAGTGGGGGATAAATAGCTCACTGGATCCCTGGACGCAGGAGTAGACGAGAATAAAGAAGTGGAAGCCCTTGCAAGGAAAAGAGCTGCCACACCACTGATAGGTCCTGAACCCTAGTGGTAGGGCCCTTATTATCCACAGTATCTTAGGGAAAAACTGGTGTTAGTGAGGAAACAATGTCATTCACTAACCTCTGGTCAGGATTTATAAAGAAAGATACAACACAATGCATGAAAAGGAACAGCAAGAGACTCCGAATCCTAACAGGGCACTGTGTACTGAATGGGCATTTGAGGAAGATTTTAATCAACCAACATGGTATGTGCAGATTCTGCAGAGGTGGAAGAAATCCTTGCCAACTAACAAACTGTGGTGCTACACATATCCTCAGGTGACCGTAGAAGAAATACAACCGCTAAAACAGTGTACTATAGGTACAAAATGAGGGGATATAATAGCTCTCACACCCTGTTCTTTATATGCACTTATAAAGATATTATGTTTAGAAACTAAAAAAAGGATTAAAAAGACTAAAAACAACTATAATACTGGAAAACAAGTGGTGAAACATGAAAACAAAAAACTATAGTTGGTGTTTCTTATCAGCTTAATGATGGATACATGATTGGAGAATTTGTTTGGCGGCCACCCTGAAAAAATTCTCCAATCATGAAAACAAAAAACATTGATAATGTTGACCCTTTGTTAAAGCAAGTTATAACAAGTTCAGAGACAAGTAAAATTCATAGTAATATAAAGAATGACTTGGTCGTTCGTAAGATCTTTGGTTGTATTTTGTCCATTACCTGATTTGCTATTTAAACAGAAATATTATTCGCATAACTATCCTTTGAGAAGTTTCAGGAAGATAAACAGTCCACAATTTGTAACAGGTACATTTTAACGCGATAATAGTCGAACCGAATTTCAATTTGTTTGCAAAACCCGATAATTTATCCCATACAAACAAGAACCGGCATAAAAACAAACTGAATTGATTAGTAATGTTTTTTCTTCTTCTATTATTATTGAAGAAGTGATGCTGACGTGTTATCAAGAAAATTTGAGAAAATAAACAAGCAATTTACTGGAAAGAATGATAGATAGCGTGTCTTACAATAATTAAAATTTGAATTATACTCTGAATACTTACTCCTTGACGACAAAAAATGGATCTTCAAATGTCATGTCCTTCAATGTTATCTGTGATCGTGAATGAAGCCCTGATGACAACTTTTTGACATCAAAGGCAAGGATCAACAGGAGAGAAGCATTTTTTTTTTAATTTGTTCGAGGATATCAACAGTCAAGTCGGTTTTCCTCCCAATCCGTTTTTTGAGTTTTATATACGGAAAAGCCTGTTCACTTCGCTAACTACCATCCTCCAATGTCTGGAAGTTGTGTCAACGCGTTTTAAATGGAACTGCTCGGTTTGTTATTTGACTTCTCAAAGATGCCCTTCGAGACCGAAGAGTGAAGACAACTGGGCACAATTGTCACAATGACATACCAGTCGATTTTGATAATCAGTCTGACCAACACTGACATAAGATGATAACAAAAATACAACTTTGTTAAAAATTAAAAAAAGAAAAACAAAGAAATTACAGCATTAGTTAATTACATATTTCTATTTAATTTTGAATTTTCCAATCATATAATGACAATATGGAACAATCCACACATATTTTCCCCCTTTGTATTAATTAAATTTTCAAAATATCCTCAGCTTTAAACTAAGCAATCAATGATCTTAACTTTGAAAAATCACCGTAAAAGATTAATAAACAAATTAAAACTTTAAAACAATAAATTCTTAAATTATAAACACTTTAGGGGGAGGGGCATATTTATTTATTTTTTACAGTTCTCAATATTCTTTACAATTGTCCAGGGTTTAAATAAGATTAATAAACTTTTTTTCCCGCTTGTCCTCAGGTTTATTACAAAGAAACAAATATTAATGTATTTCATCAGGCAGACACATTTTCCCTATTTCTCATTGTCTTCAAAGTCTTACAGATAGTTGATGAAGATGGGTTCAATAAGTTCTAGATGTGGTAAAATTTTTTTTGAATTTATACAATTTCAAACAGCAAGAGTTCTTTTTACAGGGTGAAATAACTGTAACATTAAAAAATAATACAAAAATAAAAAACTTTTAAAGGTGTTTTATTTTAGATACGATATATTTAACAATAAGGCTAATATGCCTTAATTTTTTGGTTTATGTTGAAAACATTTCCATATATTTTTTTAAAAATAAAAAGTAAATACATTTCTTATTTACTTTTATTTGTACGTTCCAGAAATTCACTCATACCTATATCTGTATATATAAAAGTGAATATTCGTGAGTGTTAATTGTAAAAACAAAAACTATTGATTTCGAAGAAACTTTCACTTTTAGTTTTTATTAGTGCCGGGAGGGTTTCGAGAGAAATCAGCATATAACAAATAATGGGCGTTAGAATTTACTAACAGAGATAACACTTTTTATATCCCCGGGCAACGAAGAATTATAAAGCTATTTATTATTATTAATTTTTAAGGGTGTTTTAACGGCTAAGGTCATTTCACGCCCTATATAAAGCTAGTTATTTATAAAAATATAATATTGATATTCATATTTTACAAATTTGATTAATAAGCTTACCTTATATTGTACTGAATTTATAATTGTTTAATAGTCATATTATGTTTTAAAAGATATAACCATCTTGCATCTATAATTTATGTAATTATTACCAATTAACGATTGGTGAAGAATAATGCTTCAGATGTTTCTTTTATCCCAACTGAAGGAAGAAAAAAAATTAATTTTATAACTTTTCTTAAACATCACTCATAAACTTTATTAGAAAATTTTTCAAAAGGAAAACTTAAATATTTACCATTACCGAGTATAATTCATTGTCAAATGAAAATGCTACAGTTCCAGCACTGGTTGGTGCCTGGATTTGCCCACTGCCTGATCTGATAGATCAGATTTGTATATAACTATACTATTTGTTCAATGTATATTTTGTAGATAGCAGTAAATAATATATAAATATTATTATAAATATATATTTTATTTATTGCTAGTATATAAATTTTTATGTCCCAGTTTAAAAAGTCATTATTGCCTTTACTGCTGTGATTACTGATGCTTTTAATTTCTAATTAAACAAATTAATTTTTTCTCAAGTTATTTTTTATCCACAAAAGCCCACTGATGAAAATAAAAACTATCCCCCATTTAAAACAGTAAACATTTGTATTGAATTAATTTTTACTTTTTCTGTTTAAGAATATTCAAAATAGAATTCAAAAATTAGAAAATCACTTTTTTTATTATTATTTAGCACAGGTCAGACATATTACACTAACAACAGTAAAAACTTTACCGAATTTTACTCATAATTATATTACGAACTAACAATTAACTAACAAATATAACATGTTATTGTATAAAAAACAATTTCTTTCTTTTTTAAATTGAATTGTCATAAAAAGTCTTAAAAATGGCAGTCCAAGTCTTCAATTCTTCTAATGCCTTCTAAATTCGAAGAATACATTTATATAATTCAATTTAACTTATTTAACACAAATGTAGTATTATGATCAATCTTAAAATATATATTATACATATGATAAATGTTGTAAAATAATTGCAATATAATCATTTCGATTTGGGCTATTCTTTTTACGCTGATGTGACGTTCTGGCAAATCCATTCATGTTGAAGAAGGTCTTTGAGCTGCAATCGCTGGTGAGGCGTAATCACAAGCAACTGATTGAAAAAGAAAAATGATTAAAAATATTTTTAAAAAATAAAGAAGTGCAGAAAGATACATACTTTACGAATAAGATCACAGGCTAAATTGGAAACATGTGGTGGAAAAGAATAAACCGCATGAGTTATATTGTAATAAGTTTCTTTGTAACTTTTTGCTTCAAATGGTGGTTTGCCACAGAGGATTTCATAACACAGCACGCCACTGCTCCACAGATCAACTGTGTAGTCATGTTGCAGATTTTTAACCATCTCCGGAGGAAGATAGTCTAGAGTTCCACAGATAGTTTCTCTCCTAAAAATTTAAAAATTTCACTAGAAAGTTGACAAACTATGTAACAATTGGTAATCAACCTTGAGTTTGGAGCATGAACACTCCAACCGAAATCTGCAATTTTAAGTTGGCCTTCTGCCCCAAGCAAGATATTTTCAGGTTTGATGTCACGGTGTATTACACTCTTGCTGTGGCAATAAATTAAAGCGTCGGCCAATTGTTTTATTATAAATGCAGCCCTGAAATCGAACATAATTTTTTTAAACAAATTAAAGATAAAAAGTAGTTTATAACAACCACTTTATTATGTTTAAAACATAAATAGATATTATAACTACTTGTACGTGCCATATTAAGTATCCACAATAAATTTGAAATTCTAACTAAATGTATTTGTTATTGTTATATTTATGCCTCTTACCGCTTTTCATTAAATCTTTTTTCAGGCTGCTCCATTAATATTTTGTACAGTTCACCCATCTTTGCATATTCTAAAATAAGGTACACCCGTTTGGCATCGTGGAAGTAGCCATAAAGTTTAAGGATGTTAGGATGCCTGTGAAGAAGTTAGATTAAAATACCATATTTTTTTTTACCATTTAATCACCTTACCTCAGGTGAGCTTGGATCTCAATTTCTCTCCTCAGTTGGTGTTCTAGTTTAGCCTGTTTGACTTGAGACTTAAAAATGACTTTGAGTGCTATTATGTATTGTGACTGTTTCTCCCTTGCCAGGTAAACGCAACCAAATTTACCTTTTCCTAACGCTCGCCCAATTTCAAAGTGGTTCAAATCCCACTTTTTGTTTCTAGAACATTGCATATACATAGGGGCATTAAAAAAATAAAATAAAAATAATATAAAAAAATCAAGGCCTTTATTAACCCAGTAAAATGTACAGAAACGTTTTTATTATTAGTATGAGTAAAAAATTTACACTAGTGAACACCAGCACTACATAAACTATTCATCAATTGTCAAATCAAGGTCAAGGTTTGCCATGGTCAAGCAAAGTCCTTTCACAAAGGGGGTAAAGAGAAAAATATAAAGAAGTCATACAAGCCTAACAAAGCCAGAAAAAATGCTGGTCGTTGCTTCAAAAACCAAGGCACAAACAATTTTTCAACAAATTATACTCTGCACCAAAAATATGATTTACCAACTAATCTTAACCCACAGGGCTGTGGATATGCCAAGGCCAGCCTGCTGAACACTGTGGTTTTGTTCCAAGATGTTCTACCAATTTTGAACTTTATTTGGAACAATTACAACATATATAAAATGTTTTGGAGAGGTGATAGCTTTTGTGAATAGAAAGAAGGCTTTGCTTCAAAAGCCCTACACTTTTACATAATGGAAACAATTTCTAAAATGGATGTAAGTAAATACTTCCTGTCATACAGGAGGTATAATGTCCAACAACCATATGGTTGTCGTGGACGATGGTCAAACCTCTTTATAGTACATTTTTCATACTATAATCCATTAAAAAAAAACCCATACTCTCTGGCATTTATTTATGGTTTGGTTTAGGGCATTATTATGGTCTTGCATGGCAAATACAAAGGCACAGAATAGATTTAGTTGAGATTAATCTGCGCCCAATGTTGGTACTCCTAAACTACCAAATAAGCAAAGAACTAGAAAATTATCCTAAATCCAAGAAATGAAAAGCTTAATGCCAAGGAGTTGAAATGCTTCTGCATACTGACATCAAAGATTTCAATTGGAAAAAAAAAAAACCTAGGACTAGAAGACTATAATTACAGCATAACGTCAGTTTTCCAAACAACTATTATAACTAATTTGACAAAAATTATTCTCAGTGTTCACTGTTAAAAACATTTTCAAACCCAAAATCAGTTTAAAGTATTTGGATATTGCTCGAAGCTAAAAATTCAACAAGATAGCAACTGAAATACTAAAAAGTCCACCTTTGAAAAATAAATAAACAATTCAAAATATCTACTTTTCTAAATTCTTCAACACTTACACACTAGTGTTCTTTCCTTTTAATAAATGGCCATGGTTTTAATCAATTATGGTTTATAATTGATAAAATGAAAGAGCAATAAAATTAACAATATATGTATATAATGGCAATTTACCCATCATCTTCTTCTTTTGGCTTTCCATCAGGTTTTGGTGTTTGAACCAGATATTCTTCAGAGTTTTCCGATGGTTTGACCTGTTTTTCTGGAAGATCTTCAGGAAGTGATTCAACTATACATGAATCTTCCAACTCTTGGGGATTTTCCGTTTCTACGTTTTCTGTTTGCGCCTCGACATGGTTGCTTTGGTCAGCCAATTGAACTTGAGCAGATTGCACATCAGACATTGGGTTTTGCAGAGGTACCATCTTCCGTTTTGCCGGTTGCTTTGAATCAACTTTGGGGTCAGAGAAAGAGAATTGTTTCTTCACATTTACAGCCGGAACAGTTTTTACTTTCTCTTGAGGCTTCCCATTCGTTGTACTAATGCATTTTCGATTTAAACCCGTAGTAGACTGCGCTGCAGATGTGACTGGCCGGCTGCAACTAGATTTGACCAGACCCGAATTTACAACAGATTTTATCGGCTCCCTCTTGACTGAAGTTGGTTTGGTAGGATTTGCCGGTACAGAAGATTTCTTAAGATAACTAAATTTAAATTGTTCCATAGGCTTCAAATTTTGCACCTTAAGGTTCTCCAATCTGGCTCTGACTTTCTCTTGAGTTGAAGAAACGTTCGGCTTGAGATTCTGAGTTAAGGGTACCCTTGTTACACTGTTGGACCTCTGCTTAACATCCTTAATGGCCTCTAAGGGAAGAAAAAATCAAATCTCACCATGAAACTTATTTATGAAAATTAACACTACCATTTCTTGTAGAGGATCTCGACCGACTGTCAGGGATTGACGTTTTTACGAGTGGACGTTTTGGCTGAATCGGGACATTAGAGCTACTTGTACACCTGTGATGTGCAGGTCTACTTAATCTACAGGGCTGGTTATTTTCCTTTTCAGACATTTTTGCTATAAACAAAACAAAAATGATTTTGTCAGACACATTTCAGTTATTCATAGGGATGGTTAGGTATAGATATTCATATTTTATTAAGACCTATACAGTATTTTATAAGTAATCAATAAATTAATTTTTCATTATGCAAGTAGTACCAAATAGCTTTTTATGCTTTGCTTTTTGGCAGCCAGCAAGTGTGTGTAAAAGTAAAACTGATAAATAAGCGGGGGGGAACTTTAACAAGTAAAAAATCAACAAGTTTGTTGTCAGACTTTGAGAAGACTGAGGGATTATCAACCTTGTTTTCAAATTTTCTAGTAGTATTACATTTTTTCGCTGCAGTCATGAAAATAACTAATTTCTTCATATTACTTCATACTTAAATGACATACTATTAATGATTTTAAGATTTGACTGTTTCATATTAAATTGTGATATCTCTGTTTGAGGTCTGCAGGGAAAATAAGTAAAATTCTTTGCTGTACAAGCCTTAAGGTGAAATGAGCCTAAGAAATGACACCTTTATAAAAGAAAAAAAAACACTTTACTTAATTACTTTTTTGAATTTTTAAATGATCCAGAACAGCTCAATCTTATTTAACATATAAATAATTATTACACTGTTGCAATATATTCCATGTACCGATGAATTAAAGAACATTTTTCACTATATTGATACAATATCTTTAATGGAAGAGTCTAAAGTATGAAGAGACATTGCACTTTTGAAATTTTTAGTTAGGAGTCGGCAGTTAAGTTTAATTGACCCGATAAAGTAAATGTTTTTCTAAACCTATGTCACACCAGACTGCATCTCCCGATCTCGAAATAATCATTAATTAACGGTCACTAAAAACCACACATTAAAAATATACCTTAAATGTTTGGAGAACTTTCTCTTCCCAATAAAAATTAATTGAAAAAAATCAAATCTATAATGCATGCCTCTAAAACTTGTTTCTTGGTCTCCTGTAAATATTTTGAAAATGGATTGAGCAGGTTTTGAATCTAATCGCCTCAATTATGAACAATTTTTACAATTATTAATTCAAAATTTGTTATGGAAGGGTTGTCCTGAAGGTCTGTAAGTATGAGGAGACAACGCACTTTTGAATTTTTCAGAAAGATATTTCTCATTAAACAAGTAATCTTGAATAGCTCAATCTTGTTTAATATGTATTTAAACATTAAAAATATACCTTAAATGTTTGGAGAACTTCCTTTGTACAAATAAAAATTAATAAAAAAATCCAATCTATAATACATGGCCCTAAAACTTTTTTTGTTTCCTGTAAACATTTTGAAAATGTGTGATGATTAGTGACCGTTAATCGATATTTATTTACAAATTGTGAGATGCGGTCTGGTGTGATGTAGGTTTCAGAAAGAAAATGTTTTTCTGAAACCTACATCACACCAGACTGCATCTCACGATTTCTAAATAAATTTTGAAAAGGTTCAGCCAGTTTAGAATCTAATCGCCTCAACTTTTGAATTTTTCAGTGTTTCTCCTTGAACAAGTAATCTTGAATAGCTCAATCTTGTTTAATATACATTTAAAGATTAAAAATATACCTTAAATATTTAGAGAACTTCCTTTGTATACATAAAAATTAATAAAAAAATCAAATCTATAATGCATGGCCCTAAAACTTTTTTTGTTTCCTGTAAACATTTTGAAAATGGATTGAGCCAGTTTAGAATCTAATCGCCTCAACTTATAAACGATTTTTACAATTATTAATTCAAAATCTGTTATGGAAGGGTTGTCCTGAGGTCTGTGAGTACAAGGAGACAACGCACTTTTGAATTTTTCAGTAAGGTATTTCTCATTAAATAAGTAATCTTGAATAGCTCAATCTTGTTTAATATACATTTAAACATTAAAAATATACCTTAAATATTTAGAGAACTTCCTTTGTACACATAAAAATTAATAAAAAAATCAAATCTATCATGCATGGCCCTAAAACTTTTTTTGTTTCCTGTAAACATCAGGGGCACTATGGCAATGAGGAGGCGGACAGCCTGGCCAAGGAAGGTTCAAATACTGAGTTCGTCGGACCACAACCGGTATTACCCCACTCTTTAAGCACAGCAAAAGAGAGTATAGGTAGCTGGGGCATGAAACAATTCCTAAAGGAATGGAATATGTCCCCAGGATGCAGACAATCGAAGGAGTTTCTGAAGGAAATCAAACCTAAAGAATCGAAATGGCTATTCTCTAACTCTAGGAGGGGAATAAGGAGGCTGATAGGTATCCTAACGGGCCATTGCCCCTTGAGAAGACACCTCTTCATAATGGGTACTCTACCAGACCCCTTCTGCCGCTTCTGCGAAACAAAAGAAGAAACGGCCCGACACTACCTCGCAGAATGCGATAGGTATGCTAGGGAAAGATTTAATACTTTCGAAGGAGAGGACATAACCAAAACACTCCCCAGGATAAAATGGTCCACAATCCTGGGGTTTGTGAATAGGTCCAATAGGTTTATACAGGACTCGTGAGCCGACCAGGTCCCGGACCTTCTAGGGATGGGGTACGGGCCTACTCAGGCTTTTAACCCCTCGGGTCCTGGTCGCCCGCCCTGTGTAATATATACTGCCCTGTAAACATTTTGAAAATGGATTGAGCAGGTTTTGAATCTAATTGCCTCAATTATGAACAATTTTTACAATTATTAATTCAAAATCAGTTATGGAAGGGTGTCCTGAAGGTCTGTAAGTATGGGGAGACATTGGACTTTTGATTTTTTTCAGAAAGATATTCCTCCTTAAACAAGTAATCTTGAATAGCTCAATCTTATTTAATATGTATTTAAACATTAAAAATATACCTTAAATGTTTGGAGAAATTCCTTTGTACTAATAAAAAAAATCAAATCTATAATGCATGGCCCTAAAACTTTTTTTGTTTCCTGAAAACATTTTGAAAATGGATTGAGCAGGTTTTGAATCTAATCGCCTCAATTATGAACAATTTTTACAATTATTAATTCAAAATCTGTTATGGAAGGGTTGTCCTGAATGTCTGTAAGTATGGAGAGACATCGCACTTTTGAATTTTTCAGTGTATCTCCTTGAACAAGTAATCTTGAATAGCTCAATCTTGTTTATAATTTTAAACATTAAAAATGAGCAATAAATTGTCTAGTTATATTAAATTTTGGTTTTATGTAAAACTACGGATACATAATAGATAAGGATGGGGGAAAAACGATAACGGTCGTAACGGTTAAATATAAAAACAAAGGGAATATAAATTAATTAAACTTAGTAAATAAGCATACGAGCGATAGCGTAACGAAGGTAGGATTAGTTAAATGAAGTGTGAAGAAATAAGAGAGAAAAGAAAATGAAATCAAATAGGAAAAATGAAGGAAACACTTACTGATCTTCTGTTTACAAATGAGGAATTCGTAGAAAGATCCGTAAAGAGTAAATGTCTTCTGATAGGAATTTTTTTAAATAGAATAAAGACTGAAATATGGGAGAATAAATAAATATAACTGTTTAAGAAAAAAAAATTCCTGTTCCCCAAAAACCCGAGACCGGTAACGGAAACTCCTGTTCAAACGTGAAGGTAGAAGGGGAAAGGGAACCGCGGACGGGCCGACAACTAGAACCGCACAGGTGGAAAACATGGCAAACGATATCTCAAATCGTTCTCCACATGTGTATCGGCTTAGGTGATTTGTAATAAATAAAGACGACTTTCCGGCTCGTCGAAAGTGAATTTTCACCCGGCCTTTAAACGTCTCAGTCGAATTTTCTCTCTCGCCGGACACCGTGGAAAAAGTGGATTTTCCATTCTCTTCCTCGACCCCCTTCGACACGGCATTGAATCAGCGAGGCAGTGAAGATTAGAATGGTGGAGATCGTATGTACAAGTATAGTAATGATATAATAGGAAAGGACTATTGTTGGTTTAGTTTTTTATTACTTAATATAGTTCGGTTTGTTTCTCATTTAGACTAATCGGCCGGATATGCGCGTTTCTTTCCGTTTGCCCGTTTCACTGAGCGATTCCGTCGATTGAACCCGAAACGGTTTCAAGAATCAAACGAAGATCGAAATCAATTTAAACAAAAAAAGAAAACCTTTTTCCCGTTTTGATATCTTAGACATCGTTTTACCTTTTCCGGTTTATTTTCTTTACTGTCGAAACATTCCATATCTCTTCGTTGATTTTTCCTTTACTCCCCGGTTTTCCTTTTTTTCTTTTGTTTTGTTTGGGTTCTTTTAGACTAGGAAAAACTAGCTGGACCGAATAGGATAGCCCGGTATTGTGATCGCTCATTACCTATTTGGATAGGAGCTAACATTTTTTTTTCTCTTCCCTCAGATTCACCTGGAAACGATGATTGACATAACGATCAAGACGCTGGATTCCATGAATCACCAGTTTTCTGTACAGGATGATGTAAGTATCTTCCTTTTCAATGACGCGTCTAAAAAATCTCATTCATTTAATCGACCGTTTTGTTTATCAAAAGAAACAAAACAACACCCTAATAATTTCAAGTGCCAAAACATAAATAAGTCTTTTAAATACAAAATAATTCTATATTTATACATAGGCAATCATCTCTATGATTTAGACCTCTATGCCAAACGTCAGTTTATTCAACTGCACGAAGCATCTGTTTTCAAGTGGAAAAATCATGGAAGTCAAAAAACCTAAAAGGCCTAATTTCACCAGTCATTAACTTTTTTTTACAATTGATTTTTTTTTTAACAACCTACATATTTTGTATATTAGGGTATTATTAAACTTCATATTTAAATGTTACAAAAGAATAGAAAGAAGCCCAGTTATGCCTTGTTTCTTATTCAGTTTTTAATACATTTTTCTTATTCTCAAGAAGGGAAACAATGTATTTTTTAAAAAGTAATTGTGAATTTCCTGATGGGTGATTTACTTTTAGTCGTTGCTGATTATTTTGTTCTGCCAGTCCTCCTAAGTCTGTCAGACACGTTTCGTCTAATGTGGCCATCTTATCTGATAACTGATTAATATAAGTTCAAATCTGCATGTGAATGTACAGTAAATGTACAAGGTGTTCGGGTTGGCAAAAAAAAAAAAAAATAAATAAATAAATAAATAAAATGGGAGTAAAAAGTAGGAAGAAAGAAAAGAACACTTACTTCGCTTTTGTGGACTGTATGTTGAAGTGATGGAAGAGATCTGCAGTCCACGTTGTGAAGTTGGCTCCCAAATTGCAACAATGATGGTGACGTGCAGAGTGTATGGAAAACAGGAAATTGTGGACAAGTGGGTAGAGTTGGAATAGATGAAAATATTTTAAAAACTTCAGCTTCCAGGGATTTGGCTGCAAAAAGGCCAATTTAGGGTTTTCAAAAACTAGGGTGAGGTGATCAATTTAGATGTTAACGATGGAGTTTGATCATTAGAGATTGAGATAAGAACTGAGGGGAAAGGAATTAGGGTCGAAGGAAGTACGGGAAAAAAGGGTTAAAGCCTACTTGATTCCGCCATGTGCCAAACACCGGGGAGAGGTGGCCACAAGGCTTGCACCCCAAACAGATCTATTTGTTTTATAACTCATTGGCCAGCTTCAGCTTGTTAACCAATCAACATAGCCTGCAGCTACTTAATTTAGTATCTTGCTTGCATTTTTCCTCTCCTAGTTGCAAGAATCTGCACCTTCAAAGACCTTTATAAAAACATAAAATGTGCCGTCTCCCTGGCAGTATCTGCAGTGTTTCTTCTGTCTTACTCTTATCAGTACAGGTGCCTTAGGCGGCAGTGCCCTGTCAGTAGGCCAACCAGTATCCAAGCTAGGTTGCAGTTCCCTTCCAGTAATTCCCTTGTTAGTTTTGCAGATGGCCCTTCTATAAATCTCTTTGTGTGCCCATGCCTGGGGTATTATTACACCAAACTTTGGACTCATTGAGTAAGGATCCATTTTAACATATAAACTCTTTTGTGGCAAGATCCTAGGCAACAGTACAGGACTCTTGAAAATGAGAAACAGAAACTTCGCGTGTCTTTGAATCGGCATTGACCGGGATTTTTTAATCAGTTGTTGACGATGGCTGTGGTAGTTTAGACATAATGGTCCCATAGTTACAACAGTCCAAGGTTCAAATCTCGGCTTTTCTCTTGATGTTTCTATGGCTCCTCAAGCTTCTTTTTAATTCATAATTGTGTCTGTGATGTTTCAAAATCCATTAATATGCATCAGTAGTGAGTGAAAAGCAAAAACATTTACTCTATTGTATCGTGTTCACAATTTCATTAAAAAAAAAACTGAAAATTGTCAGTGTTTCTGAATTTTGCCTGTCAACATCGATTGTGAAACATTCTGTCAAATCCATATTTGCTTAGTGGTCATAATTGACCATATTAATTATTACAATTAATTATTCTTTTTATCTAAGGTTTTTGGTTGAGATCAAAAATCAGTGTCATGAGCAGTATTTGAACCCACGACCTTCTGCTCAATATGCCGCTGCTCTAACCATTTGAACTATAGTGACATTGATTCTGTGAAATGCTATGCCAAAGAAAAAGTGACGTTGCCAAATTAAAATTCAAAAATTGTCCAATTTTTTTTCCCCGTGTAGAAATGTGTGGTGATTAGTGACCGTTAGTCGATGATTGTTCGGAAATGGTGAGATGTGGTCTGGTGTGATGTCGGTTTCAGAAAAACCTTGTATTTGTTAAATTTAAACGATGTTTGTAAATCCTAGGCCCTGAAGATAATCTCAATAAAGATCGAAACTTTGGCATGATAAAGAAAAGGTTTTTCTGAAACCTACATCACACCAGACCACATCTCACGATTTCCGAACAATCATTGTAATGTTTTTTGTTTGTTTTTTCTTTGCTTGTAGGGTTTTTCATAATTAAATAATTAAGCCAAATTAAATGGATTTGTCTTAATTTTAAGTGTAAGCATTTTTATCGTCTCGGCGTTGGTAATTACAATTGCTGTCATTAATGACAAACTAACTATTCTGTTATATATGATATATATTAATAGAAGGTGCCCACGTGTCATTAATGATAGTTATTTTTAATAATAGTGCTAAGTAATGTGATGTCCTGGCAAAAGTTTAGTAGCCATTACGCTTGGTAGAGGCCAGCAGTTGAGCTACTACGTGCAGTAAGCTGTTGTCATTCGGCTCTAGAGAAAAAAATGGCGTTTATCCTATCTCCAAATCGCATATCACTGAAAGTCGATTGATCAAATAGTTAATAAGTAGTGATGTTAATTTTCATTTATTTTCGAATCGAAGTGTGTGGTTTTGTTTGAAATAAACTCCGTGTGGGAAGATTTGTTTCCGTGGATCATTATTGTTGCGTTATGTGCGTAAACACAAATTGTGAGGTTAACGATTGTCACAATATTATCGGTCGAATTTGTTCTAGTGAGAACGCAAAGTAGTGTAAAGTTTTTTCGATAGTACGCTGTAATTGTAAAGAGGGAGTGTGATCGATTTGCCGGATTTGGCGAGTGTTTTTATATTCGTTGACTGCGTACTATCGTGACATGTCATTAACCGAGAGGATGTCGGAAAAAAATCAAATAACTCCTCAGCCGATAGTTAAAATAGGTCATTACATACTTGGCCAGACGCTCGGTGTCGGAACATTCGGCAAGGTGAAAATCGGCGAACATCAACTTACGAAGCACAAAGTCGCCGTGAAAATTCTTAATAGGCAGAAGATCAAAAGCTTGGACGTAGTTGGAAAAATAAGACGGGAGATTCAGAACTTGAAGCTCTTCAGGCATCCGCATATAATTAAGTTGTACCAAGTCATCAGCACTCCGACCGATATTTTCATGATAATGGAATACGTATCAGGCGGAGAGCTATTCGACTACATAGTCAAACACGGGAAGCTGAAAGAATATGAAGCGAGGAGATTTTTCCAGCAGATAATATCTGGAGTCGATTATTGCCATCGTCATATGATAGTACACAGAGATCTGAAACCTGAAAATCTTCTTCTGGATCACAATTTACATGTCAAAATCGCAGATTTCGGCCTGTCCAATATGATGATGGACGGGGAGTTTCTCAGGACCAGCTGTGGCTCGCCGAACTATGCAGCACCGGAAGTCATTTCCGGAAAGCTCTACGCCGGCCCTGAAGTCGATATTTGGAGTTGTGGGGTCATTTTGTACGCACTACTCTGCGGGACGCTTCCTTTTGACGATGAACATGTACCGACGTTATTCAGGAAAATTAAATCTGGTATATTTCCCATTCCGGATCATTTAAATAAATCTGTCGTGAATCTTTTGTGCCACATGCTGCAAATAGATCCCATGAAGAGAGCTACAATAGAGGATATCAAGAAGCACGACTGGTTTCAGAAAGATCTCCCTGCTTACCTCTTTCCTTCACCCGTAGAACAAGATTCTTCAGTCATTGATACAGACGCTGTTCAGGAGGTGTGCGAAAAATTTGGGGTGAAAGAACAAGAGGTGCATAATGCTCTTCTTTCAGGAGACCCTCATGACCAGCTGGGAATAGCTTATCATTTGATCATAGATAACAAGAGGATAGCAGACGAAGCTGCCAAAGCCGAGTTAAAAGATTTCTATGTTGCTAGTAGTCCTCCTCCAGTGTCTTTCAGTCCGAATGAGCTAAGCCCTAGTCCGATTAGGCCTCATCCTGAGAGGATCGGACCTGCTCTAAGAGACAGGGCCATGAATTCTCTCAACAAAGATGGTGTTAATGAAATTGGTCGCAATGCTAGCACCCCAGTGAAAAGAGCAAAATGGCATCTTGGCATTAGATCCCAAAGCAAACCTTGTGACATCATGAACGAAGTTTTCAGGGCTATGAAAGCTCTAGACTTCGAATGGAAAGTCATCAATCCCTACCACGTTAGGGTGCGCCATTCTACACCAAAATCTGAAGATGAATACACAAAAATGTCATTGCAGCTTTACCAAGTTGATTATAAAAGTTACCTCCTTGATTTTAAAAGTCTGGGCAGCGAAGAGGATCCTCTACCGATGGAAGATATAACAAATCTTCAGCAGACGAGTGGACATCACACGATGGAATTTTTTGAGATGTGTGCCAGCTTAATTACTCAGTTGGCCCGATAGTTTGGGTACTTAAAAGTACTTTATGTAAACATTAAATGTACAAACAGCCGCTGCTGCTAAATACGATCATTTAAGTCATTTATGTAGTCATAAACTTGCAAGAAAATCATTGTTCCTCAAATTAAAATCTAAAATGTTATTGTTGTTAACAAAGCATGCAATAAAAAAATAGGGTTAAAATAACAGTTGAATGTTGTAACAACAAAAGTAAAACTATTTCTTGTTATTGAAATTTAATACATCTGCTAATAAATGTTGTAAATATTTTACATTTTTAAATAAATCCTTTATCTGTTTATACACGGAACAAGTTATAGAAACAAAACATCATACAGTACAATTGTAATAATATTTTTCCATTTTTAGCTTTTGACGTTTCACAAAAGCATTATCAGTAATAGTTATTTATGCCAAGCGCTTGGGGATTATTGAGAAGAAATTGGGAGTAAAATTGTTGTACTTGGAATAGATTGGGATTGGAGGTTAGTGTGGTATTTTTTATAGCTGGATTTTGCAACTTCATTTAAAAAGGGAACATTTAGGTCGTACAATTGGAAACATAGAACATGTTAATATTGGAACTAAGGATTTGTGGTTGTAAGGTCTGAATTATGCGGAGATTGTAAAGGTTTGGGTGAACCCAATAGTTCGACAATATTCCTTATTGGTTTTGGTGAGTTAGTAGGCTAGTTTTAAAAAGCTAGTAGTTTTAAGTAATAAGTCCTTCAGTTCTATCGTTTTAAGTTAGTAGGGATTTCAGGTGAGCCGTTTGTCTATATACAGCTCTAGGTAGTAAATGAAGTTTTCAGCGTTAAGGGGTGAGGTTTAATAGATTGTAGGTAGTGATGAAGGTTTTGGGACTTTGTGGTTTTTAGTCTAATTCGCCATTTTTCGAACCATTGTTCAACATAAGTTGTCTGGAGGATTTGATGAGCTATAGAAGAATAGTGTCATCAGTACAGTAACAATCTTAGGATGCTACCATGAGGGACTCCCATGTCCACTCTATACAAAGGAGATGATACAACCTATACTGTAAAGTACTTGTTTGCTGTATATGCTATAGTAATTAAGGATAAGGAATGTGTACAGGGTAGGATACACTTGAATTTCCTGAGCAAACCGAGGTGCCAGTTTTTCTTGAAAGCCTGTTCTAAATCGAGAAAGACACCTGAACAGCATTTTTCCTCTCAATGGAGGATGCTATGTCCACAACATAAGGCACTGTTGAGGGGCTAATTTTAATATAGAAAAATAGGGAAAACAAATTTATGTTAAATCAGTGTCTCCTCATATCCATAACAAGTATAATATTAATGTGTGTTTTTTTTAGTTGTTTAATATTTTGTTGGATTTGTGAGGAGCGATCAAGAAACCAAGCCTCCAATCCAACAAATTATAATATTAAAATTGATTAACTTTATTGTACAAAAAATGATGCAAAATACATTCTAATGAAAAAATCTCTATACAGCATAAATTCACCAAACATAGTAAATGCTTATGTCTTTTTTCCCATATAGAAAAATATTTAGTATTGAAAAATTATGGTTCTCATCAATGTGTAGAGATTAGTGACCGTTAATCTATAATTATTCAGATATCGTGAGATGCGGTCGGGAGTGATGTAGGTTTCAGAAAAACATTTTCTTTATCGTGCCAACGTTTCGATCTTTTATTGAGATCATCTTCAGGGCTCAAAGTGTTTGTCTTCTGTGTAATTGTGCCATCCTTGTGTGTCGTGTTGAGAGTGCCCACTTTCTTCATTTTTTGTTCTCATCAATGCAAATTTAGCCTCAATCCTTCTGTCCTCTCACATTGATTTTTTTTATTATTATTAGCAACTGCTATTTGCAATTTGATCTTTTTCAATCATCCTGGTCTGCCTATCCTCACTATGTTGGTCTTGTCAGATGCGTTTCAGCAAAGTCAAATCAAAGCTCTTCACTGAAGATGACCAAATGTGTCTGACGGATCAACACAGCAAGTATTGGCAGGCCAGGATGATCAGTAACATCCAAATTAAGGTCCATCTCCCTGCAGACCATACAGAGAAATCTCACAATTTGTTGAAATTAGTTGATCACAGAAGTGGAAATTCTATTTACTTGGCAAACAGGTTTATGCGAGATAAATGTAAATTACTTTTTGTTTTTGCTTATTTACTGTAAAGGCTGGGTAGTGTAAAAAGAATTTTTAGATTTACAAAGAATACATAAATGGATGGTTTGCATTCGGACATAGTATGACATTAATCACTAATGTTCATTTATAGGATTTTTTTCCGCGTTTTCACATGTTCACTGTGGGATCTATTTTAGGTGAATATTTCTTGAAATTTGAGACGATCTCAATTGAAAGCATGACTCCATGGTTGCGCTGCAGTGAACATGTTAATATTTTTGTTTTAAAACATAAACTATGAATAAGTGTGTAAAAAAATTTTTGGAAAAAATTGAATAAGTGGTGAACAAAGCACTCATGGTGTCAGGAGCTTGGCTCATAAATGCCTAACACAAAAAATCAATTGAAAGGGAGGTGGCGTTACTTCATATTTACAAACTTATAGTAAAAACTGAGTTAAGTCAATTTAAATTGCTCTCTTGAATTCACTAAGTCTTACATACTTATTCACAATGCTTACAGAATTTTTTTATAAGGTTTAATCTTTATCTTGATTAAAAACTCAAATAAATCTGAAGGGTTTAAGCAAGCTCACAATTTATTTTTATTAATTTATAAAATAGGATTTTTTTTTTGTTACAGTTACAGTATTTCCTGTTTTTAGATCCTTACATCATATTTTGTTTATTTTTTAGTTAACTGTAAAGAAGTTTAAAGAACAAATTGCATCCCAAGTGAATGTTCCCGCTGAATCACAGAGGTTGATTTACTGTGGAAGAGTACTTGTTGATGACAAAAAATTAGCAGATTATGGTAAGTTATAATTTATTAAGTGTATTAATTTGACTGAAAAATATTGCTTGGAGATAATTTGGTTTGAAAGTATTGTAATTGAAACAATATTTGATCTTATTTATTCTTTAAATTGTTAATATACTTTCATTTTCCAAGCTAGTGTAATTTCATTAATGAAAATAGTACACCTCATGGGAAACGTTAAAAAATAATTTATTTTTAAATAGATGTTCATGGAAAAGTTATTCACCTTGTACAAAGGGCACCTCCTTCGACGACCAGCTCAGACAGTGGAAATGGAGGAGGAGAAAGCAGGTCGACACAGTCAAGAAACGTCGGTTGGAGACCGTTTAACCAGACTGTACGTTTGGACGGAGCAAACGGGAATGCAATGTATCTCGGTGCTATGGCGTTTCCTGCTGAGCTCATGGATGCTCAAGGGATCACTGTGCCTCAACCAAGGCAAGGACTTTCTCAGAACAGATTTTCCGTCTGGAGGACCATGCTTCGCAGAGCAAGGAATTTGCTACACCATTTGGAACATCCGACTCAAGCAGAACCGCCCCCTCCTCAACCAACACAAAATGTTAACACAACTCATACTACTAGTAACCTGTATGCAAATCTAACAATATTTTCAATTATTTATATATTTTTTCATAATATAAAATTTACTTACAATTTCAGAGATCACATTGCTATCGTGGCCCAAGCATTAACTGAAGCTGTAACTAGAGCTACTGGAAACAATTTACCACCCCCAGTTATTAACATAGAATGTAATTATAATTAATTACTTTTTTTTATTCTATAGCTGTAACTTTTGATTTAATATTTCCGTGTTTCAGTTGCAGCCAGAAGAATGGATTCAAATGAATCACCACCTGGTGAACCAGCTGCAGATACATCCTCTAGCAACAGCCCAGATGAGTTATCAAGCTCCGCATCGATAAATGATCCATTGCTCAAGTGAATATTCTTTTGTTGTTTATTTTATGTTTATTTCACCTTCTGTTTGTTTTAGTGTTCCGCCAGAGGTAGAGAGGCCTACAAACAGTGAGCAGTCTCCTCCCGCTGAAGGGGAAAGCACTAACACGAACAGCAGAAATGGAAACAGGTCAAGAAGTTCTAATTCAAGCTCTACTGCCAACGCAGCCGCTCTTGCTGTTCTTATTGACCAATTGAGGGATATAAATCAGAGAATCACTCCATTCTTGGACATGTACTACACTCTAATGAGGGATGATCCCCCATTAGAATATCCTGTAATTTTTTTTTCCAAAATAATATATATTATTCATTCATATCAATATGAAGTAAAATTGGTTTTTATTGTGATTTTTAGAATGATACTCAAAGGGTTTTCAACCAAATATCAGAGTTGATGCACTATATGGCGCATACTTATCATGCACTGAGCGATGTCATTTGCGATTTCAGCCAACCTCCTCCTAGAACACTCCGTTGTCGCCCTGTACTTATACAGCACTCTGCAGTTCTCCAGGCAGGAGTTCCTATTCAGGTGATCTCTGAGTTTAAACATTTATCATAACAGGGGTTAAATACAAAACATTTAAATGAAACAGAAATATAATAGAAAAGGCTGGTCAAGATAAAAGAAACATGTTCAATTGTTTTCAGGCTTTTAGCTAAAAAAAAATAGAACATGCATGAAAAATTTTAACATGAGAAGTTTAAATCTTTTTGAAGATTGTCCAAATTATAAAATAACCGTGTTGATATAAGAGGGTGAAATAAGGTTTGCTCCAACATACAGTCACAAACTAGTTGCTGCATGATTTATTGACTCAAACATTCACTGATCACAGATTAATTCTGTTGAAACGCTTTTTTTCTGATCTTGAAACAATGAAATATTTTGAATTGTAAATGGAATTAGGGATCAGAAATATTGTTAAAAATGTTTGTAGCCCAAATTTTGTAACCTAAATAAATCAGCATAAATAATATATATCTGCCCAAAATTTCAATTTTTTTAATACAGGGTTTGATTTTATCTATTTCCACATATATCACGATCTGGCACACTGTTGGCCAATTACCTGATAGAAATTAAGCAAAGTTTGCTGTTCCCATCCCTAAAATTTGATGCGGATTTAACTTTCCGGGAATTAAGATGTAAACAAACCGAAAATAGAATTCTCTTGAAATAATGGCCATCTTGAGGTCTCCCTCCCATTGTCAAAAGTTCTATGTGCTTATTGTTTTGCTTTAACTGAAAAATTAATTTTTGTGAAGTAGTCTGGTTGTGGAAGGAAATAGAGGCTTCATTTAAAACACAAAAATAGTGTCACCTTGCGCTGTTCTATTCCCTTTCAAAATGAATATGCACTAGATTAAAAAAAATTCTATATTAAAAGGAAATTGTTCAATTATTAATCGGGTGATGCCAATACATTCATTCTGTGTATTTTAATATTTTTAGAGAAAATTATATTGCATTTTTGAAGGTTTTTTTTAGTACATATATATAGCATATTTGAGAGATTTTTAGTGCATGTTAGAGGGCTGTTTTTATTGCATATAAAGCCGAGCCATAGTTATAGTTCTGATTTGATAAGCAAAAACGTGGGAAAACGTCTGCACATGACTCATTGCCAGTCTCTAACCAAGATCTCGGGCTATTTTGACAGTCAAAAACCAATCACAAACATGGCCTGAAACCACGTAGTAATGGCTGTCTGACAGTTTGAGCGTGCATTTTTTAACGTGTTGGGATGCTTGAACTCAACTGAGCATGTGCCCAACAGTTTGTATGCTTGTTGGAACAAACATAATCACCAAAAACTTGGCAACTATCTTTTATTTAAAACTCATACAAATTCAATATTTTGATCTGTATATTGTATCAAAATTGATTAGTGGTACCTTTAGATGTGTTCAATTTGTTCCATTCCTGAATTCGTAAGTAATATGCTTTTTAGATCATTTTTCCCATTGAAATGGTATTAATTTTCATACCAGCCTTCAAAAAAAAAGAACTCCATTTTTTTATAATAAAGTATTTATAATAAACAAATAAACAAAATAAAACCAAACACATACAAACATTTTTACATGTAAAGAAGGATCTGAAGAGATAAACAGCTTATACATAGCTTATACATAGTAAAATTAAATGTTTCATTTACTACACTTTTTCCATAATTAATATTTTATTAATATTATTATTAGTAATAATGTTAATTAATATTTTACGAATTAAAATATTTTTGGTTGGGTACTGAGGGGAGCCAACCAGTACTCTACCAAATTTCCTCTTCCCAATAAACTACTGTTGGGCTTATAATCCACAAAAAGGACAAATAAAATTGCCTGAGAAACAAAACAAAATAAATTAAAATTTGTTTTACAAAAAAAATACAATTTTCTTGATTTAAAAAAAAAAAAAAAAACTATAGAGATTACTCTTTTAATATTACAAGTTCATTTCTCTCAAGTTCCTCAGTTGGCCATTTATGCACAATTGGCTTAATTTCTTTCATACTATCTCTAAAGACATTCCATCTTGCCCCCCACTTTCGTTTGATAATGTTAATTTTAATTGAATGTGTAGTTTTAGTATTTATTTATTTTTTTGAAGCGCCTTACCAAAATTGAATTAACAAATTGGCTCACGCTCTTTACTGTTGAAATCAGGTTGTGCCATGTCGCGGGCAGATTAAATGCTGTTATATTATACACCCTTTAAGAGAATCAACTACTTTGTAGTAACAACCAAGGCCTGATATACCATGTATAAGTACACAGCATTAACAAAACAACTGATGAATTTTATTTTCTTCTTTCCTTTTTATTTAGTTGTTTTTATTTTCTGGAAATGGCGAGGATCAATAACCTTTTTTCCTTTCTATTCCTTTTATTTGACCGCAATGCATAACTCTAGTTGTGTATAAACCCCTTAAAGCCATGAATAGGGGAGCCGGGAAGATGGTCCCTAAATGCATTGCGGTCCAAATAAAAGGAATAGAAAATAAAAAAGGTTGTTGAGATCATTATCCTCACTTCATTGTTCGATTTTAACTATTGAGGCTGAGACACACATTTGATTTGAAGAACTTCTAATTTGTTTTAGCAATTTATTAATTACAAGGCAATTTTCAGTTGAACTTGGGTGCGGTAAGCCATTCAAATAGCCAAAACCGAGGTACTACAGCCTCCAACACTGATTCAGAACGTAACACCAATCAGCCTTCAGCTGGTGCTACACCTTCAGCCCAAGGTGAAGAAAGAACTTCGAACGCATCTACCTCCGAAGAACCAACCAGAACACCAGAGCCTTCGACACATTCGACAAACAGATCTACAAGTACAGTACCATATTCATTGTTCTTATGCAGTTATTATTTGATAAATATCGTTATTAATCCAATGATTGTCGTCATGAAAGTTCAAGAGTGAAATTTTCAAATTTGTGTTTAATTTAGTCTGTATTTCAATTAAAATCCGAAAGATTGTTGTTTCTGAAACTATACCAAATTATTGAGCTGCCTTAGGTTTTGAATTATGGAATTGCCCTACATTTAATGTTTTTAAAAAAGTGGGTATTTCTTTCTGAAGTACAAGTTGACTTAATTTGAAATGAAATGTGAGGGGTGAATGTGTATGAAAGGCCACATTGATATCAATTCTTTTATTGTAGGTGAATATACAGTAATCTGAACAAACGATTACATGGGTTGTTCAGATTATAGAGGATGTTAAAAAATTACAAATGCAAGAAAAAAAATTACAACAACCCTTCAATATTTATTCTTGCATACATAATAATAAACCTATTAGAATATACTGTCAATTTTCTTTTAAATGCAGTTACATTATACACCCATTAAGGGAATCTGTTCTTTAGTAACAACCAAGGGATCTGAAACAGTCTATAAGAAGTACACTGCATTAACAAAAGAACAATTTTTTTATTTAACATTTTCTTGCTTCTTCTTCTTTTTACTCACTTAGAGCAGTTGGTATATCTAACATTTCATTTTTTATTAGTGAAGGTAGGTGAGGGGTTTATTGAACATAAGAAATGGTCGAAAATTTATAGTCTAAGCTTCTTCGTTTTTCGTACGACTCTACTTCTTACTCTCTCATGCTCGCTTCTCTCTCTCTCTCTCTCTCTCTCTCTCTCTCTCTCTTTCTCTTTCTCTTTCTCGTTATGTTTCTCTTTGTTATTTTACTTTAAATGCATTACAAAAACCATTTTATGGTCATCGATTATTTCACATTGACAACACAGAGCATAACTACAAAATTATCTTTAAATTAAATCATCTTGTGTTACTGTCATATCATAAATAAGAAAAAGTCTACAAATGAACAAAAAAAAAAAACTATGTAATATTATATTCATAAATTTTTCATCACAATAGTGACTAAATGCTTGTTATTACTTTGAAGGGAAAAAAAATCAATGCTGTTTTCCAACCGCCTTCATTTCATTTTATTGTTTAATTTACATTTAAACTACCTTTTGAAAGAAGTTTATGGAAGGAGGAGTCTTAAACTTAGGGTTTTATTTATTTAGGTCAGATGAATTTTGTACCAGCAGGTGAGTTTGAATTCGTTTTGGATGTCGCGCATAGTGCCGAATTTGTCCCAGATACTGGTATTGGTTCTCTTCTTGGAGGACGAGGCGAAAACGGGGATGGCAGAACTTCTCGAGGTACTTGAATGTTGTTTTAAAGCAAAAAAAAAAGTTAAAATCATTTTAATTTCATATTGACTAATGTCAGTTTTAGTTATAATTTTTCACAATTAATTTGTCCTGTAATTTCAAATTTAAGTATTTGTTTTCTAATATTTCCATGCATTGTATATTTTAAATAAATAACCAATTTTTTTATAATTAAAGCATGCCATTTGGTGGTTTAATGTTATGCAAATAGTCACACAGACTTAACTCCCTCCATTTTACTTCATTAATTTAAAAGAAAAAAAAGTATAAAATTCCATAAACAGCCTTGATTTTTTTTTTAAGTTTAATTTTTTTTTTTATCATTTAGTAAATATTGTCATATTGTGAATCTTCCAACAGGTGAAGCCCAAAATATAATCCAGTCCCTTGTTGATAATATCATGAGCCAGACTGTTTATGAGATCAACACCCAATTGGGGGGTGGAAACGGTTCGTCACAAATGGGAGAATCTGGAAGCACATCTAATCGAATCCAAGGGAATTCAACCGCCGTCGCAGCAGACGGGAATGAAGAGACCAACAGAGAAGAACAGGAGACGAGCCCCAACCGTACAGAAAGTAATATCAGAAGTTGTGTATTCAATATTCACTCAAATGTTACAAGGCCCGAAAATGAATTTCCAAGCAACTCTTCAGGTACCACTGGACCATTCTCTTCAATTCCAAACCAAGTGTGGTCTTCTACTGAGACATGGCCGACTACATCAACAAATACCAGATCGACTACAAGGCCCCATGTTCATGTATCACCTGGATTGCAAGGTATATAATTAAAAAAACAAAATTTTTTCTGTGAGCATATTATTTCGTTGTACCTTTCATTACTATTTTAGACCAATTCAATTTTTCTCCCTACTTTTTGTTACACATAAACTGTTGGTCTTGAAGGGTCTGGCAAAATAAGCAATTGGGTTTATTTCAATATAAAAATAACTGAATAAAAAATATGTTCTTTACAGCACGCTTATTTGCAGGAATTGGAACTGCAAGCATGCATGGATTTTTTGATCCTTTCCTACCGTGCAACTCGCACCACATAAGAAGCTCAAGGCGCAGGAATCAAAACCAGCAAGCAGAACAGCCATCTGGCCAGTCAGCATCAAACAACTCGGCAAACGCAGAAAACACAGAGGCTTCGGGACCTTCAACTGGCAGCACTACTGAACGGTCGACCACCGCTTCAGGTGCAGATGAAATAAGGGCAAGGAGGCCGAGAGATGATTTCTACGGATTGTTAAACCGTATGCTTGATCGTTAGTGATTTGTTATTAGTTTTAGTTTTCATTTACATTTTTATTAATTGTCACGGGTTTTTTATAGAACACACAACAACTAATTTACGTCCGACCGTGCCAAGGAATTTAAGGATGATGAGTGGTGACCGTTTTACAGGAGAAAATAATACAATCGTTTTCCATATTCCAAATCACGTCACTGTTAGTATTTATAATTTATTACTGCTACAGTTCACAAGAAGTTTTTATTTCTTAATCCTCAATTTATTCTTTTCATTTTGTTTCCTTATTTTTTATTTTTATGGATAGTTGAATTCTTATTTATAGGCTATTTTGAAGGTGGTTAAAGACATTTTCAATCTACATTAGTATTGAATTTTTTTTAGCCACCTTAAAAACGATAATAAGTAAGAAGAATTAAATTATCTTTAATTGATTTCTTCTTAAGGAAACATATAAACTATAACTGATTATTCAATTTTATATTATTTTAACACTAGAAATTGTTAAAATAAAAGTATATTTTTATGAAAGCTTGAATTTTAATGCATAAAAAATCAAGCAATAGCAGTTAATACTAATACAAATAATTTCAATATTTTATTGCTTTTTTTTAAATATTTTTAGCCTCTTCCTCGGCTTACACCATACTTAAGGATTGTTCAAGATGCCGTGGACCTCAGGGATCATCCCAACCTAATAGCTGAATTGTTTACGATAATTTCCTCAAACATTAGACTTTTTGACTTCTGGGCGTGTGATGCGAGACAGATCTTACTTTCATTGAGAACTGGGCTTGTTCAGTTTGTCAGAGAGACCCTGTTGAGCGGTCAAGTGAGCCCCGAAGAAGTTAGTGATGCTGTTGACAGACTAAATTCAGACCTCCGGCCAGCCTTTCGGTCTTTTCAGGAATGGCTACAAAGCATTCATTCCCGCTACGATAACAATATCAATGTTGTGGAGTCTCTGAATCAGCTTCATCGTTTTTACTTGCCTAAGATAATCTTTGATATTTTGCAAGAAGGTAAAATTTATCTATGCCCTAATTTAGCGGATGTTTTCAAATCTATTGCATTTTTCCAGATGAGAATTTGTATTTTCAAAACATTTCTAAGCATTTGACTGAGTATGGCCAGCATTTGACAGGTCTCATTGAGCATCTGTGCCAGTTTGGTGATGGACCAAGGGACATGCTTGAAACAGCTTTTATTGCTCTAGGGGTATGTTGCTTTACTCTATAATATCTAAATTAAATTGTACATCACAGCCGAGTTAAGAATTTTTAAATAATTTATTAATCAATAAATTTTTATTTTGTGTTCCCTCAATGCTGTGACAGTACGGTAAAATGTAATGTCATTAAAATAGGCCTGATCACTTTGGCTGTGATATTAAAGATACAATTAGAATTTTGTTATATTAAACTGTTTCATTTTTTTTCTTTTTCTTCCAGTCATTGGTCCTTGTTAGCGTGCCAGGAATGGACACAGCGACACGTCATCACTTAGCCCGCGAACTGCGATTATTCGCTTTTTCAATGATTCCTTCGAATGTCTCTATTCAGAGGTTCCTTGTCAGGACAACAACTCCTCCAGGTGCTCCTAGCTCAACACCAACACCAGCAGGATTGACGACTAATGGCAACGTGCCATTGATTGAGATACTGATACCTAGTTCAAGCAGGCAAGCTCCAGCACCTGTACCCCCACCGCAACAGGCCACTCCAGCTCCACCGGCACCTATTCCTCCCGTTGCCACTCCGCAGCAACCACCCCCGCCTGTTCAGGTATAAAAACTATTTAAACAAAACTCAACCATTTAATATAAATAATTTTAAGCCCTTATTTTACACTTGTATTTGAACTCATATAAAGGTTAACACAGAAGAAATAAAACCAGGACAACTATTTTTTCAATCCAAATTAAAGAATTGGTTTCACCAGGGAATTGAGCAGCTGACAATTCATTATTGAATACAATAAACTATATTTCCATGATTGAAAGTAATTTATATTTGGAAATATGACAGCAGCTGATGTCTGCTCTGTTGCTAAAGTATATTGATAAAGGATTAAATTAATTATAACCAAATATAATTATTAATAAAGACAGAAGCACAGACAAAGAAAAAATAACAATCAAATACCATTTTTTTATATTCATTTTAGGCTCCAAAGTGTATCAAAACATCTGTTCTTATAAATTACTTAATTTTGTGTTAGATTATGGTGAAATAAATTAAGGAGTTTGGTCTTTAGCCAAAACTGTAAAATTTCATTATAAGGCATTTTTTGTATCAAATCTTGCTTTATTTATGTATTATTACTTTTACAGCCTATGGAAGTGGAAGATCCGTTTGTAGAGACTGAAGGAGTACCTACTGCCGAACAGATAGCAGAGCCGCTGCCAGATGTAATCATTGGCGCAGAACAGTGGCACAACCATGTGCCTCCAGTAAGCGAAAGCTCTCTATATTTTCACTAATAATTTCTGCCATAGATAAATGATTTTTTTTTTCTAGGATTGGGTGCCAATCATAACAAGAGACAGGGAGAGGCAGAGAAGGCAAACTGCCCAAGGTGCTCTCAGCGAAGCGTATTTGTCAGGGATGCCAAGCAAAAGACGCAAAGTGGTGACTTCTACAAAACCACACAGCAATCTTGCACGAGTTATTTCTGGTAATTTAATTCCTTCTTAGTTTAGTTTGAGGATATTACTGGATAAAGTAAGTAGAGACAATCTAAAACCGTTCACAAAAGTTGTTTAATTAAGGAGAATTAATAGTATAAAGCAATTAGAATAAAGAGCAACTAAAAGTTTCATCATATAAGAAATTTTTATTCACTTTTCTTGGAACTTAGATCGAGGTGTGCCATTATTTTGGCTTGTCTTTACAGACAGATCTAAGACCAGCGAGGGTGTGGCTTGTGCTGTGTATCACGAGTATTCATCCACGTCGTGGTCGTTCCTCCACACAGCAGAATCGTACGCTATTTCGCATGAACTGGGATGGTTCGAGACAATGGTGGCTCTGCCTATCTTGTCTGCACTAACTCCGTCAGCGTGGTTACGGTCTGTGACATTTTCTCCATTGACCCTCTTACACTCTTATTGGAGAGATATGAAGCATTTCAGCAAGAGGTGATTGTTGTCTGGTTACTTGGACACATGGAGAGTGTGGATGGATTTGGCTTTGGAGGCATATCGCATTGGTGGTTGAAATGACCTAGCTGTTGTTAGCGCCGGAACCCAACATCGTTGGCTGAATGGTTTAGACTAAGGCCTGCCCTCGGAGTGGATGATTCTCGAGGCCTGCCGGTAATTTATTGTAAATCACAATTGCTGGTGGAAGTGAAAAGTTAGGCTTAGAAAAGGCTTAACTCACTTTTTAGGAGTAATGTTTATGATTTGTTAGTTTTTTTTTTTTTTTTTTTTTTTACAATTTTCTTCCTTTTATTTTCATGTCTTTTTCTTTCAACAAGTCATTCACTAATAATAATGTTTTGCAGAGAGCATGACTACAGCAATGGGAGCTGCTGGTGTTTCACCTGTAGAGAGTGTAGCAGAGAACGCCGGGACGGACATGAGCATCAGGGCCGCTTACAAGGAACAAGTGAGGACCACCGTTGAGGCCAAGCTACGGACAAACCCCGACTACAAACCAGAAAAGTACCCAAATGCGGCCAAGCTCTTTGGCCCCAAGTAGTGTACAACTAACAAAAACAAATCTTCAGAGTTTTAATATTTTTAATAGTACATACAATTATTATAAAAATAAAATAACACATTGAAAATTTGTTTATTTATAATTCTCGTAATCGAAAATAATCTAATACAGTTTTTAAAGAAATAGCTTATTCCTTTTTCTAGTCTTTTTTTTATTTCATTATTTCTTCCTTGGACCGATTGAGATGGCAATCTGTAAGAAATGTTTATCTTATTCCAGGAAAAAATATATATTATATTTAATATATATATAAACGTTAGGGAGTAGATAATTTCTAATGTAAATTTACAATATTCTGAAATACAAAAAAAAAATCAATATATAACGTGCTTGCCAATTATACAACTGTTGATAATTAACTCATTTTGTTTAGTAAATATATGTAATATTGATAAAATATATTTAAGCGTTTTTGCATTAAGATTACTGATGTAACCATAAAATGCTCTTAACTCTTTTAGTGTGCACAAAACATCCATAAAAAGTGATTATTTTTATGATTTACATGTAACATAAGTGTATCTTTTATCAATGGGAGACAGGTGACAGAATTAAAGTTATAAATGTACCATTCCATTCGCAGTTTTTCTTTTCTTGTGACTTTTATTTTGTAAAATTGAAAAACTCTGTAAAAAAATATATAATTTTATTGTCTTTTTCTTTTCTTTTTTAATTTGTACATTTGACTTCAGTACTAGTTTAAATAAAGTAAGGCAAATTAATAGTTTTAACGTTATAGTGTGATTTTTAACCTTCCTCTTCAACATAGAACACTAAAAAGAAAAACAAATCTCAATTGACTTTATATTTTAGGTTGATTTTATGCTAGTTATGAAAACAAGACCGAAGGAAGTTTCAGCAACAAGTAATCAGTATGTTGTGAGAATGAGAAATGTAACATTCACTCTTGGCTAAGTTTTCAACAACTTGGAACTTGATTTCTATAAAAAAGAATTGGCAAACCAAAATATATTTATTTATTGGCAATTATTGAACATAAAATGTATGGAGAGGTAAGATAACCCCTTTAATTTTTTTATTGCAATTTGTTGATCATACAACTATACATTTCTTATTTTAAACATAGCTCATAAACTCTCTTACATAGGTGGCATCAGTGGTTGTAACTAGGCATTGACAAGGCACAGCGCTCATGACTAAGGAATGGGATCTGGGTTCGAATCCCATGGCCCTGAGTTTGAACCTGATATACAAATGGCTAACCTTGTCGTTAAAATACCCTCGTAGTTCTAAATTATTTTCTTTGAGAAAAAAGGGGGAAATTTAATTGGTATTTGATCTTAACATGGAACGTTCTTTCACATTCTTTATAATTTTCCTTACTCCAATCATATTTTTTATGTTTTTCTTATGATTAATAAATAGCATTTATTTCTCTTTTGATCATTTTTGGTAAGAGTTGGAAATTAATGTTTTTTAACACAGTTGGTGCACTTAAAAATTATTTTGTCATAGTTTGAAGTAGTAAAGGACTTATTTTTTGTTAATGAATTGAATGATATTTCTTGGAGTATTTAAAAGTTATGGTAAAAATGGATCAGTCCCCTGATAAATTTGTCTACTGCCATTTACTACCAGAAAATCATAACTTGAATTGATTTTAAAATTTGTATTGTTTGTCAGGTTAACTTGCCTAGACAGAAAAACAAATTTTAAATTGCATTTTTTACTAAATTTTACATTTTGGGTGCTTTTTTTTACGTTCTTTTTGACAGGATTCACAATGAGTTAGCCCAACATCGTCTCAATTGTTCAGGCTGAGATTGTTAACCAGCATTCCCCTTGGGATTTTCAAAATTTTAAGTAAAATGTTTTGACTGGTTGTCCAAAGAAACATGGAGATTTGACATGTTATTGTTTATTAGCAATTTTCTTTAAACAATTGGATTTATAATGACAATAAGTATGTATTTAGGTTTAATTTAACAATAATTAAAATTAGACCTACAATAGTCTAACTTTAAAAATTTGCATGTAAATGTTATAAGTTTATGAATTTAATCTTGCTTTTTTTAGATCAATATTCTTGAAAGAAAACACTGTTAAAGGTAATATTGCTATTAGAAAAGATAATTGGTCACAGTAGTAAAAGTATAGTGCACAATTTATAGTGGCCTTTGTTTCAAGGTAATAAATTAACCAGTGCAAACTGGTGAAACTTATTTGTCTTGTTTTGGTAAAGGATCAGCCAACCTATCAATTGCCTCACAGTGGAGTTCCATTCTTTTCAAAAAGTCAAAGGTCTTTTGTAATCAAACCTTATCTCAATTTTATCAATTGCTCTGTAATAAATCCCATTTTTCTTTCTCCCATTAAATAGAATACTCCAGTACGATTCAACTGCAGAAGCTCTGCAGTCAGAAGTTTCCTTTTCCAAAAAGTAAACTAATGAGAAAGTGTGTACGACTCGATAGTTCATTGTCATCTAAGAGGTCGAAATCTTGTAATAAAACAGTAACCAGGGATAAATTATTTGTCGAGTAACTACTTCAAATAAACCGATTGATGTGTAGTAAACTATACTGAAATGTTCAGTAAACTAATACTGAAAAGTATTAGTTTAACGTTAATAAATAAAAGTGATGAGAGAATGTATGGAAAAATTTGTTCGGGCAAATAAGGGGAATAATAAAGTGTTTCAGTGATTGGTGAAGTGGGGGTCAAGTGTTAACTAACTACCTCGGACTCAGTAGCCCAATACTAAATAGGCTCATGTAAGGACTGACCAAGCTAGACCAGCATGGGTGTTGTAAATATTTTGCTTAAATTTTGTACGATTGCCATCTTAATCGAGTATGGATTCGGCTATTCGCTTGGGATATCTAACAGTCTTCACTGTGCTGTACGGAAACAGATATCTCCTTGCACCTGCCTTGTCCAAGAGCCGAGCAACCGAAGGAGTACAAAATCCATCATCACAGTGACATGCGAGGGGATGGTCAACTTTCAACAGGTCGTTACCGCTCTTACTAAAAAATTCGATATCGACGTGGATATTTCTTTGAAAATCAGCCATTCCGTCTTGGAAGATCTTCCTCAGTTATCTTTTGAAAAACTAAATCTCACCATTCATATACTCAAACTCAATTTTGACAATTTAAGGTAAGATTCAATTACAAATATCATTGTAAAATTTTGTAGAAGAACTTGTTAGCCTTCAAAAACAACAGAGCAAAAGGGGTTAAAAGTCAAGGGGAACGGATAATGAAGGAGTCAAATCTATCTTACACAGATAAATTGCTACAATCACCTTTAATATTTTGAAATCAATGACTTTTAAGTAGCTCAGATTGTCACAAATTTATATTTCTATTTTCAATGCTAAACTAATTGAACAAATTTGAAATGAATTCATAAAGTATTAAGTACACATTTTCTTCAATAAATACATGAATTACAATTAAAATATTTACATAACTCAAAAAATAATTTTCATTTGAAGACTTACAAGCATTTTTCTATTATTAATACATAATCATACAAACTGACGGTATAAAAAATAAGTTCAACATCGGAAAAATTGAGAAATTATCATCTTGAGCGATCAGCGAAATAGCAAAAAAATTAGAAAGACGTAATCCAATTTCATAGTTGTTTACGAAACTAATTCAAGCACTTTTAATACTAATGATGCGTTCTGGATTTTCCCCAATGTTAAACTGTTTTTCCATAATGGTTTATGTAATTTTTCTAATGTCATATCAAAAATGCCTTTTATTTTATTTTATTTTTTTTTAATTTTTCCAATTAGATTAAATTGGAGATTTTTCTTTCTCTTTTTTTTTTAACAGTGTTTTATAATGCTGTGATTAAAATTTGAATAGTCCATGTACAAGAAGATTATTTAATTTATTAAAAAATGTATTAACTAAAATTACTCGTAATGACTGAAAATTTGATATGTTTACTTATTATGGAAACCGATTATTAACAAACAGGTTTAATTAAGAGTATATTTACCAAAAGAATATATACAGAGGATACAAAATACAGTTTTTTTTAGATAATTTCATATTTAATGTTTAAAATTATGAATCACTAATATTTAAATGATGATTATTTGAAAGAATTTATGGATCCCTTTTTTTACCTATAATGCTAAAGATGTTAATAAATTTTTGTTTATTATAAAGTTTATTTTTGAACCAAGTTTTATGCATTTATTGCTGCTATCAACATCTATATATTAATTAAATGCCATAGACACAAATCCACATAACTTTTTAATTGTTATTATAAAGTGTTACAAATAAAATTGAACATAAGAAAAAGTAACATATGTATATTTATTGTATTTATAAGTATAAATATTTATGTTAACACTAAATAAAAGAGGGTTAATTATTTTCATTAATGTTGAGCTTGTCTTATCTAATTTTAATTAATAATTAATTAATTAATGATTTTATATTAATTATTATTAATTTTTGTGTTTAATCAGCATAGGTCATATCAACCCCCCGGGGTGACAGTGTTTTTGAAAAAAATATTTGTGTGCCTGGTTCAAATCCAGAGCCGTTGGATTCGAACCCAGGACCTTTACCTTGAGAGTACCGTATCAGTGCCTTAGCTGTGGTGGCCCCTTTAGAAAAGCTATTGTTCCAAAACAAATCACCTTTTTTTTGTAAAAGTAAATTAATTAAAGGAAATCTCAAAAATAATTAGTCATTGGTAAAGCATTGACTATTTATAATCTTATTTTTCTGCAAGAAATAATCTCTGATATTCTGAAAACATAATCATTAACTGATTAATTTTTGTTTTTATAAATTTGATAAAGATTTCTGCCTGGCAAAAAAAACCAGAAAGAAGTTAGAATTTTTCTGTAAATCCTTTTAAAATCTGATCTTTGATAATAAAAATTTAATTGATCTAATCATTTATTTAACAAGTTGTGATTAGTTGCATTTCCTTATTTTCTTTAAACTTTCTGTTTTATCTATTTGAAATAGTAGAAATCATAGATTTTCAATCAGTAATGACTCATGTTTTCTGCTTGTTTTAATAACTTTATACATATTTACAAAGCCAAAAAGCAATCACAAAAAACATAAAATAAATTAGTATTGTAAAATAAAAGTATTGGTCAATTTTTTTTTTACTTTACATCTACAACCTATTATTTATTAATTTTTTAAAGAAAAATGTACAATAAATATTTATATTTGTATGTACAATATCCATATAAAGATGTCATAAATTAGAAAATTAACATTATAAACAAATAATTATCTCATTACTAAGTACATTGCAAGTAGTATATTTTTATAAGCCACTATTACTTCCCAGTGTATCGAGGTACTCCTTGCCTTCACTCTTATGACCAAAATTAGATAAATTTATTTTTGAAAAGCTTATTTTTATCATTAATATTGTATTAGTGTTATCTAAGAAAGATAATATACAAGTCATTAATCTAGCCCATCACTAATTTAGAAATGTGTTTTTTTCTATTCAGTAGATATTTACATAGTGATAAAAGGGCCCAAAATATTTTTGGACAATTTTATTAGTAAAAAGAAAATAGATCCAAAAAGCACCTTTGTGTAAACGCAAGAATTTGTATTAAATTGTAATTGACAAAATTATAGTTACAATGTTCAGACAAAAGCTGTTTACTACTTTAACAAGTTACAAATGATCAATTTACACCCTACCAATTTTCATATCACAAATAATTTTTTTTTAGTAACTCAGTAAACATGGAAAAACCCTGCTAGTTATTCAGAGTTAATTATTCTAACCAGCCAAAAACGATATCCAGAATATAAATTACAGCAAGCATACTAACAATGTTCTGAAAGCATTCATTTTTTCTTTTTAATGTTTATTAGTTTAAAATGACGGCCAAGCACGGGCCAGAGAAAGGTTCCCAATTGATTAGAAGAGTCTATAGAAAATGCATATGATGAAATGTACAGAAAGATTTAGTCAATCAATAAAATTTAAACCTTATCATTTACACACATTAAAGTTAAAATTTACAGATTAAACTTATCTTAGTATTCATATTTTTCAGACTTTCTACAATGAAATCTAAACAATTTTTATCGGCAAACGATGCAATTATCATATAATCATATAAAAATTCCTATGTTCAGTGAAATATAAGGTGTTTTATATTATGTATTTATTTACATTGTAGATCACTTCCAGTGTCAGTTTTCTCAGGCCTTTCAAAGACAGAATCTTTCAGTCTGGCTGACAACAACATCCCGATGATTCCCGAGGCTATCCTTAACACGATGCCTAAAATTAAAGTCCTGGACTTGAGCAGAGGGCATATTCTAAATGTTTCAACAACAAACTTTCAAGTGAGCATTGGTACTGATTTGTGTAACATACTTATTGAATTTTAATAAATTAGATTATTAAATAAATAAATAATACATTATTACTAGCTAGACATATAATATAATATCTTTTGATTGTACGTGTGTTTGTGTGTTTAAAGGCTTTGGAATCAATGCACACACTTGTCATTAATGAGAATAACATTGAACTATTGGAGAAAGATTGTTTTCCGAAAACCCTGAGGAAACTTTCGTTGACTTTTAACAAGATCAAGCACCTCAACGGCACCCTGAGGCAAGTATACACCATTTTTTAAATATGAAAAATTTATTTGAGAATATATAGGATTACAAGGTATAACCTTTGTTTTACAAGGATTTGTCAACTTCGAATTTTTAATAACCTTCGGAGTGCCGGTGTTTTAAAAAAAAGCCAATTTGTAAGTTTGTCAGGTTCGAATGCAGGCTGCTGGATTCGAACCTGTGTCCTTTACTTTACAGTGATGAGTACGCCTAAACCGTTGTGGCCACCGACACCCCCAGGAAATAAATAGAAGTTTAGATACTAATGTTAGTCATAAAGATAGTATGCCTTGTTTACATGAAAAATTTTTGACACCCAGAGCACCATTCAATCTGAAACATTTTAAAATATGAGAAGTTACGCATGTTTTTATTTTTTTGTTAAAAGTTAAAACGAGATTTTAAATTTTTATAATTTATTTAAAAAAAATTGAAATAAAAATAAATTTTGTTAATAACTAAATTGAAGTGCAATATTCTATCAAATATGATTAATTATTCATAATTTCAATGTAATTTAATAAATTAGGATGATTTCATGTCTTAATTTTAATGAAATAGTCCAGTTTTCAATCAAGTTATTTTTTATATTTGAATAATTGCAAAACTTAAAAGCCAGTCAATGTGAAATTGATATGTGACATAAGAAACTATTTAAATAGACAGTACGAATAGAATTAAATATTAAACGTAAATTAAGCGTGTAAAGAGTAACAGAATTTTTCATTTTTAACAAATTAGAGTGCCGTGTCTACAACGGTTCTATGACCTTTACTTACAGAGGGCTATCTTACCTACAGTGGCTGCTATTGAATGACAACGAAATTGAAGATTTGGAAGGCCAGCTCCCACAGGTGAATCCAAATTTGAAGTTGATCCTTCTAAACTTGGCGAACAATAAGCTGCTCAAGCTGCCCCAGGAGTTGAGAAATTTTCTCCATCTTGAAAACTTGTACTTGGAATACAACAAGCTTGAAAGCCTTGACAGAGCACTTTCAAAATCAAAGCATCTTAAATCGTTGGTCCTCTCTGCTAATAATATAAGCAAAGTGAGTAATTCTTTTCTTTAATGAATTAACAAATTAAATAAATTATATAATATATATTATATACCAAGAAATATTTTATTACATTCTCAAATATTTCTTAGAAAATGAGAAAATTTAAAATTTTGTAAACACATGAAGTTCACAATTAAATAAATTAAGTACCAAACTTGACTTTAAGCTGAATATATTTATATTAAATATGTATAGTTGTATAACTTCCTTTGCTACTGGTAGGATTTTAACAAAAGCTTAAGCTGTTTAAAGTAAAAGTAAAGTAATTAGGACTTAACGTTAATTAACATACAACTTAATTGTTGAATGATATTGATGTTGTACTTACTAAAGTAAACATTGTCAATTTTAAAATTATCTTAAAATTAAAATTATCTATTTGTGCTAGCAAAATTAAGTTAATTTTTTAAAAATATAGTTGTCCGAATTTTGGAGATTGATTCCATTCTGCTTGATCATCCCTTATCATCATGTTCTGCCTATTTTCACTGTTTATTGTGGATTCATTTGGAATTTGCAAACCTCATCACATACAAATTCCTTCTATGCTGAACCATCAAAGGGGTCATTTATTGGGTCTGTATTGATTTACGGGTTTGTTGAACTTCTCAAAGAAGAAAGAAAACACCCAGCACCAACTCTCATTCCTCCCCTGTTCAATATTTAAGGATTAAGTAATACTTCTTTGGCTTCCTCTATATTGAGAGTATTGACATGAGTGCTGGCTGATATAACCAAATTGGCCGTTTTCGTTTATTGAAAACACCTTTGAAATTCTTAATTTTTCTGTATAAAAAAAAAGGTAAAGTAATTCTTGCCTTATAACTTATGGCTAAATGCCCAACTTGGGAGTCATATGAGAGGTCAAACCACTTTACAATACATTTTTCAAACTATTACTAACTAAAAAGTCATGGGCTCTGCCAGGATTCGAACCCAGAACTGCTAGTGTGGCGGAGTTGGACACCTGCACTAAATATTTAATTTAATAACTTTTTTCAAAATCACAAGGATGATAAAATGTTAAATAAATTCCATCTATTGTATGTTATATAAATTCTAGTTTGGCGTGAAAGATAAGCATTGTAATATGCAAGCTGTTTTCGATTTATGCCTGCACATTCTATTTTTTTACTTTTATCTAGAACATTCTGTTAAAGATAATCTTTTTCTTAAAAGTTAAAGTTTAATTGATAATTCCATGGACGACTACTATCGAAAAAATTGCTTACTCCGTTCAACAAAGAAAATATCAATTCGTTCATATTGATTTTTATAATTGATGGTTTAATGTCTACAAATTTGGTTTATAAATTGAAAAAGCAATTTTACAATAGATTTAACAATGCTTGTATTAATCACTTCATAAGTACATAAAGGCCAGTTGTATTATATCAGCGTTTTTCTTTAAACGTTATCAGCCTTTTTCTCGTCAGTTTATTACATTTATTATCCCAAGATTCCAGAATCCCAATGATAATATGTAATGATAAACTATGAAGGTCATGTATAAGAATTGTGAAATTTCATATTCTGATGGCTAATTGAATAAATATAATACAATTATTTGTTAAGCATAGAAAAAAAATCACGCACTATATTTTTCGGCACTGTTTTTTTTATGTTATTATAATTGCATATCTTACACAACAAAAGACAAATTTTTATGTTTCATTGTTTTATTACCATCTGTACATTATAATACATTATGTAATGTTATAATACATATTTACACATTGACCCATTAATTAATGTAACTTGATGGGAGTTTACAACCTTTGTTCAAGTTCTTCCAAATTTACAAAGGACTACTCAAGGGGGTCCCAGGGCAATTTTTGCTTTAGTCATCTGATGGGATCATGATGATGATTATATGGACATGGGTTGGAGTACATGGATTGTTTTGCATGAAACTTTTTTTTTTTTTTTTTTTTTTTTTTAATTTATTGGCCTTATGATCTTGCATATTAGCCATAGTACGAATTCTTGTGTGTTCCAATTGGGGGTTATCGGGAAAAAAGGGCCAGAGGCGACGGTGGGAATCGAACCCACGACCGCGGCGTGAGAGTCTCTCATGCTAACCACTCGGCTACCGCGGTCCCCCTGCATGAAACCTAAAAAATTTGCATAAATTAATTTATTTACGAAGGATCATTTGAGGTCATTGAGAAGGGAAAACAATAAGGAACGTTGATGAACTGAGGAATTTGGATTGGAAGGACTGAATTCGTTGGATATTGGTAGGTTTGACGATGCTTCCAGTCCGTATGTCCAAATTGGTAGTGTTTTGTAGTGTCAGTTTGTTCTCTGTCAACATGCTACATCAAGTAGTATACAGAGTAGTCCAAAATGTCTCTTCAGTTCTTGTCTTTTGTGTCGATTCCAGATTAAATGTGAATCAAGATATCACCGGTATGCAGTCGGTTTTACAGATAGGAATGTTATTGAAGAATTTTGCATGAGGGGTTTTGCTTCGGATGGTGTAACATGTGATCATATGTTTTCATTAATCTTTATGCTCCAAACTTTGCCCTATTCAGCTATTTGTTCAATATATGCTTGAAGCTACTTGGAAGCATTTGTATTGGGATCAGAGGAAAGCACAACATAATATTTTTCTATCTTCCATGGCTGGTTTGTTTGACATTCTGTCAATTGTATCAAGTTTTCTAATTTAAAGTATAAAGTACAGAAGGACCCGGAAAAGCCACTGAATATGGAAAAATTCTAAAAGTAGTCTGGCAGACAAAACCAGTCAAAAATAGGCAGATCAGGATGCACAAGATAATCCTCGTACTGTTTTATAAGTCTTAATTAAAAATTTATATCACAATATTATTTGCTTTATCCTACGATTTAGTTTTAATTTTTGGATTTTTTTCTAGCTGTATAGCGATGACTTTTTAGAACTGGAATACCTTGAAGAGTTGCAGTTTGGAGAAAATAACATAGCCACCCTCAATAATTGTCTACTTCCCCTCAAATCCCTCAAACATCTAAACTTGAGCCATAACAACATTCAAGAATTTACATTGCAAGATATCCGAGGTCTTACGAAGCTCAACTTGGTCGATTTATCAAACAACAAAATACACGTCCTTTCGGGACGAATGGAGGTGAGAATTACAAAAAAAATCATTTTTAATCTTTGTGTACAATTGGATTGCTGTTTATTTTATAAATTATAAAAATCTGCAGTAACTGCAGAATGTTTAGCTCTCATTGTACACTGAAAATATAATTTGTCGGTTTTGTAAATTTTAGAACCTAGTAGAACTCGAGACAAGAGTTTACGAGTTGCGTTTAGATTACAATAAGCTCCAAACACTCTCAGGCTCTCTCATGGGCTTTAGTAGCCTTCATCGTCTAAATTTGAGCAACAACTACATTGACAGAATTCTCCCAGATGATCTGATTGGCCTCGACGACTTGCAGATTTTGGACATTTCACACAACAACCTCACAACTCTTGAAGAAACATCAAAGGTGTTTATACATTTTAAATATCATTAATGATCTACTGTATTTTTTTTTAATTTTTAATTTTGGTTATGCTCGAATTTTTTCTAGACTGTACTTCCATCACTAGAAGAGTTGATCGCATCGTACAATTCAGTGACAAGACTTGAGAAAGACTTTTACGGCTTGCCTAGACTCTGTTGGGCCGACTTATCGCACAATCAGATCACTTACATCAGTAAATCCCTCGTCGATAACACACAGTGTAAGCTGTACGAGGTCCCGAGCATTCTTCGAATATATCTGCATGGTACGCCATTTTATCATTTTGACAAGTTTTATTTATTTCACAAAACTTTAATCTTTCTGTGAAAGTTCAATTTATTAAGCCTAAAACTTTTTCACATAAGTGAACACCAAAATTGCTATTTATTTAAAAATCGTGAGATGCGGTCTGGTGTGATGTAGGTTTCAGAAAAAATACTTTGATTGAATATATAAAAAAATATATTTTGCATTGTATAAATTCACTTTTCCACATCCAAAATGTAATTGTTATATGTAAACAATATTTGTAAATTCCAGGCCCTGAAGATGATCTCAATAAAGATTGAAACGTTGGCATGATAAAGAAAATGTTTTTCTCAAACCTTCATCACACCAGACGATTTCTAAATAAATATCGATTAATGGTCACTAATCACCACATACATAAAAATTGCTTTATATGAGCGTGTATGCAAGAGTGTGAATATAAAAATATAATAGAAATTTTAGCTAAATTATAAATATTATTCCTTTGTTTGTTATTTCTGTTTAAACATCTAATTCATTTCTAATTAATTTATTTTTACAGGAAACCCAAGTCTTTGCGAGCCAGAAGTTGTGGCAAATATTATAGATTTGGAATCAAAGAACAACACAAAAATCCATGGTCGAAACGAGTGTCCTCCTCAAGAGAAAGGCCGCCATTAAAAAAAACAATAAATAAATAATAAAAGTATAATCCATAAAATTATAGAAGAGCTGTGAAGTTAACAAAAGCTGTACAGTACTAAAAAATTACGATTATGTGATAACTTTTATTCAGAGAATAATCACATAGACTGTAATTACAATCCACCCATGATAAAAAAAAATTAACAATTTTCTCACCTTGTTTTCTTTGCTGGTTGCCAAATTTACTCTTTTTTTCTGTATTAACTTATTTTATACCTAGGTGTTAACTTTTTTTGTGTGTATAGAGTGAGTTATGTTTTGCAAAAGGTGCACATAACATTTTATATCCACTAAATTGTCTATCGTAACTTTGGACATTACATTGGACTGAATTGATCGACACACTTCCCTTATGGCATGAGATGTACTCAAATTTTCAATGATTAGGATGAATTGTACCTGAATTGTAAGATGATGTCCTTGGCTATTTTAAACCCATTTTATTAAGATACATTAATGTAATATAAATTTGAGTGAAAAAAAACTGTCCTAGTTTAGGGTAGTACTTGAAATAATGAAAACTTTTTATTTATATAATTTTTAATGTTTATGTTATCCTTTGTTTAAACTCTAAAACAAAGTATAAAAAGAATTTTAGATGTGAACGCTATTCACACACTGCTGCTTCTTTTGAATATGTTTCTAAAATTTAAGTTTAATCTTAAAAGATTAATTAACTTTACTACTGATTATTAACTGCATGTTTTGATAATAATGTGTTAAAGGGAATAAAATAAAAACTACAAATAATTAATAAGTTTAATTTAAAAAAAAAATTATTCACTTTATACAATTTTTACATAATTATAATGCAGTGTAGAAGGAAAATAAATCAAAAATTATCTTTTAAGACTATTCTTGATAATAGATTTTCCAAACAAAACCAAACCTATTACAAGCACACCGAAACTATTACATAATATTAGATAAAATATAAAGCCATCCATGGCAAATATATTAATCTTTAGACATTTGTAAAAGGAAAAATGAAGCATTTTTTGTCTAGTTTTTAATGTGTGTTTACGTTTTTTTTCTAGAATATTTTTTTTATGAAAATTTCATTGGTAGAATTAAATTTGGTTCTGTCAATGCTGGATTATCCATATAGATGCTCCAAGTCCTAGTCGCTCTATTGAAAATCGCTGAGAGACAAAAACAAAACAACGATCAATATTTTTAGAGAAAAAATCTACAATTTTACTCACCCGTCGCTAGGGTTATGACAGACTCGCTTGATCTATCTCTGAAAATATTGCAACATGTCGAAGGCGCTGATGAATGACTGAGAATATTAATTACGCTGTTGAGATCTTCGGCCTTTGGAAGCTGTTTTTCAGTTTCGTGACGATCATTGCTCGTTTTCAGCACATTCGATATTTCCTCGATTCCTTTTATCCTCAAAAACCTAAAGTAGTTCATACATCAGCCAAATATTTTTCAAATATGGATTGTTTTTTTATTATATTGGTCACCCTATCCTTGCTGGTTTTGTCAGACATACTAAATAGGCAAATTAAAGACAGCACGATGACAAAATACAGCTAGACTAGGCACTACGATCAGTGCCGATCAAGATACAAGTTCTTTTACTTACTTGTTACAATGAAAGAAATGTTCTCCAATATCAATTTTTTTTTTCTCTACGATAGAAGAATTAGATGGTAGATTCTTCGGGCTGACTTCAAAATTGTAAAGCAGGCAATCATCCACATTGTTCTTGAGCGTCATTAAATTGACTGAAAAAGCATCCGCAACTCCGCCTCCATAGCATTTCAACACCTCTTCAGCCCTAACGACAGAGTCAGCGGCAAAAAGTTCCCGTGTAAGAAACGTTCTTGCTACAATATTTTTAAATTTGCTTTTTCTTTTAAAAAAAAATTATAAAAATAAATTAAATAAAACTCACGTATTCTTCCAGCAGGAGGGTTCTTCACAACCATTATGTTAATTGTGAATGCAAAATAGCTATTAAAGCCCATCGAATATCCAGGAAGAAGGCCTGGATAACAAAAAGCTGTGAATATCTCATGAGGTGAGGATTCAGTTATATGAACATTCACTACATAACAAAGATTCAGTGCTTCTTTTAGTCCATCCTCTGTATGTCCAATGATTTTCTAGAATGACAAAAAATTTATAGCTAACTATAAAATATTTTATACCGAATCCAACCTGATTTTTCTGGTTCACAATCACAGTTGAACAGCCTTGCCCTACATTTGTGCAACCTTCAGGCGGTAAAATGATATCGTCCAAGTGTAATAAAAATAGCTGAAAAAAATTCATAATTAAGATTTTATCCAATAAAAAAACTATTAAAGTAATTGCCTTGTAAAATGGTACGCCGGCACCATCAGCAGTGCCCTCCAGTTCTCTTAAATAATGAGGGTATTTGTTTCCAACTACAAAAAGAGTCTCCTCGTATATTTTCCTACCCCTTTCGGTATTGTACGCTGGTATGTAAATTTTATTTAAAGTACTATTTATTTCCAAGTATGTCTGAATAAGACTTGCAAATGTTCTGCCCTAGAAAACATTCGACTTTTGTAATATACTTTGGCTTGATGTTTAATTAATTTACAAATTTAAAAAATCATTGTAATTAATAAACTGAATTATTATTTTTTGCAATAAAACAATAAATAATTTCTTACTATGTCATATCCAACATCATAATAAGTTCCTTTTACATGAAGAACTGGAATTGAATTTCTCCTCAATAGCTCCATCGCAGAAAGAACTGAAACTGTCAAAACATTCGCCTAACTGGCCTCACACAATTTGAACACCAAACAGATAAGAAACCTAAAAGGATTCTAAGCAATCCAATTATCATAAACAAGATTAGTTGAACAAAACATAAAATAATCAAGGTTTCTGATATTATAAAATAGTACAAAATAGACCAAATGAAAAGCTCAATAATACATGTATTACAAGACATACAAATTCAATTTTAAAATTTCTTAATGTTCTTATAGACAAAAAAGGCAAAATTTCTGAATATCAGTTGAACTTTTATGACTTTGTTGATGACTGATGACATCTTATTTAATGCATTGCATTTTAAAACAAACAAAACATTTAAAAGTAGATTTTGTTTTCTACAAAGCATTGTTTTTAATTAATTTAATAAAAATATATTGTGAAATACTTTCATTAAAAATATATAATTGTTCTATTAGAAGAAATAGTGAACGAACGGAAAAATCCACAAACAAATGGTAAATTCTACGACATCCTATCTCGACCACAGTGGTCTTCACCATACTATAAATTAATACATCTCACTATTTATCAGAATAATATTTGTTATTGTTTATCTCTTAACAAAAACCTGCTTCTAAGATCCTAGACTTTATGCTAATACATGATCATAATTTTTTAAAAACTATTTATATTTAGAAAAATTAGGGGATCAAATTAGTGATTAGGGCGTATGACTCATATTTTCCATGCTAGCGGTTCTGGGTTCAAATCCCAGTATAGCTTCATGGTTTTTAATGTAATATTGTATGAAAAAAACAAACAAACTGTAAAGTGGTTATAATTAATTAACGTTTTTAGTTGAGATAAAAAAGTCAATGGCACGAGCGAGATTCGAACCCACGATCTTCGGCTTGATATGCCGCTGCTCTACCACTTGAGCTATCGTGACCTCGATCCACTCAGACACCAACTTCCCATCTCAACCGCACCTTTTGAATTGGATTGAGGTCACAATAGCTCAAGTGGTAGAGCAGCGGCGTATCAAGCCGAAGATCGTGGGTTCGAATCCTGCTCGTGCCATTGACTTTTTTATCTCAACTAAAAACCTTAATTAATTATAATATATTAATTGGTCAAGCAGACCATGAAATTAGTGAATTTAATGATTTAAAATGAAGTATACTTCACCAAAGCTCTCCGTGGCCATTTCATTTGTTGTCGAGAATCCAATCCGATTGCACGACATTTGAAAAATGGCAAAAAGGAGGGAAAATTCACTTGTTACGCCATTGACTTTTTTATCTCAACTAAAAACCTTAATTAATTATAATATATTAATTGGTCAAGCAGACCACGAAATTAGTGAATTTACTGTAAAGTTGGTTGAACTCTCTTCCTTGACACCCATTGGGTTGTTTTTGTGCAAAAAATTAAAAATTTCAAATATTTTTTCGATAAATAATACAGCTGATCATGTCAACACTTGTCTCAATGTGGTGAAATCCAAAAACTGCTTAATCCTTAAATATTGAACATAGGTGGAAATCGTGGTGCTGTGAGGTTTACAAATACAAAATTATTCACAAGATTAGTAAAAATAGGCAGAACAGGTTGATGAAGCTACTTATTTGGTCAAGAAATCACCCAAAATTTGGCCTAAAAAAAAATCCTAACCTTAGTTTAGTGGGTTTCAGAGTACTCAATCTTCTGTTAAAGACCCACCCTCATTCACGCTAATAAATACAGTCATACTGATTATAACCTTTCGTACCATTTGTACGACTAAAAACTGGGGTGCCATTGAGGAATTAATATTTCAACTGTGCCTCCCCCTGTTCCACTATTCAACACCTAACCTAGTTTGGTGGGTATGTGGATATTCTACCACAACTCATCTACACATGCTCAACACACACGCTAATAAATACATTCATTTAAGGTAGGGAAACCTCAGGAAAAATAAGTACAATATTGAAAATCTGGATTACAAAAATTTAGCAAAAAAGTTGGAAAAGCTTCAAAGTTTTTGTAATCTAGATTCTCATTATCCTCCTTTCTCCTTATCCAACAAAAAGAAAACCAAGAAACTATTGAAATGTTTGTGAAGGCATGAAATTATTAACTTTTTTCTTACAAGTAACGATTGTTATTAAATATCCCCTATTGGAAGTTAGGCATTAACCCTTTATGACAGGAATTACTTTATTTACTTTACATAATTAATTCAAATATAATTAAACAATGGAAAACAATAGACATTAATTCTTAAATTGTTGTAAGTAGATATCAAGGTATTGCTACCTTTCTAAGACAAAGCGATAAACTAAAATGCTTTTAGTCTATTTATTTAAATAAGAGAAGTATGATTTATAATTAAAGTAATTCAGATATCGTGAGGTGCGGTCGGGTGTGATGTAGATTTCAGAAAAACATTTTCTTTATCGTGCCAACGTTTCGAGCTTTACTGAGATCATCTTCAGGGCCTGGGATTTACAAACATTGTTTAGTGCCCCACTCTCAACACGACACGCAAGGATGGCACAATTGCACTGAAGACAAACACTTTGAGTCCTGAAGATGATCTCAATAAAAGATCGAAACGTTGGCACGATAAAGAAAATGTTTTTCTGAAACCTACATCACACCCGACCGCATCTCACGATATCTGAATTACTATCGATTAACGGTCACTAATCTCTACACATTTATAATTAAATATTCATATTTTGCCTTTTTATATGTCCAGTGTTAGAGAGCACCAATAAACAATACCTAAAATCGCAGATTGCATGCCATTAATGTAATCTATAGAAATTATGATTGATGGAGTGGGTGTGGAGTTCAATCCTTTTTAAAAAGATGGTTCCTACTCACAGTAAGTTGCTTCGCAACAATCCAGATTTCGAGCTCTTTAGCTCATCATCAGGTTGAAGGGTCGGATGTCAAGAGACGTGTTTGTTGAAACCCTTCAACCTGATGATGAGCTAAAGGGCTCGAAATCCGGATTATTGCGAAACAACTTACTGTGAGTAGGAACCATCTTTTCTAAAAAGGATTAATGTAATCTTATCAGGGGGTGGCTATTTGCTGACTTTAGTTAATGCATCTTCAGGCAGACATTCCATTTGATAAAATAATTTTTTTATGATCCAATGTGATTTTATGTTCAATTTTAAAAGTGTAATTTTTTAATTAATTTATGTGGAAACACGCGTGCACTCAAAAACTAACTCGCACTTCAGCAAAGTCGTGCGGGTTTAGCCTATTGATCATAAAAAATTATTGACTCGCCAATCAAAATTACCAGTTGTTAACCTTACAATTCAACTAATAAAATTTAAAAATAAATAATTCGCGTCTGGCAGAGCAACCCATCAAAGATAAGCAGACTTCAATTAATGAATTATATTTTTTTATTAAAAAATAATGAATAAGTAAAACGATCGGTAACTACCGAATTAAATAAACATTGTATAGCGTGTAGACTTTTTTTTTAAGAATTTTTAAATCAATAAAAAAATAAATAATAAAATCGAGAAAGAAAAGGAAAAGTAACATCACTAGTGAAATAATTTTATTAGTTGAACTCTAAGACCATTAATTATTTATTGAAGAATTTTTATATCAGTTAAAAAAATTTAAAAAAACGAACAAATTACGGGTTCAACTTCTCGCAAACCACATAGAAAAATCTCACAATTTCATATTAAACATAAAAATGTGCAATCAATAGGCATTTAACCAAATTGTAATAATATTAATATTTAAACATAATAGGTCTTGATAAAATATTAAATTCTGATCCTGTTTGCAAGGAATTTTTGTACAGAAGACGGAAAAAAATCAAAGCCAAGAAATAAATCAAATCCAGATGAATGAAATACCTTGTTTTTAGTAAAGAAGTAAAAGAAGGTAGTCGTCTAAAAAGAAGAACCTAAAATGTTCTTGTTTTATACACTCCTAGAATACTGCTGCGAATTATCACCTGAGACCTTTTAGATAAGATATCAAATTTAAAAAAAAATGAAAACAATAGTGGAACGAGACTGCTTAAACGTATTATACCATCGAGGCGTTAATGCGGTAAATGGTCGGATCGGCTTTATTTTTCACCGCTATATAAAATCTGTCCTCGACCTTCGGCGAGTAACGCCTTCTTTACTTCCTCGACGCACGCTCTCTTACAACTTCTCTCTTCGGCAGTTGGAAATTTGAGACAATAATTATAAAAATTTTCAAGGTTGGTTTGGTTCAAACGGTCAAGGATTTAATTGTCACCACGCCCAACCCGTTTCAGGAGCAAATCAGGGTATAACATGTCTGAGCAGGAACAAAAAAAATTAAAAAACTCGCGAGACCACTTCCGACCTAGATCGAACTTTGACAGTAAAGTCAGCATAACTTGCAGATCGAGACGCAGACTTTAATTTACTAACATTATTTTATAATCCCATTGGAAATTAAAATTATAATGTTAAAGCATTTGAGTAACGAAAACTTGACTCTTATCATTCATTACGTGACACCCTCAAAATCTATTTATAAACGTAAACCAAAAAAGTTTTAAACTTGATTTTACAATTTGATTGTATTGCATAAGGAAACCCGATACATTTCGGTATCTAAAAATCTATCTACACGATGAAAAATAGTTTTATACATGATTTTGTAGTTTGATCGTCTTGCATAACGAGAATAAAACCCAAATTTATCTTTAAAACAAAATAATATGTTTCAAAGTTGAAGTTATACTAACATTCAACCTTTCAGAATAACCTATAACCTCAAAATTTGTATATACAATGAAAAATAGTTTTAAACGATTATTCGAAAAAGTGAGATGCGGTCTGGTGTGACGTAGGTTTCAGAAAAACATTTTCTTTATCGTGCCACGTTTCGAGCTTTACTGAGATCATCTTCAGCGCCTGGGATTTACAAACATTGTTTAAATTTAACAAATGTAGAATGTGGAAAAAGTGAATTTATACAATGCAAAAAATATTTTTGTTAATATTTAATCAAAGTATTTCTACACACTCAAAGTATTTGTTTTTGCGTAATTGTGCCATTCGCGTAGAAATACTTTGATTGAATGCAAAAAAATGTTTTTTGCATTGTATAAATTCACTTTTTCCACATTCTACATGTATTTGTTAAATTTAAACAATGTTTGTAAATCCCAGGCCCTGAAGATGATCTCAGTAAAGATCGAAACGTTGGCACGATAAAGAAAATGTTTTTCTGAAACCTACATCACACCAGACCGCATCTCACGATTTTCGAATAATCATCGACTAACGGTCACCACAAATTTCTAGTTTTAAACATTATTTTTTTAGTTTGACCGTCTTCCATTACAAAAAGAAAACCCAAATTGATTTTTAAAATAAAAAGATGTGTTTCAAAGTTGAGGTTATACCAATCATTCTACTTTGCAGAATAACCTGAAAACCTAAAATCTATCTACAGGATGAAAAATAATTTAATTGAAAATTAATTTATAGTTTGTACGTTTCAAACTTTAAGTTTCCTTCAGTATACTTTTACAATTTTGTAAAATAACGAGAAAACCCAAAATTTACCTATCTATTCGACAAAGAAAAAATAATTGTAAACTTGATTTTATAGTTTTGCATAACAAGAAGCAAATCCAAATTACACAACGAAAATGTACTTTTAAACTTGATTTTTTTAACTTGCAAGTTACCACCCGACCCCTTGGTGGTGAAGTGTGAATATATTTATTGGCGAATAGATTATCTTTTATGATTTTCAAGGCAAATATACAACGAACAAATTAAATATTAAGACTAAAACATGTATGAATCCACGCTCTTCGAATCAGTACTGGTACAGTGAGTACCCTTGGGGTAAAACTGGATAAACAAGTTTTCATTATTACCATTTTAAAATTGTAGACCTTTGATACAAATTCAATTTTTACAGTCACTTTTTCCTTTTAATTCTCGACTTTATCAAGTATTCACAGACTGTCCTAAAGGCTTTGCTCTTATTTGACAAAATTTGTCTTCTTCAGTTTTAACCAGAGGTTGAAGTTATTATTTGATTTTCGATAGGATGCTTCCATATCTGAATTTGTGCTAATACATTAATTCAATTGATATATTTTTCAAGGCTTTCACTCTTTTCTTTTCAGTTAGTGTACATAAATCTGTTAGGTTGACGTTTTTATGTCAGACATCGCTCTTTATTCGATTTGATAAATTGCTCCGATGCCTAATAAACGACGTCGGCCGTGAGCAGGTCGATCCGTTTTAAATATAGGTCACGACGAATTGAAATTCAATTTACAGTGTGAATTCAATTGGCAATTTTACACAAGGATAGAAAATTGTGTATTCAGCCCCTTTAAACCTAAAACTATTTTTCAACGTTCAAGCATACAATCCAATAACTCGATCAAGTTTTATTTTTTGACTAATTTCAATTTAAACAAAAAAATTAGAAACATTAAAATGTAGGCAAGAACACAATTTGCAAAAATTTACATACAAAGGTGAATGACGAAACTAAACGCGATAGTGAGAACTATATTTCCGGAATTCTTATTATAACGAAACATCTAATTAACAAGTAAAAATCTGACACAACGGAAATTCAAACTTATAAAAATTAAGTGTAATTTTATGAATTTTAAGCCCAACTGTTGAACCTGATTCTCAGTAGTGGAGATGATGAAAATTATGTTTATTATCTTGAAAAAAATCATCATCATAAAATCATCTAGTCTGCTGGGTCTTGAAAACCTTGTAACAAGCCTAAAACCGATTACTCTCGGCCATGACCAATCCCTGCGATTGAATCAGAAAAATTGTGGTATTGGCAGTGAAAAAGATATCTAGCTTTTTTAGCTGATTTTTTTACAAAAGTACATTCACAAAATCGACTTAAAAAAACGAACTTCACTCATAAACTGTCTAAAAAAATTAAACATTTAAAATAAACTCTCAACACGACACGCAAGGATGGCACAATTACACTTTGAGCCCTGAAGATGATCTCAATAAAGATTGAAACGTTGGCACGATAAAGAAAATGCTTTTCTGAAACCTACATCACACCCGACCGCATCTCACGATATCTGAATAGCCATTTAAAATAAAAAAACTTAGTTTAAAATTAATCTTTAGCGAGATCAATAAATAAGGAAAAGAACGAAGAGTGATAAGCAAAATATGAATTATAGTTATGATAGAAAAGAAATAAAACATCGATAAAAGATATAGGGACACAAATTCATCAAAAATGGTGTGATGTCAATTTTTAATGTTTAAGGAGAAATATACAAAACAATGGACGGTATTGCAATTAAACAAAGAAAAGCATATATAGAAAAAGCTAAATTGATAAAACGAAACTTTGGGATTATCCGATCAACGTTGTAGAAGAGAAAGTCGCCCAGTGGTTTACACATAACCTGCAGGCAATAAATGAAATAAAACTAAAACAAAAATCTCTATTAACGACTTTACAGTCGGTTCAAAATAAATTCAATTATGTTTTTATTTTTATATAATTTTCTGTTCAATTATTATTACTTTCGTTTAGTTTCTTTGAGGATAAGAAGCTTCATGGTAAAACGCGTTTTTTTAGTTAAATTTGACGGCTGAAAGTCCCAATATAAAATGTATTTAACCTTCATAAGCTAAGGAAGTAGGCTGAAAATCTCTTTTGAAAAGTTGTGTTCAAAACGGATCTATTAAATCTTTTTTAGGAAAAAAAACTATGGCCACGAGTTACGTGATATTTTGCGGTTTTGAGTAGTTAACTAATCTATTTTTTATATTTTTTTATCTACTTTAAAAAAACTACTCTTACTTACCGAAATCGTTATGTAACTCACAATTGTCATGTCTTGAAAATACGCTTGTAACCCAAATTATTATTTTTCGCTTCTATACCCAAGTTTGACGTCTTTTTTTGAAATTGTCAGTTTAAAAATAAAATAAATTCAACATAATTATAATAAAAGGATATTTTTAAAAAAGTTGATAAATGTCGACAAAATTTATAAATAAATAGATGGATAATACACAAGACACACCTCTAGAATGCCTTAGTAACAAAAACGGAAATGATGTTATTTTTGTGTAAACATTGTTTTGTTTGTTTCAAATTTACTTCAACTAGCATTTAGTGTGCATAAATCTTTGTTGAAATAGCCATATGTTTTTTTGTTTTTTTTTTAAACACGTAAAACAAATTGGGTACAACATACTGATATGAGCTAACTAATAATAATTACAACGACAGCTAATTATACATTGCACTGATTTCAAGGTAAATGCACAAAAACCTGAAGACATGACTTTACCAATATATCTATATTTTGAAAATGGTTTTGGGCTGGTCACGCATTGTTTTGGCGTGACCAATTTCACGTCATCAATTTTGGATTACAGGATGGGCGCATAGGTCGGATTGGGGACATGGGTTGTTAGGTAGGGTTGGGTGGAGGTAGATTAAGTTAGGTAGGATTAGGGTTTGGGAAAGGCTGGGTTAGAGTTTTTTTTCGAGAAAAACGCAAAAAAACCTAAAAAATCGAAAAATATTTTTATTGTCTTTTTCGATGTAAAAGGCTGGTAGGACACGTTTTTTTACATATTTTTCAAGAAAAACGCAAAAAAAACCCAAAAAATCGAAAAAGTATTGTCTTTTTCAATGAAAAAGGCTCGTTGGCACGTTTTTTTGCGTATTTTTCAAGAAAAACAAAAAAATCCCCCAAAAAATCGAAAAATTTTCTTGTCTTTTTCGATGTAAACGGCTCGTTTATTATTTATTTCGTTTATTATTTATTTATTTCGTTTATTATAAATTATTCTCCTTTTCCATGTAAAAAGCTCGAACACGTTTTATTTTCGAAAAAAAAACGCAAAGCCCAAAAAAATCGAAAAAAATTTTGATGTATTTTTTACAAGTTAATGCTTTAATAGCTGCTTGACTATCCGATCTTATGAGTACTTTTTTGCCAGTGTAATATGTATATATACAGAATAAACAAATGTTTACATTCTTCCTATACTCATTGGTACAATACAATTTACTCTTCTCTATTCACAACAATTTTAGCCACACTAGTTCATATGGCTTTTTTTTAAATTTTTTTATTTTAAATATGCTGACGGTGCTTCGATTATGTAGGAGTTTAGTCGCTTCCACATTCTCATGCTGGCTGAGGCGAGACTGGTGTTTGGCGGCAAATCTTTGTATTTCCGCCTTGACCTCATCCATCTTAAGTATTTATTCCTTTTGTACCAAGGTGCATTGACCAAGTTACTAAGATTTTATTTTGAAGTGTTTGATATAATTTTGATATTGCTGTTTGGTACATCCTCACAGATAAATACAATATGTCCACACGCTTTAGGACTTATTTATATATTTTATTTTGTATAAGATTGGAGCCGCATCCCATCAGCCAATATAGTTGTCTATATCAAACTTATCTTGGTCCTTTTTTTCTCACATGCTCTTTCCATCTCAGCTTGGCATCTAAGGTCATACCTAAATGCTTAGCTTTATTGCTGTATGGCATAGTAGTTCCAACGATTGAGGAGACATGGTCCACTTTTTTGTTTGTAAAATTTATATGTACTGATTTATGCTGATTGAGCATGATTCTTAATTTTTTTATCCTTTTGTTTATCTTATGGATATCTTACAAGCCTTTTGAAGGATTTTGGTTGAATGATTGATGGTCGGCGCTACTGATATCACTGCTGCTAAGCACTTGACATATTCAGTTGTCCTGAGGACTGTTGAACTAACAGTCTGGTTAACAGAACTCTTGAGCTAAGTTACACCACTGACCGATGGGCTATGAGGTCTATGACTGCAGAGTAAAGAGCAATTTATGTGATTGGTTTAGACCAAAGTATGAAGAGATATTTGTGCTTAAGGAAAATATATTCAATTTGTTAGAAATATTTACAAGTTTATTTACATACATTATATAACTACATATTTTTGATTTTTTGGGTCTTAACAATAAATAAGGCTTATTTTACAATTCCTTTAAAACCTTTTGCCAGTAAAAAAACTTCTGATGAATCAGTCCTGCTCGATGGCGGTTTGACCCATTTGACCTTGCTGTAGAATCGTGAAATGTCATTTTCTAGTTTTTTACAATACTCGCCTTCCCACAGTTTTACAAGTAAAGAACCGCCACTGGCGTTGACTCCCAAGGCAAATCTGTAATTAAAGCGAATTGTTATTCAACTGATACAATTTATGTCAACAACGTTACCTTATAAACGTGTAGACGAGGTTGGCAATGTTAGTATGATCAAGCGTTTTAACGCCTGTGGCGTTGGGAGCCATGTCGCTCAATACAACATCCGCATCCTTGCCTTTTAAGGCTTCTTTTAAAGCTAGCTGTGACTTTTCAGAAGTGAAATCGCAGGCGCCTAGCAAAACTGCCCCATTTATAGGATATATGGGAAGCCTGTCTAAACCAACTACAAAACCCTTCGGGCTACTCTTGTCTAAAACAAAAACCAACAAATTATAAATGTTACAGGCTAGTCCATAGTAGCGTACTTCATCAACAGATGATCGTGAGGATGAGTAGCAAAAATTAATTAGCAGTCATGGGTTCAACAGAATTTTCTAGCAGAGAACAAAAAGTGTGGATTTTATCTTAAACTTAAAAACTCTTTGGGGAGAGGCTTTTTTTTGTCAAATAACTACTAAAACATCTAATTATTATAATATAGTTGATACCTTGTCCATCTGAATTGGTTTTCTGAACAGCAACTTGGGTCCAGCTGCCAGGCGCGGCTCCACAGTCGATAACGCACAACCCTGGTGTTAACAGTTTGTGTTTATCATTAATTTCAAGAAGTTTAAAAGCACTTCTACACCTAAACACAAAGGAAAACAATGTATGGAAATTAACGATAAAGCAAGAGTAAAGATTATTCACCTGTAGTTATGCACTTTTGCTTTTTCAACGTAAGGATCTGAGAGCTGTCTGACCAGCCAGTCTTGAGAACTTTTGCTCTTTCCTTTTAAATTGGTAGGCGTCTGCTTGCAAAGGCTGCAACCCTTGGAAAAATAACGAATAGGGCTTTTGGCCATCATCTTGGAATAGTTACACTAATTAGAATTGGTAACAACAACTATTTCAGTAATAACATCTTTAAGCTGCACTAATCAACAAATAAGAAGTACACAACAAGAACAACAGTCTACTACTATAAGTACAAACTACAAAGTACAAACAATTTCAAAGCACTGAACCTTCAGTCTACCTGACTAGTGACTACAGCATGCTGAATCAGTGGTATAGTGGGGGGTTGTAAAGATATCACATTTGTGTCATAAAAACAAAAAGAAGAAAAATATAAATGTATTCTGTAAAAATTAATGTTCTGTTTTATAAAATTCACTTTTTTGCTACTTTCAGTTAGATTTTATGAATTAATAACTGGCTACATAAACATCCATTCCATTGTACCTGTTCATTATGCTCACTCTATAAAACTTCTTCATTTAGTAGACTTGAATGAATATTTTATTATTTTATGACCCAGAAATCTATCTCAATAAAACACCCATACATTAGAAATGATATACTTTGCCCAAGTCAATATACCTTATATCTAATATTTTAGATCTAATAGAATATTTTCAGACTTAACTCAGCTTTTAAAACAAGTAATCTTTTATACATTTTGTTTTTAAAGAAATTGCCTCCAAGGAGGAGTATTGAACACGTCTATGTTTCCTAATAGTAGATGATATAATCACTGAGCTTAACAACTTAGGATACCGTATACAGATGACCTAGTAGCAATAAGAAAAGGAAAAAATGACTAGAAAGATGGTGTGTGAAAAATTTTTATATCAACCTTAAGAAAGCATCTCTCATTCCATTCACAAAAGAAAGGACCTAACCTAAAGAAACTAAGTATATAAAAGGCTAAAGGCAACTACTACAAAGCACTAATAAGCATTGGCCTGAGTTAATGTAGCAAAAACTACCTAAGATGGCATATTGATTATAAACTACAATGGTGAGAACTGGTCAAACATGTAACTCCGAAAGACTGCTCACGGAGACCCAAAACAGCCTAGTGTTTCTTCACATAACATCGATAGAAACGCAATCTCCCATCATTATGCATGGTATGGTTTGGTAAAAAAGGATACTAGGAAGTGCTCCCCAGGCATTGCAGCCTTCTGGCTTATTGTACCTTCCTAGTTCCTTAGTTCAACAGACTCAATCATTCTCCTTAGAAGTATCAGGTCATTGACTGTTGACTGCTGCTGCAATTTGATTCACTAAGTTTTTTCTGTACGTTAGGTTAAATCTCCATTGAGTTGTAGCTTCGCATTCGAAGTGAGTGGCTGTTTCCTCCTCCTCATTACATAATCTGCAAATGGGATCATCGTTGTATATACCCATGGTATGGTGAAAAAGGATACTAGGAGGGGTTTGCACTCCCCAGGCCTGCAGCCTTCTAGCTTATTATACCTTCCTAGTTCCTTAGTTCAGTGCAATAGACTCAATCCTTCTTAGAAATATCAGGTCGCTGCTGCAATTTGATACCCTAAATTTCTCCATATGTTAGGTTAAATCTCCATTGAGCTGTTGCTATCCCCATAAGGTTGTTGTGTTTCTCCAGGTTTTGGAGATTTTGTATGCATTCACTGACTAATTTTGATGTGATTCTTTCACATGCTAATGCTTTAATGGCTGCTTGGCTATCAGATCTTATGAGGATTTGTTGCCAGTGTAATCTCTTTTAAGATTTTCTAGGGCACAAGCATTGATGGCATGTATTTCTGCTTGACAGACCGAAGTGTACTTCCCTAATGAGTTTGATTGCTCATGTGTTGGGCTTGTACAGAAAATGCCTGATCCGGTTCCTTCGTTTGTTTTGGAGCCATCTGTATACCATATCAATGTATATGATGCTCTCCTGTGTTCTTCCTCTCCTTTATAGTCTGATGAGACTTTGTAGGAAGTTGTAAAGAATGTTTCCGGGATTTCTAATAATGGGTGTCTGATTTTGTTGATTATGGTTGTATGGCCGAATTGTTTAGTTCCTTGCCAATTTAATTGTTTCTGGAAGTGAGCTTTTCCTAGCCTCTCCTTGTATGAATATTTCCAATGGAGGTGTGAATACATGAAAAATCTCCAAAACCTGGGGAAACACAACAACCTGATATCTTGGGTACCAGGAGACAAGGGAATTTTGGGTATTATAAGAATACACACTGGCCAAAATACGTGCTGCAAGACTATATACCCTGAACCTATTCTTGGGATATCAAAAGCAAACACAGAATCCCTATTCACCGAATAGATCCAAAATAGGCAATAGAAGTGCTTTTGCTAAAGCAACCGTTACCAAGACTGGCAAACTCACTGTACAGAGAAAATCAGAGGAGCAATAGGACCATTTACTAGTCACTGTCATCTGAGAATACATCTACACAACATGGATATATTGAATGATGCATTATGCGTGCAGATTATGCAGTGGAGATATCATGTTCAAATGAGAATCAACTTCTCAATGGGGACAACCTCAGATACGAAGAAAATCCAGAGAAAATAATTGTACCAATGACAGTCAATGATCTAGCTCTACTTAGAAGAAGGTTCGAGTCTAGTGCATTGAACTAAGGAAATGGGAAAATACCATAAACCAAAAGGTTCCTTGGGAAACAAAAAACCCCACTTCCTAATCTCTTTTCATCACCATCTTCATTAACTCAACTTCTGTTAGCCAACTGTCGGTAGCACAACAGACATTATCGCAACAGTCTGCACAACTGGACACTTGAGCAGTCATTGGAATTGCTGTTCAGTTGTAGGTACTACAAACTTTAGCTTTATATTTTGTGTATGAAGAAATGGGTTGGAAGCTTGCACCAATTCATGAACATAAAATATTTGGCAAAGTTTTAGAACTGAATTGTAATTTTACAAATGGTCCTAGGTGGGTTTAGTCTTGTTGGTGAGAAATTAATTGTATTAGAGTGAAATATCTATGAGAGCAGTTTATACGACTAGAAAAATGTCATAAGCAGTACTCCAGCAGTGACATCACAAGTGTCAGCAATCTGCTAGCAGATAACAGGCAGGCTTATTTGATGCCAATTATCGTTGAATAACATAGTCAATTCGTATTGACCAGTTGACGCTTGGAAATTGTCAGATTCGGCTCGGAAATGGACTAGAATATTGAAAACTGGCCATGTCCGAGGATCCATCGATTGGGGCCCAAGCGCCTGAGACTCCAGAGGGTGAGCCAGACAACATTTCCCACGATGATAAAAAGTCAGAGAAAAGTAAGCTCAGCATCTATAAAAATTTAGATAAATTTATTAAAAACAATTAAGAAAACATCAAGTTTTATTTTAGTTTGTGTCTTACTGATCATTCCAGGGTTCATAAGTTTCTCGCTTAACTTAACTAAACTAATCATTAAAGTTGTAAAGTCCTAGTATGCTAAGTATTTTTTAAACCAATAAAACAATTCATTTGTCAGCACCTGAATGTCCTTACTTCATTCTTTACATTTTGATCTTGTGGACTCTCAAAATAGGTTGATCAGAAATATATGGAATAATGTTCAAAACCTTATATTGGATATGCTCAGAGTTTTCTTTATCCAACAGTAACCATTCTTCTGATGGCAACGGGAAGCGCCCCAATAATGAAGACGAGAAAATGGGCCATCGAGCCAAACAGAACGGTCAGTTCGATCAACTCATTTGTTAAAAAGTACATCAAGTTGGAGCCGAATGAATCCCTGGTATTTATTTTACTTTATTTAAACAATACAAAACCCTTATGCTACAGGTTGAAAAGCGATTTTTAGCTTGCTTTTACAGAACACGAACTGTAATCTGTAGTATTTTGTTCCAGTATCTTTATGTAAATCACTTCGCACCGGCACCAGACCAGACGATGAAAAATCTTTTCGACTGTTTCGGAACGGACGGCAAGCTTGTCCTAAACTACAGCATCAGTCAAGCATGGGGGTAAATCATAACTACTAAAACTACTAAGTGCTTATTTCAATGTTCTTTATGCATAAAAACAGATTTTAAATGTTGTCATGATATATTGTAAATATGTGTAAATATATACAATTTAATTTTGTACATATCTTTTACATAAATGAAATAAAATTTTCTATCCTGAATTTTTTTTCCTTACTTCGATCTGTGACATTTCTGAAAGTAAATAACTGTAATTCTATCATGATTTACATTTATAAACCCTTCTGCCAGGTAATGCGATTGTGTGTGGACACAACACTTGAAACTGGCCAACACTGCACCCTGAGGACATGTCATGAGAAACCAGCCAAAACCGGCACCCAGTATGAGTGGTTAAAGGATGAGGTCTTAAGCCCTTGGTTCTGGGAGATGGGAAAGTGTAGAAAAGACTCTGGCAGCTCAATTAGGTTGGGTTGAAAGACTTTGTGTGGAACTTTTGGAAGCGAGAATAGATCAGTTTATGTAGATAGTAAGGTTAGACATATGAAGCTTTAACAATTTGTCTAGTGACGTTTGATTGGATGGTTTGGATTTGGACGTTGTGCTCGGCAGAACCACTCTTCATGACCAAAATGGTCGCATTAATGTTGTATACAGTTAATTGAGTTATGAAGGTCAAAACCAATTTTGGCTCATTCATTAAGTTGTTCTCTCTTAAGAATTGTGAGATTACATGTCTGTCCGCTGTCTAGGTCCTGAGTATCTGACTTGACTGTGTCGGTAGTTATTTGTTGATGTACAGTGGAGGAGACAGTTTTTACATGTAAATGTACGCTGAACTTTTTCCTTGTTCCTTCATTTTTTGCACCAGTCTTTAACTCAAAGTATTCTTGGATGATACATGCTTGGATTCTGGTTAAAAGGAAAATTGTATTATCTGAAATCCGAATGATGGTGTATAAATGATACACAGGATTGGACTAAGAATGCTCTCTTGTGGGACACCAGCCGGTATTGGTGTAATATTTTGGTCGTTACTGCACCTTACCCTAAAGCAGTCTGTTAAATAGCATACCAGGATGAGTTAATAAGAAGTAGGAAGGTAGTGTTTAAGTACATAGAGTTTGCCTGGACATCCTACCACATCCATTAATGCACCCAAGCATTGCGCTTTGTTCTTGAGCAGTGGGAAATTTGTGTCAGCCACTCTGAAACCTTGCTGGATTGTGGAATGATTGGGATAGAAGTGGAATTGTTGAAAAGGAATGATTTTATGTGGCTCTAGGCTAGTTATTAAACTTTTGGAACAGGAAAAGGAGTTGGAGGATTTGGGAAAGGATGGAGGATGATGAGTCTATAGGGGGATATGTAGCTGTGGATACTGAGGTTAGGTTTAGGTTATTAGAGGTTGGCTTGTTTACAAACTTGGGCGATCAATGTTGGTCTGTTTTGCTATTTCCATCATTGTCTCGAGTTAATTGTTAAGATTAAGACTTTTTGTAAGAGCCCAAAGCTATACTAAGGACTGCTATTAGGCCTTGCATAGGCCTTCACACCAAAGGATTTTTTTGCTGTTTCTTCTTTCTGGTGATACCTGCACAGTATTCTTTCTGCTGTTCCAAGTGTATACATATGCCTTCACAGACTGCAGTCCTACTATCGTTGTGATTTCTGCATTGGTCCTTTGATGGGTTTGCGCTTTTTGCTAGCTTCTGTCCTGAGATAAATTCCCTTTGAACTGAGGACACCGTTATTTTGTGAGTATGTGTTTTGGCATTCTGAAATTCTACAAAAGGGTTCAGTATCGATACTAGGATAATTTGTCACCCTTTTTATTGCTCCTCTGCCCCTAATGTTTACCTTTTTACCTTAGTCCAGTCACAAACTGCTTTGGACTTCAATATTGATTAGGTAGTTGCCTTTAGTGCCAAATGGCTATCCAAGTAGATGGATGTTCTTTGGTTGGTAGACCCGACCTTTTGATCTTCCTGGTTTTTTAATTTAATTTAAATTCTAGTCCTTGGTTTATTTCCAAATACTAAATCTTGACCCATATTCCCCTTCTCCCAGCCAGGCTATGGCCTTCTGAATGTTTTGAAGTATAGTGGAGATACTTCATGGTGATTTTCACTTTGGGGTTTTGTAAAGCCTTTTGCCATTTTCAGTGAGGCAGCCAAGATAAGATAATGATCAAATTATAGTTTCAACAGCCGCGTATGGAGGAAATCTATTATGATGTTGCATTACTGGAAAAATTATGTAGAAGTATTGAACTCCATTTTATAAAAGAAAAGAGTTAATTCATAGCAACTGTTAATTTTAATGTTATTGTTTGGAAATTATAAAATGTGTTAGGAAGTTTTAATGTGTGTATTCACAATCAGTATAGAAAGATGCCACTCTCTCATTGGTAATGCTTTCCACATTTGTTTACATGATTTTATGCTAGGTTTCTAATAGACTCATCCCTGGCTTCCTCTGCAAAAAAATAAATAAATAAAAACACAAAGAACCATAATTGTCAATGTACTATTCATACCGAATTCAGACTTGGGCGATCTCGGCATATTTTGATTATCGCAGGTGCATTGTTTTTTGCAGTAGCATTTAACCCCTCCAAGAACTGAAAAAATGATTTAAGAGTTACATCAGAGTAGTAAAATATTATTTATGTTATATGTTTCAATTTACTGTTTCCATTTTGGACAATTTTTCCCTTTTTGGCTTTAACTTCTCTTTCCTTGATAGCTTTGTCAAGATCCGATTGTGAACGTTTTTTCTCTTCTTCTGTTGGTTCTTGGTCCCTGAAGCTCTGTTGTGATGTACCACTGCTCTTTCTCAAGAGCTTTCTATAGTGAGATTTAAAAAAAATAAATAAAATATATATTCAGACAGAGTTCATTTAGACAATTGAATTATTTTACTAACTCGCTTTCATCAGATTTAGAAATGGTTGATACTTTATCATCATTTTCTTCATTAGTTATGTTTGCCTCTTCATTAGTGCTTTGGTTCAAATTTGCCTCATCGGCGAGACCAGCCAGATTCGGAGGATCCATAGGAGCTCTCCAAATGAATAATGCACCATCTGCACTTGCAGAAACTACTGTTTTTTGATCTGGAGAAATAGCTACAGCTGTTATGACAGCTCCATGTCCCAAACCTACATGTGTCGGAATTCCTTCTCTATACAGCCAGACCTGGAGGAAAAAAGCTCAGTAAAAACTTATTGAAAGGGTTAAAATTTAAAGCTAACCTTGACGAAATAGTCATTGCCTCCTGACACCATGTACCTTCCGTCTTTAGATATAGCAAGCGTGTTAAGCGCTGCGGATCTTGACCCTTCAACTTCCCTGATCAGAGAACCATCAAAAGTCTCCCAGTAGCCAATGAGTCTGTTTGTTCCTGAGGTAATTAACTGGCAGCCACTTGGATGATACTTTATACAAAGGAAAAGCGTCGTTGAGAACATTATAGCAAGCCTCACATTTTTTCTGTTACGTAAAAAATTAGGTTAAACTTAATTCTCTCTATGCTTATATCAAAAAACAATTGTTTATACATAAACATTAGTTAAACTACCATAAATTTTAAACTCATGCATATAAAAATTTATCATTACACAATATCCCATATAATGCAGGAACCGTCTGTTGAAGAAGAAGCTGCTTCCTTGTCATTCGGAGCAACAGCCACTGATGAGACTGGCCCTTTGTGCTCTTTCAGCACTGCGAGGAGTTTTTGTACATCCTTCCGTACACACCATATGCGTACCTATAAAATAAAAAATAAAAAGCTATATAACTGAAAAACATGTTTTTTCTAGTGATTACAATACCTGTCCTTCAACACCACCAGTAACAAGTTTTTTCCCGTCTTTGGTCATAGCTATTGCCGAAACTCCCTTGCTATGAGCGTCCCTTATAATGTAGATTGGTTTTCCGCTTTGAGGTGTAAAAGCTCTTACAGTTCCATCATTCCACCCTGAAAATTAAATTTTAAAAAGTGAAGGCATATTCCAAAAAGACTAACATTAATACAATACAGTTGCTACTACACCAGGACTTGAAAATTTGTGGTTGCTAAAAAGGCAATAAGCAAGAATAAAAGAATGTTATAACACAGAATCTTAAAAAAACCAAGCCTTCTGATTTGCGTTTTTGTTATTATTATTTACATTTGACAAATAATGATCTACTAAATGATATAAATAATGATATACTAAAGAACACTACAGAATTACACTAGATATTTTTAACACCAATGAATACTTCCCATGTAATAAATGTGGAATTGATAATTGATCTTACTTATGTTAGGTTAGGGCTAGAATTTTGGTTAGGCAGCAGGTTTAGGGTAGGATTGGTTAGGTTAGGTAGGGTTAGGCTCAGGGGATATTGTTAGAAACGGATTAGGGATGGTCTAGGCTTCGTTAGGGGGTTAGGATTTAGGATGGGCTAGGTTAGGATAGGCAGGGTTAACTTGGGGTAAGCGTAAGATTAGGGACTGGTTAGATTAGGTAGGGTTGGGTTTAGGGTAAAGGTTAGAGATGGGTTAGAGTCTAACTTAGGATGATCTATCTTACGTTAGGTAGGTAGGGTTAGGGCTAGGTTGGATTAGGGTTAAGGTTATTGTTTGAGATGAATTGGGGAATATGCAAGGGTTTTCCGTGAAGCAGAGAAGATATGGGAGTGGTTTTTAGAGTTTTTGAAAGCTCACCGGTGACTATGCTTCTTCCGTCGTGAGTGAATAGTAACGAAGAACATGTAAAATTCGGTACGCTGATCCTGAGCAATTCCTTTCCATCCTGAACGCTCCACAGTCGAACGTCGTTCTTCGAAGCTGTTGCGAAGACATCGGCGTATACGCTGAAAACGCATGTAAATTATTGAACATTTAACAATTACTTTTACAAAGCAATTTTTACTTTGGGAACGCGATGTCGTAGACAGCTTCGATGTGGCAGGTGAGGTACAACCGGCATTTAAATGTCTTCAGGTCGATGATGAGTATTTCGCATTTCATGTTTCCTACGATTATGGTTTCGTCCTTTTTAAGCATTTCTAACGAAGTCACAAAAGTTCCGGCGAAGCAGCTTTTCTCCTGTAATTTTCCAATGTGTATGTAAGGTGTTTGGGTTGAAATAAAGATAGTGCTATTTAAAAATTACCACGGCGAACAAGGGAAACGTTGGCGTGGACAGACCTCCTCCTTTTATAAGGTGTCTATCAATTTTTTCTTCTTTTGTTTTTACTAGTTCCACTTTCCCATCACCGGAACCGACAACCAGTCTGTTAGCATCAAGGATCAATAGTGTCCTAACACCTTTAAATAATTTTTTAAATAATTCTATTACATAAGCAAATGATATTTTTAATTACCCAGGACCCACAGATCTATGTCTAGCAGTTTTCTTTTTACTTTAGGGTGTTTTGCATAACAGCCTAAGAGTACCGGTGGAGCCACTGGGTAAAAATTTTCTGGATCTGTTTTTGAAAAGTTGGTTTTTATTTTCATTATATCGCCCGTGCTCGTTCCGCAATAGGCAAATTCATCATCAGGAGTCAACTGGGGCAAAAATGTTTAAAGTTATTCACGTCGGAAGTTGGAACAACCATTTCAAACAGTTTACCTTGATTGTAGTGACTTTTCGTCTAATTTTGCCCATCTGAACAGGAAGACCTGATACAGTCCTTTTCCCAGGGCATAGTGTCCACAGTTTGAGCGTGTAAACTCCTCCAGTCATAAAACACAAGTTGCGGGTGTTTGATACGCCTATCGTCAACGCGTCTCCTGCGTTTTGGTTCGAAGAGAACACGCCTGGAGAAAGTTTTTCCTTCAGGCAAAACATTTCGCGATACGGTCACGTGAATATTTACCACAAACGGCGTCCAGGGTCTCTATGTCAAACACGACAACGTTAGCATCGTCTTTTCCTCCTAGTGAGATGATATAACGCTCGCAGACGGAAAAAGCAACGTTCTCGACTCTAACTTTATGCGATTCGTGCGACATCTTGATCGTACCGGAGTCGAAGTTCCAGACGAAGACAGGCGCCTGTAACACCATCGGGTTCAATACGGCCTAACAACTGCAGAAGAAGAAATCATACCCTGAATCCCATGTGATTGACTTGACCGGCTGCGACGAACTTTCCACTCTTGGACACCGCGATCGACGTGATGACATTGTTGGGACCTTCGAGGTACCGGTTCGTTTTTGTCGCCAGACTGTGGATTGCTACTTTGACACCAAACGGGTAGATTAAGTGCTCGCCATCAGGGTGGACGTTAAGTCCTTTCATAGCATTACCTAAGTACATAAATGAAACGTACTTGAACATATTATCTAATGAATCAAAGCATGCCATATAAAAAATGATTTTCCGAGTGTTTTTCAATGCATAAGGGATTAAAAAACACCAAAATAGTAACAATACAATATTACACAAGAATACAAATGCAAACAGGGTAAAATATGTAAACAACAACCATAAAAACAAGATAATAGGTAAACTTTGTAGAAAATATTGTAGAAGACGTTCGGTCATGCATCAGATGCATCGATAAATGTGTTTACAGATTCAATTTTTGTAAATAATAATAATATTATCTTTTATCTTGATAATATATCGTAAAGAATGACGTTTGGTTACTTTAAAAAAGAAAAAACTATTAAAAAGAATACAAAATCTGAAATAACACAGTCCACCAAACAATGAAAAAATAACTTTTATAAAGATAATTATTCAGAAATCGTGAGATGCGGTCTGGTATGATGTAGGTTTCAGAAAAACATTTTCTTTATCGTGCCAACGTTTCAATCTTTATTGAGATCATCTTCAGGGCTCAAAGACTCAAGACAAACACTTTGAACCCTGAAAATGATCTCAATAAAGATCGAAACGTTGGCACGTTGGGGGCATATTCTGGGCATAATCAAAAACCTTGAAACGCAGATAAAAGCAAAAACATATAAAAATAAAGAGTAAATCACTTAACAGACCAAAAACCAAAAACGTAACAACCCAAAGACACTACATTCATACAAATAATACATTCATACACTTAAATACATCCATACAGTACACTCATTCCGTTTGGTCGGTGGAGTACTTGATATTCTTCCACCGAAATATACTTAAAAATTGGGGTCGATGGGGTACTTTTATAAATATTCCGCCTCGACCCCGAACACACACTCTTACGCTCTCATCGTTCGAGGGGTGATGATGACGTTATATTTCACCCTCACCCCTCGCCATTCACGCTAATAAATACACGCACTCAGACAAAACATATAGACACACAACACATAAGACATATTATATACAATAAAAAAACCCAATTTCCCCAAAAAAAGCGGAACAGGGGACTGAAACTCGCTACCGTATTCGAGAACTCTTCTTAAGTCCGGCGGCATGCCTACACGCTCTCTGTATGGAGCCAAGGCATGACACGCCTCTATTATGTGGGACACATCGAGCAACCTTTCTCTACCAATACCTTAAATACAGATTAACTAATTGAAAGATAATATTTGGTCAAGTGGACCACAAAAACTAATGAATTTATCTATTTCTGATGTGAAACTAGTCTTTTACTGATTGCATCATTTGTTGTCTAAATTTTGAGTTTTCACCTTTTGAATTTTCCTTCCTTTTTGGCATTTTTCAAGTGTCGTGTAATATATTTGTTTTTCGGCAACAAATGAAATGGCCACTTGGTTGAGATAAAAAGTCAGTGTCACAAGCGGGATTCGAAGTTGGTGTCCGGGTCGAAATCACGATAGCTCAAGTGGTAGAGTAGCGGTGTATTTAGTTTCGTTTCTGTTCTTCGTTGAAAAAAAAAAATTCAACTTAAATTGGTGGTAAAAATATTTTAAATCTAGAACGTTGGTCATTTTTTTTGACCTAAACGCACCATTTATTTTTATTACATATATTTCAATTCCGGGCCATGTACCTGGCCCCTCTTCAAAGCATTCTACAAATAGAATATTTTATTATAATAAACAATTTTTTTAAATTTCAAAGTTGGTATTTATTCATTATAACCAAATATTGTAGCTTTGAAGAGGGACCAGGGACGTGGCCTGAAATGGATTATCAATTGAAATATATGGCATAAAAATAAAAGGTGTGTTTAGTTCAAAAAATACCAAATATTCTAGATTTCTCGAACAGTTTTTCAGATGAATTAAGAAATGCGTCTGGATGGATCAGATACATGGAAAATACACTGAGCAGGGACATTGGGGGAACAAATTTTATAAATCATCCTTGTATTTTATTTTGATTTTTAAAAAGATTTTAACTATTCCTACTTGTATTGAATTATCATTTCATTGCAGTCCTATTTTTTAAATAATCTAACAAGTAAAGTATACAAAATGAAGAAATTTTTAAAATTTTTGCGTAAATTTGAAATTTATCTCGATTCGCAATCACCTGCGTTTTCTTTGCCTCCCGTATAGTTATTCTTTCAAATACGATGTTTTTTGTATTTTATACGTCGAAAATTAAATATGAGCTTGTTTTTATGTAAGTACTTTAATCCTGCCATGAGGTTCAAGGACTTAAATTGTCTGCTTGAACAAGTCCAATAAATCATCAAACGTGATGACATCTAGAGGCAATAAGTATACATAAATTTAATTTTAAAGAGTGGCAGTGCTTTTTAAATAGTGGGAACGCTAATTTCTGTTCAAATAAGATTTTTTTAATTTTAACAATTGGTAAGACGATAGGCTTTTGTCTCTCAGCACATTAACCTACTTAAACCCAAGCGGTAAACGGAACTTTGTGACCGTGGAAATAATCGGTGTTCGAGTTGTTCAAAAACCGGCCAGGTCGGGGCAAAGTGGACGATATGAAACGAAGGACATACCGTCGAAGCCGATGATAGATCTCAACTCCAAATCGCGTACGTCTTCGAGTTCGTCCATCGCCTTCCTATTTCAGAAAATCAACGTTCAAAAAGGGCAAACTGACAAGTCACAAAGCCGGCAGAGACGAGAAATCCTTGTTAACAAAACAAAAACTCAAACACTACTTGGATACGGCACCGTCGCCTTGACGACCACGTGGAGATAAAAACAGGTTTTTTAAACATACAATGAAAAATACAAATTAAATACACTGTCCGTTTGTTTTATTTACTTCGGTATCTAGTTTATTTTTAATCGTAGTGGCTAGTTTTATCGACGAATTTCACTCTTACAATTGAGTAACATACTCGGAGTAGAGTTCTTAGATTTCGAGCTTCGGTATGTTTTATGCTTTATATTTGCAAGTACTTAGTTAAGTTTTGAATATGTTAAAAACAAAAATAAATAAATTCACCCTAAAAAAAATCGATATTTGTCGATACATTTTCCTTTTGAAGAGATATAATCCATGATCTGGAAAGAGCAGATCTTCCTTTTAAAAACAGAAACTATTGATCAAAGTTGAAAATATAATGTAATAAATCTATTTAAGCTATTTTATATATTGAGAGATTTTTTTCTCGACTCGAGGTCTGATGCGTGATATACCTTGTAAATAGCTCATTTCCGATCAGTTTTGCTCTATCAGACGTTTTTATGTTTTTCGACAATTTCAACATTTTGACAGGCCAAAGTAATGAGTACAGGCAGACCTGGAAGAACGTCCTAACTGTAATTATTATACAAAAATATTTCCTCTTAATAGATGGCACCCTTCTAAAATTGTCTTTGTAAACCGTGTATGGCATATTCTGAGTCAAGCAAGAACGACAGCTTTTACTTAATACGCTTGTTAATCTATATCAGAAAGACCATTGAACACTAGGATATTATAAAAGCCTTTGTCCTCCGCAATTTTCTACGTTCTGTCGTTTCCAAAAATGACCACCAGAAAAGACCGAAATCCGGGATTTAGGCGAGTCGTTAAAGTCTAATTTTACCATTGTTTCAAACGTCTAATGCACTTTCATTCATACATTATTTTTTAAGGTCAAAAGCTTGGTTAAGTAGTTGACAATCGACATAAGTCAGTAGTAATTCATTCGTGTTCATATGCAAAACACCTTTAAGTTTTTAGGTATAGTTAAGTGCTAGTTATGATTGGGTTAGGCAGGGTTCGGTATTAGGTTAATTTTGAATATTGTGAAATACTACAAGTTGTTTCGCTCCGGCTTAAGATAAATCTGATCCGTCTGATAGATTTGGCCAAAACTTTTTCATAACTTGTTTTGTGATTTTGGAGAAAACATCTGCGGATATCGGTATGTAGCTTAGCTTGCGCCGGTGACAAATGAAGATTGAATATCTGTTATTCTGTATACCAGGTTTTCTAACTTGGTGGCTGTGGTGGGCATTCAAATCCCATTTTGTGGTCGATCCGTGATTGGTATCATTCGAATCCTTGTAAAAAGTGAAATGATCCGCGGAGGTGTACTCTTTCCTGGTAGAGATCACATCGACCAGTAGAATAATAGAACTACTTGGGACACCGTCATCAGAATTTATGATGCGGCTGCAACCCACTTGGAATTATCACTTGGTTAGGAATTATGTGGAGAACCGGCCACGCTATTCCGGGTTTCCATTCGACAAACTTTTTCCTGATGTGCTTTTCCCATTAGACTCTATTGACAACAGTCGTCTTAAAGCAAGCCAAGCTGACTTGCTCTCACAGATGCTAGTTATCGATCCGGAAAAGAGAATTTCCGTTACATCAATGTTTGGTACGATGAAGGAGAAGTCAATGCTCCTGCACCTAGTCCACTCAGTAGACGAACGTGAACATTCAGTTGAACAGTGGAAGGAGCTTATATACCAAGAAGTCATGGAGTATGAACACTCACACAATGGTAGCCAACAACCTCGTCCTTCTGCGTCGGCCGAGGACGAATCGGCAGCTTCAAGAGGTAGAGCTGTTACAAAATTCGTGCTTGTCATTTGTCATTTATCATCGAACGTTCTGGCCTGATCGAGGGTTGTTTTCAAAAGCTGGTCTTATGAGCAATGCAACATCTCCGCCCATAACCTCAACTGCAGAAATTTCTTCTATTATCTTGTTATTTACAGGCGATTTTAATGAGTCTTTTATGGTCGAAAAGATTTGACACTTATTCGAGCGTTTTTGCTAGCCATATTAGCCGAGAAACAAATATTCTAAGCAATTTAAGTAATTTTTTAAAATCCGTATTTCTACCTTTTGTATGCATGTATTTTAAAAATATATATCAATTTGTAAAGAGATGGATCGACCTTGTGTAGAATTGTATGTGTGATAATCAGATCACAGAAACATGAACTTCATGCCAAGTTTTCGTTTAATTTGTAAACATATTCTGGGCCTAATACGAAAAAATGTATAAACTATATTACAATTAATTAAGGTTTTTAGTTGAGATGAAAAAAAAGTTAATGGCACGAGCGGGATTCGAACCCACGATCTTCGGCTAGATACGCCGCTGCTCTACCACTTGAGCGTAAGGTGGGTTGAGATAGGAAGTTGATGTCCGAGTGGATCGAGGTCACGATAGCCGAAGATCGTGGGTTCGAATCCCGCTCGTGCCATTAACTTTTTTTCATCTCAACTAAAAACCTTAATTAATTATAATGCAATAATTGGTCAAGCGGACCACGAAATTAGTGAATTTAATGTATAACTATAGTCGAATTGATAATTGATATATGCAGATGTAGCAAAATAGCATATAAAAACAACAATTAAAATATCAAAAATACTAAAACCAATTTAAATTAATCGCATTGTTGAAAAATAATTTCTCTATGATTGTTTTTATTATTGTTGCTATTTTAATTGTTGTTTTTTTATGTTAGAAAATGTTGTGAATTACCAATTCGACTATAATTATACATTTTTTCGTATTAGGCCTTGAAGATGTTTACAAATTAAACGAAAGCTTGGCATGAAGTTGGGAATTTCAATGGTTCTGTGACCTAATACCTGATTATCACACGTACAAATATATCAGTTTATTTTAAAAAAATCTATAATATGAAAATAATATGCAGGATTGTATTAAAAGAGAGTAAACACTTAAAATTTTATAAAAACCAAAAGACGCCTTCTTAAAAAAAGCAATCCGGATTCATACTAACTTTTTAAATTATTTTATCAGCTTATGCTTAATTATATAAATACTCAATTAATTATACACAATTTTTTCGAAATGAAAAATTTGTGTCACAGACGGGATTCGAACCCACGACTTTCGGCTATATGAAGCCGCGATTTGCTTACAATTGGAATAAAACGGGGAGTCGAAATGAGAAGTTTGTGGCATGGACGATCGAAGTCACGGTAGCTCAAGTGGTAGAGCAGCAGTATTGAGCCGAAAGTCGTGGGTTCGAATCCCGCCTGTTACACAAATTTTTCATTTCGAAAAAATTGTGTATTGAGTACAAATTATAAATACATATGAAATATAAATACAAATAAAAATTGAGTACAATCCGGATTCGTTTTCAAAACCTTTAAATACGAATTTTCAACCCAATAAAAAATGTAAACAAAGGTTTTTGCTGGATTTTTTGTGGGGAAATTTTTGTCGCTGATGTCCAGTGTGGCACTTAAAAATTTGTAACATCTTGGATTTTTCCAAATTCAACGTCAATAGTTTTGTTAGAAAGCGGAATGTATTCTTTTCTAGCATCTAAATTTTATTGAATGATATTGGGTTGTCCGGAAAATAATGCAGGATTTTAAGTTTTCATTAAAAAAATCTATATAAAATATTCTGTTTACGTTTACAGGATTACTCATTTGTATGAATGTCAACACTTATTAATCCTCTTCCAAATGATATTGTTTGTTTACCCNTTGATTAAAGAACATTGCTTTAAAGTAACTAGTTTCTTTTTTTTTTGTTTAATACCAAAATCCTGCATTATTTTCCGGACAACCCAATAATTCAATAAAATTAAATTCACTAATTTCGTGGTCCGCTTGACCAATTAATATATTAATTTAATTAAGGTTTTTAGTTGTGATAAAAAAGTCAATGGCACGAGCGAATTGAAATTGAAAATTGAAAAATGGCAAAAAGGAGGGAAAATTCAAAAGGTGGGGTTGAGATGGGAAGTTAGTGTCCGAGTGGATCGAGGTCACAATAGCACAAGTGGTAGAGCAGCGGCGTATCAAGCCGAAGATCGTGGGTTCGAATCCCGCTCGTGACACTGACTTTTTTATCTAAACTAAAAACCTTAATTAATTGTAATTCAATAAAATTTAGATTTAATGCCATTATAAGTAAGAAAAATAAAGACACGGGAAACCTAAACTCCTAAAGCGTTTTATTTTATTTCTGAATCTAATTTATTTACAGAAAGAGATTTTGTGCCCTTTAATTTAGTTTATAGTTCTAAAACCCTGTGATATTTCTGGTGGATTGATGGAGCCCTATAGTTATCACTATTTTCGTGATTGTCGCAAAAATCGGACAAAGAAATTTTTTTTTACTTTCTAAACTTATGTTAATGGGAGTTTCAATCTTTCTGTGACCAAATACCTGATTATCACACATAACAATATATCAGTTTATCTTTAAAAAAAATAGAAAATGAAAATAGTATGGAGATTGTATTAAATGAGATTAAATACATAAAATGCTACAAAAACCAAAAGAAGCTATCAGTAAAGTACTCTAAAAAATATTTTTATTGAAAAAAGCAATTCGGGCTTGCTCTTTTCACTCACTCACTCACTCACTCACTCTCTCTCTCTCTCTTTCTCNTATATATACATTTTGCGAGGGTTTGCAACAGCAGAGGTCCTATAAACCCTCAGGGTGCCGGTGTTTATGAAAAAAAGCCCATTTGTAAGTATGCAGGGCCGCTGGATTCGAACCCGGGACCTTTAACTTACAGTGATGAGCGCCGTGTCATCGCCTAAACCGTTACGGCCACCGACGCCCCCTTCTTCTATAGTTATCACTATTTTCGTGATTTTCGAAAAAATCGAAGAAGGAAAAATGTATTTTTACTTTCCATAAATTTGTATTCAGAGTTTTTTTTTGGTTCGAAAAACTTATATAATTTATAATTTAAGCAACATTGATTGCTTGGTCAGAAATTTCGTATTATATTCGCCCAAGCCTTTTGTCTTACGTTTTTACTTTTACCTTAAGCGCTGTGTCAAAGTCTAAACCGAAGTCCCTAAGGAAACTTTAAATCCCGATTTTCGCTTCAAATATTATATTTTCGATTGCAAAATGAAATGCAAATATGATGTCAACCAATGGGTTTATTATAAAAATGAGAGGTTGACAAACATAGAAAATTATACTTGAAACATTATTGTTCATTGGCCTGCAAGTTCTACTACACCGTTAGATGAAAACAAAACGAATAACTCAGTAATCCAAAAAATACACAAAAACGCTTGATTCTCTTTTTACCCGAAATTTAAGATACCTAAAAATGAACAAAAAGAGAGAAAAACACCTAGAATTAATCTCTGAATATGGCGAAAGAAAAAAAAATAAGTCTGCAAGATCTGACGGGCTTTTGATCATGCTTATTAATAATTATATTCACTAATTTCGTGGCCCGCTTGACCAATTAAATCATTACAATTAATTAAGGTTTTTAGTTGAGATGAAAAAAAGTTAATGGCACGAGATGGATTCGAACCCACGACCCTCGGCTAGATACGCCGCTGCTCTACCACCTGACCTATCATGACCTCGATCCGCTCGGATATCAACTCCCCATCTCAACCCAACCTTATGAGTTTTGAAAAATGGCGAAAGGAGGGAAAACTTCGGGTTCGAATCCCTCTCGTGCCATTAACTTTTTTTCATCTCAACTAAAAACCTTAATTAATTGTACTTATTAATAATAACTTTGAGGTATAATAAATATAGAGATAAGTTTACCTTCAAGTTTTCTTAAAAAATATATAAAATAAGGTGATTTTCCTTTAATCAGACATACTTTCCCTTCTGACCTGTTAGATTTCCTTCACAAAACATGACAGGCGCTTATTAATGATAAGTAAGGATTTGCCCTTGAATTTTTTTAATGTAATTTTATTAAACTTTTGCCAGAGAACAAAATCTCGTTGTTTTTCGTATTAGCCCTGAAGATGTTTACAAATTAAACGAAAGCTTGGCATGAAGTTGGGAGTTTCAATGTTTCTGTGACCTAATATTTGATTATCACACATACAATACGTCAGTTTATCTTTTAAAAGACTAGAATATGAAAATAGTATGCCGAATTGTATTAAATGAGAATAAATACATAAAATGTTACAAAAACCAAACGATGTTCTCAGTGAAGTAGGCTAAAAAACATTTTTATTGAAAAAAGCAATTCGTTTTATGAACCTTTTAAACACCTAGAATTAACCTCTGAAGTTGGCGAAATTTGATGAACTTAGGTTTGGTCATGCTTATTAATAATTTAATAATAACTTTGAGATATAATAATATGGATATAAGTTTATCTTCAAGTTTTCTTTAAAAAATATATAAAATAAGGTGATTTTTGTTTAATGAGACATACTTTCCCTCCTGACCTGTTTGATTTCCTTCACAAAAATGACAGGCGCTTATTAATGATAAGTAGGTGATTTGGCCTTTGAATTTTTTTAATGTAATTTTATTCAATTTTTACCAGAGAACAAAATCTCGTTGCCAGAAGGTAGTTTGTTCAGGCAATGTTACAAAGGGACTTTTTCAAATTAGGGATTTTATTATTGGGAATAACAGCCATCGCATTTTTCGTGTTTTTGTTGACAAGTCGATTATACATCGAAGCGTTCTGCTTCGCTTCGGGATGCGGACTTATGTGTTTGCTCCAGTGGTGCGCGGAGCAAAAGTGCAAGGTAGGACTTCTTGAAGTAAGCCCCTTTTTCGACAATTAACCCAATTGAGATTTCAGGACGATTACAGGCGTTGTGACGGCTTTCGGGAAGGACGCGAGGTCAGGTACGCGAGGCAGTACCGACGGCCGTACGACGCCGAGCTGGGCAGCAAGTCCCAAGAAGGGATCAAGTGCTGCCATAGGGAACTACGGGCCAACTTGAGAAGTTGCGATTGTCAATGCGAGAAAAAGGAAGTCGAGACAAAGTTGACTTCATCCAAGGAATTAAAGGACGAGCCGAGAAAAGCCAAATCAAAATCACGCATGTCTTCGAAATCGAGCTCAAGGAAAAAGTCGAGAAAGTCCAGAAAGTCTAAAAAAGAGAAAAAAGAGAAAAGAAATAAATTGTCCGCGTAACATTTGGAACTTTGGCCGTATAATGTACCAGCAGAACAGTTAAACGTTATAATTTTTTTTCTTTTACGGTAAACGAAGGAAATAAACTTTTTGATTTATTATTCTGTAATTATAACAGATAAAAAACCTGGCTTTGCTTATTTTGAAAATTTTTACACAATTTTCCAAATATAAACTAAGGTTCAAAAATTAAGAACCAACTATAAAAATAGCCTTTTTCAGTTTTTTTAAGGAATTCTGTAATTTGTTCGAATGTACGTTAGAAAATTTTAAAAAAGGTTACTCTGGCATTAAAGCATTATCATGTAAAAAAGTCTCGTTAAAATTCAGTCAGAATTCATCCCTAATCTCCAAAACCCAGGAAACACAACAACCTTGTAATATCATGGGTACCAGGATAAAAGGGAATTTTGGGATCGAAAAAGCAGACATACTGATCAGAGGAGGATCTGCAAGATCATATATACTCCATGAACCTATTTTTGGGATAAAAAAACAAAACAAGGTCGTCTATCACAGAAAGGACCCAAAAAAGCAAAAGGAGAATTGGATAAACTCTAGAGGTGCTAGATACAGTAAAGTTATGCTACGACAACCCTCTCCAAGTCTCATTGCTACAATTGAGAAGGACGCATATGGGCATATTCAATCATGACCTTATTTGTAGGTTATGAAATGAGGATGAAGAAACAAGAATCAAAATAATTTTTGATTTTCTTGTGTTAGGTTTTCCATTGTTTTCTCATTTTCATTTTTTCTGTATCTTATATTCAAAGGTTTTAGTACAAAAAGGTTCAGGATGGAGTGTGACACCTCTTTTCTTGCTACGGCAATCACATCTTCATCTGCCTGCCTTGAAGTTTGACAGTGGAAAATGACTGTCTAAAGTAATAATGCATCAAGTTTGAAAAATATAAACTAAGATTCAAAAATTAAGCTAATGTTTTTCAAAATTGACGTCAGGAAAAAATTTACCATTTTTCCAAACTTAACAAAAGCGTACCTGTTTTTGATCGGTCGGCAAATAGGCCATCTTTCTAAAACGAATACAAGGTTCACTTTATAAATTTCTTAAAATAAATTATAAAATTTTAGGTATGTTTATGCGGAAAAAATTTCATTGGTTGATTTGACAGATATTGTTGATCTGTCCCACAAAAACTCAACCTAAATCTGTAAATCTAGTCAAATCTGTTTTTTAATTGATCCTTAAAAAGGACATAATATAGCACAGACTGCTAAAGAGTAAAACTGCGGATGAAGAATCGGATCATCGTCCACTTAAGAAATGCCCAGCAACATGCAGATAAAATGACATCGCTTTTCAATTAATAAATATAAGGATCCCGGTGTAAAGATTTTTTATTGCCACAGTAAAAATGTGTTTTTTAAATTACATGTACCAATTTTTGATACGATTTGAAAAACTAGATTTTTATATTATAAAACTATATTAGTTGCGAGATATTTCAATTCGAAGGTTGTGGGAATTTCATACTTTTAACTTTTAAAATAATCTAAAAATTTTGTTTGTGAAAATGTATCAAAGCTTTGTAAGTCTCTTTATTTGAAAAAAAAAGTTTTTCCTATAAATCGCCTGGAGAACCACCCGGTATTCGTGTTTTTGATTTTTTCTTTTAATTTTCTATTGCGCTCTCTTTTCAATTAATCGTTTGAATTAGTTTTGAAAGTAGTATTTTTTCTAATACGACTAAAAAATAATTTATCTAAATCTATTGGTATATCTTATATCTTATTTAATGTACCTTTTTCCTAATTTTTTCTTGAGTCTGTATCTTTGTTTGCAGATTATTTATTCAAAGAAAAAATAATTGGTCGTGTAGAAAGATAACGTCTCCGAGAGTGAACAATGTGCACGAGGTATTAAAATTGACCCAGCATTATTTTAATTATTAAAAAAAAAAATCTTTGTACAGGTTTGGTAACTTCCAGACTATTTTTACCTATGGTATTATCACCGGATCGACTTTTTTAATGTTGGCTTTGAAATATGGACCGTTGGAAGTGATTTTCGTCCTTGTTCTTTTCGGAGTTGTTTTGTACTCGATTGTCTTCTTCATACGGGAAGAAAGAAGGCTGCAAGGAGTGATTATAACAAAATGTAGATTTTTATATATATTTCCATTCTAACCGGTCAATTTCTAGGCTCTGAACACTGTTTTCTCAAAGCTGTGCCTGTTTCGAAATGAGTGCGCCTGGAGAAAATGCTGCGACGACGACGTTGAATCAGAAAATTTTAACTGCGGCAGGAGAAAGGAGCTTTTAATTAACGATTGTGCTTGCAAAGAGAAGAAACCAAAAATTAAAAAATGCGCTAAGGTTTTAGACAGAAAATGTTATAGCGATATCGATAAGGTTTTAGAAGAAAGAGAGAAACAGTGCTCTAGATCCGACAGCGTTTGCAAAAAAGTCGATTCTGATATCAGCGTTTACAAAGCAAAAAGAACCACAAGAGAACTTAGTTCGTTAAATATTGAATGTCTGAAATACGCCAAGTACGACTGCTGTTCTAGTTGCGATTCGACTTGTACTTTTCGGCAGAAACGTCTTGAAATTTATAAACTGATACAAACCCTTATCGACCTGGACCACCAATGTTCGTGTCCGGAGAGCGTGGAATTTTTGAAAGGCTTGAAGCAATTCGTAACGTGCGACGTCAACAATAAAACACCGATGGAATGGTGGGAGGAGTACCAAACCCTTAAAATCCCACCTTCATGCTGTAATCTGAACTGGTACATGACCCTCGAACGGGCAGGGCAGTACGGTGTCGTCTGTAACATGCATAGAAATGAAAATGTAAGTTTGCTTTTTTTGTACATTAAAAATAGCTAATCTCTTCTTTCATTCTTTCTCTTTCTATCTATCAATCAATATCTCTATTTTTCATCCCTCTATCTCTCTTAATTTCTTTCTTTCTCTCTCTTGTCACTCATTGTCATTAAAATTATCTCCCTTTTCTGTTAAAATAATTTTTTTGTTGTTGTTGCACAAGTGTCCACAGGAGGAGAAACCTGTTACGACAAAATGTGATAACGGACAACCTTGTGGTGAGATCTTTGACCAAAAGTCGCAAAAAGTTAAAAAAAGCAAGAAAGGTAACCGGCGGTTTGGTAATTGGTTCAAAAGGAGGAAACCTAGAAAGAAGAAATCGAATACGACTTAGAAAAAAAAAATTGCACCTTTCGATAGCAATACATAGATAGTAATATAATGTGATTTTTAACCCTTATTGAATTTTATTGTTTCTAGGCTTAACACGAGAACTGACTTTTTAGTAGAGGGCGCCCTTTTTCGCGCACCCCCACGAGTTGGTTATATCCTACATAACCTTTATATTGCTCTTCAGTTCAGATTTTCTTTGCACACGAGTCGAAAACTTTTCCTTTTCAGGCATCCACAATCATTAATAATAATTACGTTCGTAACAAAATATCTCTGTATTATTATTTAACCGGGTATACTTCCTAAATAATAGTGCCTCCTGAATAAAGTTGATGGTGTGTCAATATCCAATTAATACGGCCTAAGGTGGGCTTAGTATTAGCGTATGTATGGCACTTGGTACAGAGGACTAAGAGAGACAAGTGTGACGTGGAGATATTTATCCGGATCTTCAGAAAATATCAATTACCTCCATCGATTAAGTTGACAGTGGAATCACCCAACTTTGAAGAAGGTGCTCCAAGTTTTTCTGGAAGCGGGGATTTTCATCATGTCGCAATCAAGAAGCTTAAATGGATATTCATTCTTAGGATAGTTTAGCTTGTAATAAAATCATTTCAATTAATTAAGGTTTTAGTTGAGATAGCAAAGTGAGTGTCACAAGCGGGATTCCAACCCACGACCTTCGGCTAAGTACGCCGCTGCTCTACCACTTGAGCTGACGTGACTTCGATCCACTCGGACACTAACTTCCCATCTCAACCCCACCTTTTGAATTTTCCCTCCTTTTTGCCATTTTTCAAATAGATTACTAGACATTTGAAAAATGGCAAAAAGAAGGAAAATTCAAAAAGGTGTGTTGAGATGGGAAGTTCAATTCTTCATTCGCATTTTCACTCTTTAACACTCTGTTCTGTATTTAATAACTTTGTTCTATTTAAGGATCAATTAAAAACCAGATTTGACAACTAGGTCATTTTCATAGGTTGAGTTTTTCTGAGACAGATCAACCAATGAAAATTTTTTTCCGCGTAAACATACCTAAAATTTTATCGTTTATTTCAAGAAGTTTATAAAGTGAACCTTGTGTTTTAGGAGTCTATTTGCCAACCGATCAAAAACAGGCAAGCTTTTGTCAAATTTGGAGGGCTGGTAAATTTTTTCCTGACGTCAATTTTGAAAAACATTGGCTTAATTTGTGAATCTTAGTTTACATTTTTCAAACTTTAAGCATTATTACTTTAGACAGTAAATTTTCCACTGTCAGACTTCATGACAGGCAGATGAAGACGCGGTTCATGTAGCAAGAAATGAGGTTTCAAACTCCATCCTGAACCTTTTTGTAGTAAAACCTTTGAATATAAGATAGAGAAAAATGTGAAAATGAGAAAATTAACACAAGGCAATCCAAAATTTCTTTGATTCTTATTTCTTCCTCATCATTGCATAACCTACACATAAGGTCATCATTGAAAAAACCTTCCCAAAACCACCCCGAATTTTATGATTTATTTAGAGACTAACGTTGAGCCGTTATTTTTATAACCTTCAAACTTCATTTTAATTACATCTTTAAACTCTTGAAACATCCTGATTACCGTCTTTCCAAAATTGTAGCCCTGGAAGTCGTTAGTAGTGGTGCATTGTGGTTTGAATGTTGGAATAGCATGTGTTGGGATCTATCATTTGACTCATCATTTTCTATAAATAACTTGAATGAGTGGCCTTTGCAGTTTAAGGAAATTATAACAAAACAGTGTCAATTTCAGTGAAGAACTTCGTGAACAAGCCAGATCAACCTCGAGCTTTTCATTCTATAAGGAACTTTACCAAGATGATTTTAATATGTCTAACCTTTCTAAAGACAGGTCTAAAGGTTTGTCATTGGTCGAGTTAAGGTGGTTATTCAAAATCAGAGGGGACCTCCTTTATCTTAATGGTGCAGCTTTTCGGGCTAGAGAAAATGTAATTTGTTCATTATGTAATGACCAGGTTAAAGAAGACATAGTGCATTTTATTGCAAAATGCACTATCCTATCGGAGATTCGGCTTCTGCATCTAAATTTTTCTAAATTGAATGTNTGAGTAATCCTGTAAACGTAAACAGAATATTTTATATAGATTTTTTTTAATGAAAACTTAAAATCCTGCATTATTTTCCGGACAACCCGATATTAAAAATTAAATTATCAATTGTAATATTTATTTATGGATCAATTTTTTTTTAAATTTTTTCTGTTGTACATTTTACTCTGTGTCGACCAAAAATTTATGTCAAATGAAAATCGACCTCCTGCAGACGGACCCTCCATGCCGTAATTTTACTTTAAATTATATATTATGTAATGTTTATAATTTTTCTTTTTTGCAATAAAGTATTATTATTATTATTATTATATATTATTATTAAGGTCATCATTGAATATGCCCATATTGAGTAAAAATATCCTCAGATGCCAGTGTCTGGTATATCAATCCTCTGAGTTTAGCCTTCTCTAATTGTAGCATTGAGACTTGGAAAGGGATGTTTTAGCGTAACTTTACTATATCTAGCTCTAGAGTTTACCCTTTTAAAATTTTCCAGGGCACAAGCGTTCAAGGCATGGACAGTCAACCCTCCTATAACGCGGTACTCTCAGAACGCGGTTTCTATATAACGCGGAGCTGAAATTGCGACAGCCCTCCCATAACGCAATACTCTTACAGCGCGGTTTCCGTTTAACAGAATCCCATAAGTCCCTTCCACACAGCCTATGAATGACTCTAGTAACTAGATATTGTAAGAGGTTTTAATGTAAGTTTTATTTTCCACGCAAAAGCACAGCCGAGATACATAAACAATATGTTTATATAAGCATGCCAGCTTATCTCATAGCCTACATCGGTTTCAGTCATCTCAGAGATCTTTCACAGTACATACGTTTTGTTGGTTCTTGATAACGCTGGTTGCCACAACATAGAACTGGATCATCCAAATGTGAAAATTGTCTTCCTTCCTCCTAACTGCACGTCATTGATACAACCTTTGGACCAAGGAGTCATTCAAACTTTAAAAATGTACTACACACGCCAACTTTTCCAAACCATTTTCGACAGATTAGAAAATAGTGAAAATAAAACTCTTACTCAAGTGTGGATGGAATTTTCTATTTTAGATTGTATTAGAACCATAGAAGAAATTAAACCATCAACGCTTAATGCGTGTTGTAAACCTCTTTTACCTCAAATGGTTCAAGCAATACAAGATGATTCTACAATTTCACTCCCAGTTTCAGAAATAGTAAACATTGCTTCTCGTTTAAGCGATGAAGAATTTGCAGTAAACCATCAGGATGTAAGAGAAACTCGGGGAAGAAACTTTAGATGAGGAAGAACTGATGGAATTAATTGATGCACCTACCTCAAATGCATTAGTAAACGAAAATAAGGAAAACGAATGGGTGCCAAATCTCGATTTACAAGATGTGAAAAAAGGGATAAATTTGGCTAAAGAATTAGAACTTCATTTCATTCAAACTGTTCGTTCAACGGTGCGCAGCGCAAAGTTTAAAAGAGAGTTAAGAAATTGCTTAGCTCCCTACAGAGAGGTTTTAGTTGAGTTAGAAACAAAAGCTACGATCGAAAACCAATGTGAAGAAGATCCAAGTGAGGAACACATTATGCCCATTAAAAGAAGACGAGTTAGGCGACTTTTGGGCTTCTTCTCCTTTATAGTCCGTTGAGAGTTTATAGGATATAACGAATGTTCCGAGATCTAATCTGCTAACGAATAATAAATAATAAACCATAATTAATATTTGTATGGAAATTGAAACCAATCTTTTTTATATTTAGTCTGAATAGTTTTCCTGTTGTCTATCAAGGTTGAAACGCGTTTCGGAAAGTTTCTTGTAAGAGGTTGATGTTTGACCACTTGTTGTTTATTTACAGGCCATAATTACAGTGTTTTCTGATAATCAGATTGGAAGAGTCGACTCTGCACTTACACACTTATCCGGATAAAATTTATTGTTTACAAAATCATTTCAACGTCTTACCCCCTCTCTCTTAATTATACTAAAAATCTATCTTATATTTACAACCTGATGTTATCTTTCCGACTGGTATCCTAGACGGTAAATTTCCGTTCAGTGATCTTGAAAAAGGTGAACCCGTGCCCGTGAAATGCTTGGAGAGAAAACACCCCTTCTCGATGATGTACCCTACCGGCAGAAGAAAACCAAGAAATGTACGTTAGTTTTAATTTATTTTAGCTATAGATTGTTTGAAATGCGGTTGAGGCTTGAAAATTTTACATAAATATTGCGAATCTGTTAGTATTTTTTTTTACACGATCTCATTGTCATTATGGCCAAGTCTGACTACAGTGGGTGAAAAGAATTTTGGAACTTATCAATTATCAATTTATTGAGAAAATGGATGTTCAAGTCTTGAGCAGGCTGAGGAATTTTTATTTAAAATACTGGATGCCCAGAGTTTCACTCTATAGTCAAAACAAATTTTAATTCTAGACGTATAATAATAATATAAAAATAATAATAAAGTCTTTATTAACAAAATAATGAATGTGATAATATGTATATTTTATTCTTATCATAAGACATTACTCCATGGTACTGTGACCGTCGGAGGAGTTGCAATTTTTATTTTATTTTATACTTATTAGTTAGAATACATAATTAACTATTGGAATACATAATTAGATAGTACCGAGTGCATTTGCATCATTATATACTGTTTATCACCAATCCATCTGTTTTATAGGAATTTTAAGAATTTTAAAAGAAATTAAATCCCAGTATTAAATCATATTTATAGAACCATGCTCTTTTACAATAATTACATAACATCTCCCAACATTTTCCATTAAGAATTTCTATAATTACTTCATTCGAAAGATTACACTTCCCAAAAACCGATTTTCTGATTTCTGCCAAGATTGGACATACACGCACAAAGTGCAAAATAGTTTCCTCTTCTTTAATAAGTTATTAATTTATAATAGTTAATTTCATAAGTTAGATACCACTTTGAATGAGTATTTATTTAGATGGATTAACTCACATC